AACGAGGACTTTGGTTAGCGAAGCAAGGAGATTGATTTACGAAAACAACTATGCAGTCAACAGCGCAGCGGTGGAACGCATTCTCAAGTCACACTCCTGGGTCCCTACCTCTGTGAGACTTGATTCCCGATTGCTGACAAGTACTAACCATGTCTCAGAATGCTTTCATAGATCGCCTCGGTCCAATGGGATTCAATATCTTCATGCTCTGGTGGTAGATCTTCTACATGAGTTTGAAATCGGTGTATGGAAAATGTTATTTATTCACTTGTTGCGAATTATTGCTGCGCATGACAAGAGCTTAATTCATCGATTGGACGAGAGGTATGGTGTCAGATACCGCGTTGCTTCAGCTGACCTCTACCATCAGGTATAGGGAAACCCCGACGTTTGGCGCAGCCACCATACGAAAGTTTTCGTCTAATGCTTCCGACATGAAACGTATGGCGGCACGAAACTTTGAGGACCTCCTCCAGGTATAAGTTCACCGCATATCGATATTGAGTAGGACACTGACGCGCTATGTACAGTGTTCTATCCCCGCCTTCGATGGCCTTCTTCCGAACCGCATAAGGAATTGTTCCTGCAGTTACTATTTACCATGGCTTCCATTGGCATGGTTCTAAAGCTAAGCTGCGACAGGCATTCTGACCTTACCCTCGATTCATGGATGAAGTGACGTCGGCGCTCGGGGCACAACTTCGTAAGTTCAAGCTACAGTCTGCGCCGCGTACCAAACCCGCGAGCTGCGCCAGGAGGTTGAAGCGCGTGCCCGACGCAATGCAAAGAAGTCTGGGAAACAGCCCGCAGGACTTAAGGAAAAGGAAGCTCTCGCCTTGCGGAGCAAGGGCAGGCAGGAAGATCAACTCAGAATGAGCAGCGAACGAAGATATTCAATATTCAAACGTACAAGTTTCACGCCTTGGGAGACTACGTGTCTACGATTCGCCAGTATGGCACATGTGATTCGTATAGTACTGAACCGGTGTGTCCTATGCTTTTCAACGATGAACTTGACTCATTGACTTGTTCAGGGTGAACTAGAACATCGTACTCCAAAGGCCAGGTATCGCCGCACCGATCGCAAGTCATTTGTCAAACAGTTGACTCGAATTGAACGCCGCCAGGCTCGCATTCGCCGTATCGGGGACAAAAGTGTTCATCGCCCCCATATCGACATTTCTGAGTTGGCGACAAGCCCTCATGCCCACCATCATATTGGTTTGACCCAAAAGTACCCTGTGCATATAGGATCGTTCTTGCGCAGCCACCAAGGAGATCCAGCCGTCACAGTGAGTCTATTCATGCCCTGTCAGGAGACTTCTAAACTGCTCCTGCAGAATTTTTTTTCCAAATTGAAAGCCCATCTATTGCTTCGTTTTGATACATCAAGTAGCACTGAAGATAACGATAACAACACAATAATTATAAAGGACGATCGAATGTATCGGCATAACATCGCGAGGTTTAACTTCACAACCTACGATGTTCGCAGAGGCCAAGATGTGATCAACCCGAGGACTCCCCATTGTAATGTTATGGTTCTCCGCGCCGACACTGACATAAGGCATGAAGGTCACAAATATATGTACGGGAAGGTATTAGCAGTATACCACGTCAACGTGATTTTTATCGGACGCGGTATGGTCGATTACACTCCCCATCGAATGGAGTTTTTGTGGATACGTTGGTATGCACCCATCGATCAGGACTCCACCTGGGAGACCCTGGACCGAGTGGACTTTCCGCCCCTAGAGGACGAGCACTCATTCGACTTCCTTGATCCCGCAGATGTACTCAGGGGCTGTCACATTATACCTCGCTTTGACAGCCGCAAGAGACATCTCGACGGATTGGGTGCGTCGGCAAGTGCGGGAGACAAGGATGATTGGTGCGAATATTTTGTCAATCGGTGAGTCACTCGTACCATATATTGTCATACGTAGCAAGATCTTCATGACATTTTTATGTTAGATTTGTTGACCGCGATATGCTTATGCGATTCCATTTCGGGCTCGGTGTTGGGCATGTGTACTCTCACCACCTCGCTCCGCAGGCTGCAATCCAGCAAGATAATATTGCAGCGCAGTCCGCGTCCACTTCTCATGTCGGAGAAGGTGATGAAGATGCCAGAAACTCTGGAGAGGATGACGAGGAAGTTGACGAGGAAGTTGACGACGATGATAATCCGATGGTGAATCCCGTTGAACCATGGTATGGCAGTAGCCAAGAATCGCTGTTAGAACAGTACGAAGAGATGTACGCGAGCGAGGTAGAATTGGATTACGAAAATTAAATCACATTACAGTGAAAAACGTAACGGTACTCCATCCACGCCTACTCTAGACACTCCATGGCATTGATTTCGGCTAATTCAGTGTCCAGATTTAGAGTACGTATAATATTTGATGGACAGGATCCGCTTTGAGATAGCGTCGAGGCGATTTTGCTTGATCTAGCATTGAATTAGAGTTTCAGAGAGGTACGCCCAATAAATAACTCGACGGCGATCTAACTCACAAATCCATCACCCTTTCCTTGTCTTGCCAATAGCCCACAGCTTTCTCGTCCAACGCTCACGACTATATGGATTCAGCTGCGATGTTTGACTCATTTTTGTTTGACAATCCCGGCCTCATGCCCAACTCTGTCAGTTTTTTATTACCTTCTCAACTCAGTAAACCTGCTCACTCAGTTCTTCTAGGGCAATTTCGTTGATCTGAACGATATCGACTTCATCGGTTACTTGTCTGTGGGACATGGGCCGACGCTGTACCCTTTATATGTAAGTACCCGTGTTTCTGAAGTTACAAATGTTTCTCATTGTCGGCCCAGTGTCGACCAATGCTACATATTGCAGTACGTGGTTGATTTTGTGAGAGGTTACATACTAATTTTCTTCTAGTTGACAGTACACATCTCACTCTACGCTTACGTTCTTACATCAATCGTCCATCGTTCAGTCTTCGAGACACAACAGATGGCGGAAGTTCCTGTATATGTCAATTCTGTAAGTCAAATCTCTACTGTGTTTGCGGTCCCACTGAGAAGTTTTGCAGTTTTACGCTGTGAATGCTCAAATAAATTTTCCTGCGAAGTCCACGAGGGCAGGTCCCGATAACCGGTTCTATGTTGTATATGATGGCGTAAGTCCGCCTTTCAAATCTATAAGTATCTCGCCTGACAATATATTGTAGGTTAGTTCTAATGTTTCTAGCACTGTCATTCATCTCGCCCGCCATCCCACAGGTTATTACCCTTGGTCCCACGTTGACCTCACAGCCTTTCAGGCTATATCAGATGCACCCAACAGTGGCAGTCTCCTGGTCATTCCTGGTCCCGCCCTCGCGATGCCAGGCCACGTAACTGCACCCGACGGTGCAAATGGTGACGAACATTCGATACCCGGAGACCCAGCCAGTGCCCATGCATCCCCAACAGCGACGTCAAACTCGCCGACCATCTTTTCCTGGATTTCGTGCTCGGGCCAAATGGTGCACAGCGCCCCTGCCAGTACCCATCAATCACAGGCAGATGGCGGATCAACTCGGACTTCCTCGCGACAAAAGGCGAAAAAAGCTGCTAAAGCCGAAGGAGGCCTCAAGAACGTTATAGGGAGATTGCCAAAGTGGAGAAAGGCCTTTGCCTACCTTCGGATCCAGCTACGAGTATCGGTTTGCACAGGCGAAACCGGAAACCCCCACCTGTTCAATTTTGAAAGCCGGGCAGCAGCTATTCAGCTAGCTTGGCCTCGTGCTCTCCATCGGGCTAACATCGACTCCGGTGATTTGGAAATGGGTGGGCAGCTAAATCTCACTGATAAGCTAGACATGCTGACTCCGTTTCAGTGATGTCGTTTAAAACTGGCACTTACATGACTCTTGAAAGTATATTGGAATTGGTGCGAATTATTTTTTACTTCCATTGGCGTAGCTCATCCCAGAATAGGCCAACCCATCGCTTTCAGAGTTTGTCTATGATATCAAGCGCCTGGCGTCTTACTCGATCGGCGACTCTCACGGAGGCTTTGGTTTTGATGACTTGGGTGCGGGTGTCTTATTGATTGACACGGTCCAAAGACTGCTCCAGCTGTTCATCAGACCAAAGTCAAATATCCTGCCAATTAGTGTGAGTGTCCCGCATCCCTTTGGTCGTTAATCTTATTTCACCCCACAGCTTAACGGTTTTGCCTGCTTTCTCACCCATCAGATCTCCAAAGAGATCATGTGGCACATCGTTTTCCGTCCAACTACATCACACTCTGTTCGACTGGTGTTGGCCGATCTAGAGCCAGCAACGTTCAGGAGTGTAGAGCATCCACCCTTTCCGACTATGTCTCTGCTGGGGTCCAATGTAAGTCTCTTTCCACTGTGTGTTTCATTCGTTTACGACGTCTTTAAGTGTTACGCTGCTCTGTTGGAGAAATATTCGACTTTGACCAACATACCCGTCGACCTGCTAATTCAGTATCCAACCCCGGCTGAGGTATATGATCAGCTCTGCGAGACGGCTGTAATACTTGTCAACGAGCACGACGACGAAGATCACCCGGGACTCATGTCTAGCTTGGCTAAATTGTGCAACATTTCGTAAGTTCATTCCCAACCTGTTGTATTGTTGCCTGATAAGAAGACAGGGTCACTGAAGTCCACCGACTTGGCCGAACACATGATTGACCTATATTCATGGATGTCACCTACAGTAGTCTTGTAATATATGTACATCGGTATCTGTTTTTTTGCAAACATTCGTTTTGGATAGTTCTAAGTTAACGGGAGTCCGCCATGCTGAATATCTCGAGTTCCGCGGAAATCGAGACACTTACCGTGATATATGATACTCGACCTTCCACTGGCTCGCTTCGCGTCAACATGGTGATGTCACAACGAGTTCGGTCCAGCTATTCATGCCCGTCAAATACCGCCGGGCTTTTTCGATGGTGTCCAGGTGAGTCATCTGCTTTTGTTGACCAGGTCTTGTCCTTATCTTTGTGCTCTCAGTCCTCCGCAGCGCACGGTACCCATCACAATTCCCCTACACATGACCCCCGCCGCCCTGCCTTTTCTTTGAATCCACGAACGCTATTCAGCGGCTTTTCATCGCTGTTCTGCCACTCTCACTCCAATACTGATGGAGCAACCGAACTCCAGCAACGTCCAAGGCGGACCATCTTCTCTCGCGGACCTCGCATTGTCGACGTTCCTACAGTACAGGACAGAAAGGTAAGTATTTCTTCGCGTGCGCATCGCCGTTGTTCAATGATTTATTTGACTCTCGCCTTTCGTTGATGCTTTTCAATCTGCCATGACACACGAAACACTTGGTAAACTAACTTAGAAACACTCCCCTCAAACATCCTCCAATCCCAGGATCCGCTCGATCTCATCTAACTGGTCCCACAGATCCCTCAACACATCACGTTTTTCCTCGACCATAAGGGTGAGGATGCATTTCTCCCGCCGCGGCATTTGGACGGGGAGTTGGGGCGGCTGCGCATACGGATGGTTTTGCCCGCGTTCAAGTAGGATCGCATTTGCGTAGTCCCAGAAGGCCTGGTACGTATAGTTAGATTATATCAATAACACAAACACTGACGACAGTTAGATCTTACCATCGCGGTTGCGGTGATCGCAAATCCACGCTGCGCCTCATACTGTCCTTGTCCCTGTCCCATAAATCGTCAGCTCCTACGTGTTGTGCTTACTGACGGTTTCTGCTTACCATTTCAGACGTCGTGGGCTGCGCCTGATCCACTTGCTGCCCGTGGTCCTCCTGCTGCCCCTGCACCTCCTGTTGCCCCTGCCCCTCCTGTTGCCCATAGTCTCCCTGGTTTCCCATCAGTGCCTGCCGCACGACATCGTAAGCATATTATCTATCTGGTACGACGCGTTGCTATTACTTACATTATAGTCGCTGAGAAGTTGTTGAATCTGCCTCAGATTGCTTTGTTAATCACCACGCATCAAACGTCGTCAAGACTTACATCGATCTCGTTGGCGTTCGCTCCAGCCATTGCGTTTGGAAAGAGTATAGTAATAAAGATGCACTTGATCGATGAAGTATGAGTCCTATCACGGTATGTACATGCTTACATAATACGGCCAAACTCTGACATTCCATGAGCAAGGGTTTACCGTCCTTGTCGAAGATGCCACCACCACCAACAAAGTTGACCCCCCCAGCAAAATTACCATCAGTGCTTGATTCGCAGTCCTCCGTCGCGACTTCCTCACCCGACGTCTTCTAATGCGCCACCGACATCCGTACTCCCAGCTCCACCGTCGAAGATTGCACCACCGCCACAAATTATTGTGCCCACTCCTCGGACACCATACCTGTCGCAAGCGAGCCCTTCGACCATGGAACCCAAGTCGCGTATGTTGATTGACGAACCAACTGCACTGGCACATTTCTTGTTTTATCCCTGACCTGCAGGTATTTTCCCATCCCTACTTCCCTGTATACATATATTAATTCTACCCACAGTCGAACAAGTCCCAATAGATGATTTCACCCTCCCCCTCTCCCGCGCCGAAATCCTCATCCCAGGATCCGACCTAACACTCCTAACATGGGGTACCCTCGTCTACCACTGTGAATCTGCCCTCCGTCTCCTCAACTCTCCACCACCCTCACTCGCACCCCTCGTCCCTCCATCCCTTCGCACCGCCAAAGTCGAACTCATCGACCTCCGAACGATATTGCCGTGGGACGTAGAAACAATCGTAGAGAGCGCGCGCAGGACGAAGAGACTTGTTATTGTGCATGAGGCAGGTATGACGGGCGGTGTTTGGGATGAGATTGCTGCTGAGATCGGGAAGAGAGCTTTGTTGAGGCTGGAGGCGCCTGTGAGCAGGATTACGGGGTGGGAGTAAGTGTTTTCTATTTTCATTTTCATTTTTCTCGTTCCCTGTTTCTCCGTTTCTCCCCCCCCTCTCTCTTGATCGTATTCTAACAGAGTTCATTTTTATATAGCATTCCAGCTGCGCTGCAGTTCGAGAAATTCTACATGCCAGATGCAGTTAGGATTTTGGATGGGATAATGAAGACGCTCAGTTACTGATGAGTAGAGTTGCTGGTTGCGCAGTCACTGATGTCTGCTGCATCGGCCAGTCGAAAAATCCAGATACGCAAACTCGTCGAATCGTCAGTATCATTTCTTCGGTCTCAATTTAGTAATTTATTTATTTTAAAGTTTGATCGCTGCGTCAGCGCGCCATCGTGTCCAAATTAGGACAACGTCGATGTGCCATCATCGCGTCCAGAATTCTGGTATTATAGGGTCTAAGCATTCAACGATCGTGTGAATATCCCGCGAGGCCCTTGCTCCCTACATACATTTTCATGATGTCAAATATCATTTCAGCTTCTCTTTCTATGTCCCGGTCACCTTTGAAAACCTACTTCTTGGAAATCGAACATGCCGAGAATGGCCTGAGATTATGGCTCCAGAATCTTGGGATTCGTATCGTACGTAGTCTGCTCACAGTAATTCTCATACTGTTCATCCACAAGCCCACCTCCAGCTTCCAGACTCCCTGTACATCTCAGCCTCCGTGCTGTTTGAATCGGTCGACCCACACGATCTCATAGCTCTCCTCGACATGAGCATCAAGGAGCTTGCTACGCAGACGCAGCTCCAGCAAGAGGACAGTAGCACGATACTTTTTCTGCAAAGAGGGACGTGCTTAATGGAGGAGAGGATGTACCGAGCACAAATGGAGGTTTCATTATTCAGTAAAGCCATGGCAAACTTGTGCGAAAAACTGAACACGACAACTAATTCAACAAATTCACGTGAGTTATTCTATTGAAAGGGCTGTATCCAAAAAATTCAATTTCATTCCTAGCCGCATCGTGCCTCGCTTCAAAGACGCTGCCTATGGACGCTGCCGGGTATGAAGGAGTAGACGAAGAGTTCACCTCGGTCAAATTCGACTGTTCTAAACGCATACAGACCACCCGATCCAAATGCATGACGTGGCTTTCCGCATGCCGCAAAGCATCGCTTCTGACGTCGTCACATTTCAACGACACTACGAAAGTTGGCAATAAAACTAGCCAAACACTTGTTGACCCCTTGCAACATTCAAACGTTTCTCACTTCCAGGAAAAGCTCATTAAGGCGAGTATTACTAATATTATGAGTGGCCTGGTGTTCTGACGTCGTGCAGCCTGGCGAATCAATTCTTTACCTACCCAGTTACTTGAAAGCCCGCGTTGATGACGAGGCATGTCGTGCATACGCGAATGCATGCTTTGCGGAAATCAACATGCCCCTAGGCATCGGCACCGACAAAAGCGACATCAACAGCTTCAAGGCAGCGAGTAAATCACTAGACGAACTCAAGCATGACTTCCGTATTATGTACTTGAAGAAGCAACGCGCACAGTCCGAAGTGGACATGTTATCTGAAGCCATAGCACGCAGTGTTGGTGAGTATGAAAGCTCTGTTTCGATGTTTTCTATACTAACATTACCGTCAACCCGTCAGGAGGCGCATCTTCTGCAAGTGCCACGACAATCGAATCACCTCTACCTGACGACGATTGGTTTGACGATTGGAATTCAACCTCATCCCTATCTTCCGATTCTGCGCATCTGTGAGACGTGTTACTGTTGTTTGTACGGTATTCATCTTTTCCAAAGTTCACCGCTTTCACTTATGTTTAAGTATCTTCTGTTGTACGTTGGCCTTGGTTGAGTTTATGTTATTCCTGCTGCCTTTTCCATCACTTGTTTTTTTACCAATTACCATCTCCCCAGCCCAATGACGGCGCTTTTGACAGGCAGACGCATGTTCCACCTATGACATGTATATTGGAGTTATGTCTACTCGCCTGGTGCAAGGTACCGCTCATCGTCTCCAACTCAAGTGTACTCCTATCACCCTTTGACTACAATACTTAACCCTCCCCCCCCTCCACCCTACTATCTTTGCTTACACAATAGTAGCTTTTACACGTTTCCTTGAACCCTGCTTCTAGTGTACAGATAACATGCACCAATTATCATAATGTTGGAATTCACACCGTGTGCCTCGTATGAATCAGAATAGCATCCTCGTCGTCATAAGTTAATGGATGTTCTTTTTGGACTCGCGGAGGGATGGCTCTGATTCTATGTTAGTTATTAGGTACCTTGCGCAGTTCTGAAATTTTATTATGAGCAGGTCCGTTCTAGATTTTTTGCGTGTTTAAATTGATCAGCATCTAATCAGGGTGCAGGTCCTCCGCGGGAGTGCCGGGGGTCCTGGTGCAGTGGCTGGAGTCCTGGCTCGTAGTTAGTCACTACTGCATGTTGTAGTCGGTCCTCGATAGATAGAGCCGTCGCCTCCCGCTATAGAGGTTGGCCTTGGGTTTCCTTTGCAGTTCGTGCCGGTCCATCATCATACACACATCTATGCTCGCACATCCTATCCAACGCTCTCACATCTAATCATCTCCCCAAATACGACTCAAAGGCCAACCAGGCATTTGCAACCCGCCTCGCCAGCGTCCTCCAACCAGGAGACCTCGTATGGGTCCGTGACTACCATCTCTTGTTAGTCCCTCGCATGCTCAGGAATGCGATGCATTCTGGTGCTGTGAGTGCTTTTTTAACGATGACGGCAAGAGTACTGATACACTACGCGTAGGGTCATCGGTCTTTTCGTGCACACGCCTTTCCCGAGTTCTGAGGTGTTTAGGTGTTTACCGCGTACGTCCTCCCCCATTCCCCACACGTCTACATTCCTTCCTCGATCACCCTAATCAGCACACTAACCTAACGCACCTCCCTAGGCCGCAAAGACATCCTTGACGGAATGCTAGGCGCCAACCTCATCTGTTTCCAAACCTACAGCTACACCCGCCACGGACGGAATGAACACGACCTCCATGGAGTTCGTGATCGCGCAAGAGCGCACGAAGAGCTCTTCCTTCGTTTTGAGCGAGTTTATGGGTATCAGTCAGCATATGGCTGATGCGCTGCAAGTGAATCCTTGGGATCTTGGAGTGCGTAGTGTCTGTTCATTTCGAAAATCTTCGGATGATTGACAGATGTGTTGTGAGCGGGATGTAGCGGCTGCCATGAACCGCGGGTTGGTGATTTCGGAGGAGGAGAAAGCGTCAAGGCACGCGGCGTTGCACAAGGTCGTAACGACTCACACCTCGCACACGTGGGCTGCGGTCCATGTACGTGTTGAGATACTGTCGTGGAATATGTGATAAGAACGTTGATGTGCTTGTGCCTTAGCGTTTCTATAGACCAATAGTTATTGTTTTCATTTCGTCGATGCTGGGAGTTTGGCGCACAGGATGTACAAGGGGCTTCGCGGCTTATATTCAGATGTAAATACTTTCGAGTCGTGTGTGCTGCTTGTCACGATTTATGTGTAGCTAGGAGTTCTAATCAATTATACATTATACTTACAAGTGATTCCCTTTCAGTCGGCACTATGCAGTATGCGGCGAGCGCAAGCTAGTATCTATAGGACGCCTAAGTCTACTGTAAATGCTCGGCCATGTTGGCAGTGGCCAGACAAGCAGGCTGTCACGATTGTAGTTCTTGCACCTTCTATGCAATTCAGCTAAGCTATATCTCACTTTTAAAAAAATGTCACAGTGGATTATAATTCTACTAGATTTCTCCGGTCATTTTACCTATGTGTTACACCATAGTAAATTTATCTAAGGTTAAAAAATGACGTGCAAGCAGGCTGTCACAATTGTAGTTCTTGCACCTTCTATACAATTCAGATAAGATATATCTCACTGTTTAAAAAATGTCACAGTGGATTATAATTCTACTAGACATGTGATGACCTGCAGCCATGCAGTTATCTCACTGTTGTTTGCTTACAAGATGCACGCCAAGATGGTATTTCTCTGGCATAGTCTTATCTCATTTTACCTATGTGTTACACCATAATAAATTTATCTAAGGTTAAAAAATGACGTGTCATAATGAGTTTTGGTTACCAATCCTGTCTGGTCATATCAATTTCGGGTTGATTTCCTGATGTAGCAGTCTAGATGTCGACATAGTTGTTGGACGGCATGCGCTATGTCGGGTCGTGTGCCAATCGCGAGATACATCAAAGAACCGACGAGTGACCTGTATGGCGTTCGCGACATAAGGTCTCGTTCAGAATCATTGGAAGGGGTGTGAGTGCGACGAGATAGGTGAAGTCCTGGTTCCATTGGGGTGGACACGGGTACAGCGTCCCTGAGACCAAATTGCGTGATGACGCGATTGATGAGCGCCGTCTGCGACAGTTGAATGGTGCGATTAAGTCGGTTTCTGTTGAGTGCGATCCCGAGACAAAAGCGTGCTTCACCAAGGTCGGATACTGTCCATTTCGTACGAAGCTGGTCTTTGAAGGTCGAGATGGCTTTCTTAGTGCTTCCAACAGTGAGGAAATCGTCCACATGGACTGCGACAAGGAGAATGCCGGCGTCAGTGCGCCGATAGTAGATACAGTGCTCGCATTTCAGTCGGCGGAATCCCCAGGACAGCATAGCGTCGTTCATGGTGCGATTCCAGACGAGTCCACCTTGTTTCATCCCGTAGAGACCTTTCTGTAGTTCCCAGACCCAGTCCTCCTTCCCTTGTTCGACGAAACCCTCCGGTTGCTCCATGTAGCAGAGTTCGTCGGATTCGAGAAGTCTGTGAAGAAACGCGGTTTTGATGTCGAGTTGATCTATTTCCCAGTCGAGAGCAGCGCCGATATGCGTGAGGATGCGGAAAGACTCTAGTCGGGCTGTAGGAGCAGATGTTTTAGTATAATCTTGTCCCCATACCGCTGAGTACCCGCGGCAAACGTATCATGCTTTGAATCTAACTGGTTTGCTGTCTTGATCACGTTTCAGCTTAAAAATTGGGCGGCCTCGCATAACTTTACGACCGGGAGGGATGGATGATCGAGGGACGAGTTTGTAGACGCCTAGTTCACGTAGTGAGTTGAACTCCTCCTGGAGTGCCTTGGTCCAATCGCGTGCATTGTCAGATGCCATGGCTTCTGCATATGTGGTAGGATCGTCGGCGAATTCGTGTTCGAGGTGGTCGGGCATGGCTGAGAAAAGGTCAGCAAGGTGCGCAAGTTCGTCTGCCGAAACGATTGCGGCCAGGGCGTCTTCTTCTGATAGAGGAGTGGGTGATAGAGCCTTTAAGCGTTCGGCCGACGCGAGCGAATCCAGTACCGCACGCTGTGTCGTGGAGAGGTAAGGTTTACCGTCCAGGGCGCATTGTCGTTCAGAGGGGATTGGCGTGCGATTGGAACGTCGAGGCTGAGCCGGTAGAGGTGGGAGTGGTAAAGGCTGTGGTCGATCTATGTCCGGTACTTCCTCAATGGTAACAGAGCGTGTGGGAGTGTTAGCTGCACACTGTATAGTATCAGTATCAGGCAGATTGACAGAAGGTGGAGGGGGGGAGCCAAGCTGATGTGACTCAATGAACGACACATGGAAGGATGTAAAGACCTTCTGCGATGCACGATGAAAACATCGATAGGCTTTCGAGTTAGGCGAGTACCCAATCAGTATACATTCGACAGAACGGTCGTAAACCTTTGGATTGTGGTGGTTCTGAATCAGCACAAATACCCGACAGCCTATTTCGCGTAGATGTGACAAATCTGGTTTGGTGCCTTCCCAACGTTCAAATGGAGTATGACCTGCTTGCGAAGAGACTGGTGTACGATTCGTGAGGTAGCACGCGGTAAGCACAAATTCATCCCATCGATTGATGGGGACGTTGCAAGCAGTGCGCATGGAACGAGCCTTACCCATCAGTGTGCGGTGGAGGCGCTCTACTCTACCATTCTGAGCGGATGTGTATGGCGCGGTAAATTGATGTTGAGTACCACGCGAGAGGAGCCACTCTCGCATGGCCTCAGACTTCAATTCGCCGTTGTCGGATCGATAGACACCGACTTTGAGGTTGGTTTCGAGCTCGCGCGCGCATTCCCAAGCCTGAAGATGAGGGAAAGCGTCAGACTTAGCAGCGAGAGGGATCGACCAGGCGTAAGACGAGTAATCATCGATGATGTCCATAACATATTTGTTACCGGATGCAGATACAGTATCGGGGTGCTCCATCAAGTCTACGTGCACAATCCCCAGCTTTCTGGTAGCTCTATCTCCAACTCGGACCTTTGGGACGCTAGTTCTTGTCTGCTTGCCAAGAATACATGCGTCACATTTGGGGGGTTCCGTAGAGAGAGTGATAGGCATACCGGTGGCATTGTTGGAACGTGCCAAGTCATATACGGCGTGATAATTCGCATGGCCGAGACGGCGATGCCATGTTTGGAGAGTGGGTAGCTGTTGGGACACATAAGCATGTTCAGCTGATAACTGCCCCCCAGATAACGCATAGAGGCGGCGAGACGTCAAGATGCCAGATAGCATGCGTGCTCCACTGCGGGCCTGGACCCAGCAATTGGTAGCGTCGAATGACGCGATACAGTGATGAGCGGCACAAAGGGATGATACGGAAATGAGGCGAACAGTGGCCGCCGGGATGAATAGGACTTGGTCCAAGGTGATATGAATCCCTTTGGCGACGACAAGACGAAGTGTACCAATGCCAATTGCCTGGATGGATGATCCACCCATGCCATTAACGACACGGGGAGGGATAGGTCGCAAATGAAAGAAGTCGGTCTCGCAGTTGCTGATGTGAACGGATGCTCCGCTGTCCAAGAAGAATGGAATTATAGAGGGGTCGACGATAGTTTTATTGCGCTGGTTGGGAGCCTTGTAAGTCAGGCCTGCAAAGTCTACCGCGCGGGAGCATTGACGCCAGTCGAGGCTAGTCTGGAGAGGCTCAACAGCAGCCAAGAGTGTGGTGTACTCGTGGTCATCGACCGCAGAGAGTTCGCGTATAAAGGCGGGGGTTATAGTATCACTGGCGAGACCAGCGAACTCGCGACTTTCAGGTTCAGAGGTGGAGTCGGGAGCCTGATCAGTGGCAACGTAGATAGCTTGACGTGTCTCGCTATCCAGAAGGTAAGCCCTACCACCAGTATCATAACGAAGGCCTCCAGGCTTGCCAGTGGCAGCGGCTGGTTTGGAGGGTGCGCGAGAGGAGGACGAAGTTCCCTTGTTAGCCTCACGTGCCGCTCTCTTGCGTTCGAGTACCTCGTCTCGCTTGCCTTCCATGGCACCACCCTTGCCGAAACAGTCCTTGACGGGATGCCCTGATTTACCGCAGTTGGTACAGGAGGGGCGACCGGACGGGCCTCCTTTTGCAGCAACGAGGGCAAGATCTGTGGAAGTCTTAGCCGACTCGGAGTCAATCAGCTGCTGCTCTACATCGAGACGAGCTCGAATGTGCGAAGGACCGTAGGAAGCCGTGGACGAGCTGATGGTGAGGGTGTCTGCCACGTGATTGCGGACATGCGGGAGTTCCTCAGACATAGCGTTGAGCATCATGATGACGAGGAAGTCATCTTCGGAGGGAAGGCCAACGGCATAGATGCGACGAACCAAGTCGCTGAGTTGAGTACTGACTCCTGAGAGGCGCTCACGGCGACGATAGCGCAGGGAAAGAACCTGTTGGATGAGCAGGATTTGGGCAATGGGCCCAACCTGCTCATGACGAGATTTAAGGGCTTCCCAGGCAACGTACGCATCGGTGTGACCGCGTAAGAACTCCTGCTCTTCGGTGCTTGAACGAGTGCGAAGGGCGGCGACTATACAAAGATTGTTGAGGTCAAAAAGGCCGGCCCCGCTGGGGTCAAGGATGGGGTTTGGACGTGACATGATTCCGAGGATGTATGCGCCCCCGTGTTTGAGCAGGAGGTAGTTCTGCATTTTGTCTGACCAAACGCCCCAGTTATTCTTGCTGCGATCAAGGACCTCGATCTTTTCAAGATCGGTCTGGCTCAAGGTGATGGAGGTGATAGCAGCTTGCGCGGATGGGACGATGCCAGATTTGTTCTTAGCGCCGGAGCTATGAGCGCGGGTATGGGGTCCAGTTTTGGTGGATGTGGTAGGGGCCATGTTGATGGGGAGGTGGAGAGAGTCGGACGGATTGTCTTGTTTTACCCTCGAGGTATTTATGATGGCTAGCGGCGTCAGATCCGCAGGGGGTCCTTCTCCGAAGAAAGATATATTAACGCCCTTTTAGGGTCGTTGTTGATTCTCGACGTAATTCGTCGCACGCCCTCGGCGTGGATGTTCCTGCGAGTTTAATCTAAGTTAAATCTCGGCGGGCTCGATAGTGCCTAGAGGTTTCCGCGTTCTCGATTATTTACGAGAGCGCAGGGCTCATAACCTATAGAGACTAGACACAGTTAGAGACCTCAGTCGTAGTGGAACGAACTTGATTAATGTACCTAGACACAGTTAGAGACTATATGTACTCGTAAGTGTCTGGCGGTACGGATATAAATGAACCAAACTTACCCTCAGTCGTAGTGGAACGAACTGAGGGATAAGAGCGGGAAAACGTTGACTATATGCGTCAGTATTCCTAATAATCAACTCCGCTTGTCGCGTCGCTCAACGGCACGAGCTCACGTGCTCCAACAAAAGCGAGAGACATGTAAGAGAGGAAGTTGTAGAGGAGACCCTGTTCTGTATTTTGTTGTAAGGGATTGCACATATGTTGAAATTTGGCTTCTTAAATGCACGAACAGTGACAAAAATGACCTAAAGTGACCTGTTTGTATGGCTTAAAGATCAGAAAATAAAAATCTGTTTTCAAGAAAGCCTAGAGTAAGGTCTCCTCTAAAACTTTCTCTCTTACACGTCTTTCGCTTTTGGTGTAGTTGTGTTGGAAAACACGTTGCAAGCTCGAAAGTAGGGCATTTCACCACTATAATCTTCAGCCACAATCATATCTTTAATCTATTTGATCAGCTATCTCCAGTACTCCTCGAGATCTCTTGACCTATAACACCACAACAACTCCACCAAACATTATGAAAATTTGCATGCAGCTGATAAAGTACCTAAGGAAGGTATTTGCAAATTTTTGTGTTCATATGTTGCATGCGAGAGTTGTGAGACACAGAAACATCACTGGGTCACTTGTGTTTGTGCAACTTGCTGATGGGAAAATTATCTAAGCGGCACGAACGCCCTGCGGGCGTTGCGCCCCAGTGAAAATCGACAAGAATGAGGTAGATAGATAGCAATATACGTCTAACTACAAATTGAGATAGATAGAAATCTAAGAAATTCGAGACGGCAAAACTCTGATTTTGTGTAAAATGCAAGAAACCTTTGCAAAGGTAAAAATGTAAGCTTGTTTGCGTACTTTGCAACGAACTTTTGACAAACTTTGCATATGCATTCATTAATGTGCATGTGCATATTGCACAACTTCTGCATCTGCACATATGCTAACTTTATCATAGTATCCGAGTTGGTGCAGACTGTGCAGTTGAACCACATGCATCTTCTCCTCCGCCCACCATGTCATTCGTCCCCGCCGCGACCCCCGCTCGACACAATCACTCCCTTCAAGTTGTGTTTCTAGTACAACACGACAACCAGTTACCACAAGTTGATTTCCTAACTGTGACTTTGAACTACATCTAGGATCTAAGTTCAACGCTTGCAGACGTCGCAGTCACGCTAAACGGCATTTCTTCTAATTATGACTGCAGACCTTGCACGCGACCTCAGTCTTGATTCGGTCGGTATGCTCAACCACTCCCGACCCCACATATGCAAGAGAGCAGAGCTGGAAGATTCTGATCCAGGTCAACCCAAGCTAGACGAGATCAAACTGCCTGTTTAACCAAGGCATACACCCAGGTGTGGTCTGCGTGACTGTAAGTGTCTTGTGCGAGCTCGCCCGGCGGGGCCCCCAAGACTGCCTTCCGCTTGCCCCACAGCTCTTCCATCTCCTAACCACATCGTCTAACAACTGGATGCTCATTGAAATCGTCAAGTTGGTATGGATCTTTCTTGCTTTTCTTACGAGCCCTGCTTACTCTTATTAGTTTGGTTGTCTCTCGCCTCATGAACCGCGGCTAAAGACCTCAAGAGAGCCGTCAATATCATTTTCCAACGAGTCTTTACCTCATCCAACCACTCTTCTCATCGCACGAGCTCAACCCTATCTCATCTATTGCACAAGCTAGTGTGCCGATTCCTGACGGACTTGACCCGGACGCGTGGATTGTGCCGTCAATGCAAAATCGCGTCGCAGAAGAGCTGGTGATGGAGGTGAGCACTGTTCACTACATCTCATCGCATGTACTGACCACGTGTCCTATGGCCGGCTTCCTCAGGACTGGTTCGTGTAGACGACAACCACGATGACTACATGGCGCATGGCAGGATGGTGGGCAGGCAGGATGGCGGGCGGGATGGCGGACGAGGCGCAGCGAGCAGCGATACCCTACCTAATGATAGCGATACCACCCTAACCCTAGCGATACCTATAGATAAATCTTATTTGTGTGCATTAGATGTATATCGATGTGTTTTTGGATCAAATCGAGTGATAATTCGTATGTAAATGTGTATCGGTAGGTCTAAACACAGCGAGAATCATATCTAAACGTCTAAATTTTTTCTCAATGTCTTTCTTTTTCCGTCTCGAAAAGTGCCGTTTTTTCGAAACACCTCGAAACGTAGCAATAAAATTGACAGCCTCAAATTTCCTCGACGTATATCGTTACGTATCGGCCTGTTTCTTGTCGATTTTCACTGGGGTTGCGCACCCCACTGTTAGTCTGGGATCGCAGTCACATGTTTCTCCGATGTCCGATTTCGCCAGGCGCACAATTGTCTTTTTTCGATGTTGGTCATCATTCTTTCAGTTTCTTCTAAATCTGCCTGCACCTGCGATTGTGTCGCCCGTTCGAAGTTCCTTGAACTCAATCTTTGATTTTTCAAGATGTAGTGTTTATGTCTACGCACATTTCCAGGTCGGTAATTAAATTACTCCACGCTTGTCACGGTGTATGCACATTTTTAGTGATTCCGTCTAGATCCTACGGTATGTTATATACAATTCAGTATCATCTGATCTGCTGTTTAGAAAAATTGGTCATGGAAAAGGGTTACGCCAAGCCGCAGGCTCTGCTGTGACGGTCTTCCTTGCACTGTCAGTGACTATGGGAGACTAAGAGCGCTATCATACTGCAAGCATCATCTGTTCTCAATGTTCATCGTTCTTGACGCTGATTTTCTTGTCACCACATATTTTCAACGGTCATCATTCAGAAAACAGGTGACAGTCGTTGTTTGACTTGTCCTGTACTGTGAATGGATTTGTGTTACCGAGACAGAAAAATGGCTCCCCTCTTCGAATCTACCGCTAGTGCGCGCGTTGTATACTAAGCTCGTGGACCACAGCGTCTGAGTAAGACCTAGTGAAACTGTTAAAGTGAGCAAACTTCTGATAGTTGGGCCTACCACATGTCATCGAGGACTCGCTGATCAATCTATTCGGATATTCTCCACTAGCATACACCGTCACTTTTACCTTCCAATAGGAACCGTTCCCTCATTGTCCATTCACTCGTCCATGCATATAGAATTAACATGCACCGATAACATGCCCGAACGATTCCTGGTTGTGTGATGAAGCCTGCGGCCTGCAGCAGCTTTCTAGAAACGGATTAGTAGATATTTGCTGGGATGGTGGCGGATAAGTTTTAGAGGCTCGGTTTGTTGCAAAATTTCCTTGCTGCCTCAGCTGTCTCCTGATCGGGTCCAGATATATATATGAAGCTACGAAACAAATGAGCTGAGCACAACTGTGAAAATACGGCTATTCGAGATGGGTGGCAGGCTGCAGGCGAGCAGAAACACTGCGAAGGGTTCCTACAGTACTGGGGCCTACTAGGACTCGACACGTATAAATCGCCACATTTGCCGAGCATTGCCTGCTGTGAAATTCTCCAATTTCACCTATATTTCGAATTTCGTCAGCACACAATCCTGCATATTGTTGAACTGAGAAAGTCAACATACTTCCGGCTGAGTTCTGCTAGGAATAGCCAATACCAAGTTATTATTCTCGTAGTAAACACTGTATGCATTTCAACGTTGGATATGGAATCCAGTACTGATATGAATGCCGACCTGAAGCCATCATCTGAAGCACCAAGTACATTGACAAAACACTTCTTCATGGTATATAGAACTCTTTCACCAGAATCCTGCAAGTAGCATCTGTCAAAAAGGAGTAGATCGAAGACAGAATGACATTCCGGTCCAGCTTACCTGTATTTCTGCAGCAAAGAATCCATGCCCGTTGGACCCGCCACTGTTGACTGAATGGTGACAGTTTGACGGCTGAACGTGAAACCCGGCTGGCTTTGGTCGGTGATAATCCACTGTGCAAGATATATAATGTAAGAGCCATTCATCGAATGGGGGCACACATACCTGTTGGGCTACGGAACCGTTGTCAGAATGGCCTTCGATCGTAGTGCCTTCTTGCAAGCCTTTCAAATCCAGCATGAGACCCCTGCCAATATTTTCGATTTTATACACTCCGTCAGTCAGAAGACTGGACATGGCGTAATATGTTGAAGGATTGGACAAGCACCAAGTTGTTTTGGCAACAGGATTTGAGTTCTTTTCTTCAAACAGTTGGGCATACAACTCAAATTGGGCGCTTCATCTCATCAAGTTGCACAACGGTAATACTGTTCTGTTTGAACACGCATTAGTAACATTATGGCACTTTAGTTGCATAGCAAGTTGCAGTATCAGTGTTGGAGTTTGCCCCTAGATCAGGTGGCAGGCGGGGTTAACCGGTGTTTAGGAGTGATTGCAGCGTCAACATAGAGCTCGGATGTATTAGCAGAGTTCCTGACGTCCGTTCCACAGAGAGTGGTCATACGCGGCTCATATTATCTTTAAGCTAGCAACAACACAAACCCTGTCGTGTCAGGGATTTCATATGCAGACCACGAGACACACACAGAGACGCACCCAGACGGCGGGCCGATTCTGGTCACGCGCAACGAGAACCACAAATGATCGCGCAAGCAATCGCGACATATCAGCGGAACAACGACTGTCGTCACGACATGGGTCTCAATCCACTTCACACAATGACTATACCCTGCATCACAATGGTGGGAACCCGTGTCACCTTCTACCTTGTTCCCGTCACCAACGAACTGAACGCCGCTGTCGTCGCTGGAGAATACCCACTGTCCCAGACTCGAGTGCGGAAATGCACAGTCGATCACGTCGGTGGTATGGAGTATAGGAAGCTTGCTTTTTAAGGCTTCATTCGCGGTGAGTCCAGAAGTTTGATCAGCGTACCTGTCCTCACTGTTGGCCGTGCTATTTCTCAGTCCAATAGTTCCTAACTCGGACGAATTTCGCCCAAGTACAACACGCAATCACGACCGAAGAAGCGCGGAAGGAGTCACGTACTCCGGGAAATGTCGGCGCATCTGATGCTAGAGAGTATGTTCTTTAATTTGTTAAAATTTGTTATTGATATTTATATTCAGGCCAACTGCGGTTTTCTTGATTGTTTTCCATTGTCGAATAGACATGTAACGACGCGCGAGGTGCGGGTGAGCAAATACTTTTGGCAATGTTAAATTATTTTCTAATCTCATTCCGGCAGGATTTATCCCATCAAAGATCAAGTGGACGGCGCTGTACAGCACCATAGCCATCCCGACATTGCTGGCATGCATCTCCACCGCCCTTCATCTGATTGCAGTACTGATCATCGCCGTATGGGAGCCTCATATGGCTGTGTAGAAGCTTAGCTATACCATCATACCTGCGATGTTTTTTCATTTCGTTCCTTTTCGAATTCATTAATTTACTATAGTAACTTGTCTAGATTTTAGACCTCCCACATCCCACTTTTTTTCGCTTCATTCCACTCGCCTCGTCCTGCCTCCTTAACCTTTCGTTCATGTTTATATGAATGAAATGTCAAGGAGGCAGGACGAGCGCGCTTTCCGCGACTTTTCATCTTCTACGAGTAGTTTATCATGTCAATGCAGTTCCACATCTCTTGTCCCGCCAAGCTTTCTGAGTGTTGCCATTTGTCCCTCGTCTTAAGCTTCAACGCATTGCAACTCTCGTTTGGAATCCTCCCTCAACACGACCGCCTCGTTCTTAATGGTAGCGCCTTTTCATTACACCACTCGCATACAGTCTACAGACAACACTAGGTAATCCAAGATACCAGACGCACACCGGACACGTACATAGAGTACAAGAACATAACAGTCAATTACAGCAGACAAGTCCCCATAGTCCGTCATGTCGCCTCCAATACATACGATAAAAGACAGGGGTGGTGCTACATACAGTGATTGCGAAACAACGAACAACAACAATCTACATAACATGGGCGCTATCACCACACGACGGGCCGCGCATACATGCTGTTTGCGTAGGTGGGAGCAGCGATTGGGACCCATGAGGTCGGTGGTGGTGGCGGCGGCGGAGCGCGGGCTGAGACGTAGTACGAGCATGGATACCCCGGTGCGCGCGGGAGGTGATAGAAGGGTCCAGGCGGCGCGGAAGATTGTATGTGAAAGGGCATGTCTGGAAATGAGGATGTCATAGGGAACGACGAGCGTGCAGCGCTGCTGGAAACCAGTGCTTTGACATTGAACGTAGGTGACGGGAGCTCCATCCACCCGTTTCTCCCTGGTGTGGTGTGGTTTCCGGGGCTGAAGGGTGAGTCTGGATCAGAGTCGCGGTCACCGCCTTGTGCGGAGCTGGGACTCTTTTTGTCTCCCGCGTCACTGAGTGATGTGGAAGGTTCTGGCGAGAGTGGGCTTCGATACGGGAGTGGCTCTCATCTGGTCCATGATGACTCTGGTCTTGGAGGCCTTGCGCGACTGAACGTCGGACAAGAACTGCGGGAGACGCCTCAATGACAAGCGTGAAGAAGGTAGAGAGGAATCAAGACGGGGGGCAGGAGAGTGTTGTGTGTCAAAGGACCAGGTGACAGATTCATACCTGATCTCCCACCAGGTAGGAGGCCTAACCTCCCAAACTCCTGTGTCTTGCTCGGGCTTGATGGACGTCTGCCCACTCCAGTGTGTATTGATGAAGTCTTCACATACCCGATGGGCCAGCCATTTGGTGGGGGCCTGACAAAGTTGTTGAAATCAACCTTAAAATTCACACGATTTGCACCGTGACACGATACATTTTGCAAGAGCGTTTTCTTTCGACCGTCCCATAATGTCACCTGAACGCACCGGCAAACCATCGGTGCTGCCTATAGCTAAGTACCTGCTATTCACGACTCACATTCAAGTAGGAAACCTCTGTGGGAGCCACTGGCGCACAAATGAGGAACAATGTCGGCATTTTTTTGTTCTCCACTTCATGAATTGATGCCAAGAGTATTGTTTACGACTCGTCGTATCAAGGCTTGTGAGCCTTTTTGTGCCTGTCGATGCAGTTGACCCCCATGCCCGCGGATGAACATGCAAATTTCAGGTCTGTTTTATCATTTGAAATCATTTGCATTCACATTCACACTTGCACATAAAGATCTGTGTTTTGAGCATGCGCTTTCTTGCATGTGTCTCAAGAACTGTTTGTATGGTAACCTTGTATTCATAGACCGTTATCTGTAGGTTTTGACATGGCCAAGACATCATTCTTGATTTTGCTATAAATCAAATCAAGCAGAATGGCATATTGACACCAAATTGGCGGCAATATCAGGTCTCATCGTACTTCGCCTCCACAGCAGTTCCTCTGGTATCGACTGTCATGATACACAACGATCAGCGTCTCCCAAACCCGAATTCCGTGGATAACTTACCATTGATGCCCTTGGATGGGTTCCACTCACATTCTTCACCCCGTCACTCTCTATCTGGTCATCAAGAGACCATGTCAGACCCTCAAAACTCCAGATTTTCTCTCTTACCCGACGAAGAACCGTTTTATCACCACCAAGAGACGTCTGGTGCGAGCCATTTCCAGAACCCAATTCGCCCGCAACTATTTCGCCAGAGCCCCACCAAGAGCCACAGGGACATTGTGCTCAAAGGCACCTGGCAACTTACGAAAACCTTCATTGTTCCTTTCATCACCATTGCATATCTGACTTTTTGCTATACGGTTCAATATCGAGTGGTTCGCTTCAAGGGAAAAGGGTTGTACGATGAACTTGACGACACCTGGCTTGGTATGAAATCTTGATTGCGATATCTTGGCCCAATACTCATGACTTGTGGAGCCATTGTCAAATCCGGTTTAACAACGATCAGCATCATTATCGTCAGCATTTCTCTCTATCCTGTGTATGATCTGCTTTCCAGCTTGAAAGTAAGGCGCTTACTTGCTCGTTTTGTTTCGGGTTTTGACAAGTCTTTATGACAAGAGCGAAGAATTCTTCAGAGTCCTTCGCAGACGTCCCCAAGGCATTCCTCTGTCTGCAATCAATTCCATTTCCAACCCTTCCTGTGGAACTATTGAGACTATCATGCTCATCATACACAAACAATGTTCTCGGTATTTCGTCACTGCCTTTGTTGCAGCAGGTATTGCGTGGGTTGCATCGGCGCTTGCACCTGCCGCTTGTAGGTAGAATTATCTTGCCTTTGTGGCAGACTGTTAACGATCTTCCGCAGTGAGTATTCAGCCCGTTCTGGCCGATGGAGATATCCAAGCATTTCTTGTTGGTGCTGTTCCGCCTTTGAGCTTTTACAGGTAGGGAACCAATTTTCAATAGGGTCAACTATTTACGATGATTTTGCTCCATGATAGACCCACTGCATCCGAACAAACTATTCCGTCTATGAAGCAAGCCGTTTCCCCTGGGTATCCCGCTTCTATAGCGTGGGCAGAAATGGCACTGGGCATGTCATATGCGTACACCATATCGAGCAAGTCACTTGATAAACACGCGGCTTATCTCACGCCAATGCCGACCAGCATCCAAGCTTCGACAAGTGCAAGATGGTTAAGTGACGTAGTTGGACTCGATCCTTTTTGCACATGGGCAAATGCTGTCAATCTTACCAAGTCTTCATCATCAAAAGCGATGAATAGTTCCAGCGTAGCCTCCACGGCTGTTACTGCATACCTCTTGGGTCTCGATCTTGATATTTCCGTTCCAAGCAGCCTTTTCCGTATGTTCTTTTCACATTGAAACCTGTCATGACTAAAGCCATAACAGCGGTGTATAAATCCAAATATGTAACACGGATTTACGTGTTGGATCCAACTATATATGTCAAAAATCATACCACTCACACACTGCCGTCTGACGGCTCGACGACTTTTGCCGTCATTGCTTGTACCGAAGGTTGCACAGGAAACCAGATCAACATCTACCCAGACTTTACAGACATACCGACTCTGCAGTTTACTGCGCCAAATAACACTTACGAACTCGCGTTCCTCGTGTGTAAGCCCAACATCGTCATCGAAACGCGCGAGGTGCGCACACAAGGGTCCTTCATATTCGAGGTCCAGCCACTCCCAGAAGGGAAAGCTTACCCAAGGCAAGGAAACTTGGACCACACGCAAACCTCCTTTATGTTAAGCATAGCGACGTCCGTCCTATCCTCAGACTCAGGCCCTCAGACATCAGCATGGTTCGGCCTCGGGTCAGAAACACAAGTCAATTTCCTCTTTTCGGATGCTCAGATGAACGCTATCGATCTCAGCAAACTGGGCGTAACAATAACACTTCAACCAGTGCCCCTCAAGAACCTTACACAAGGGTACACTCAAATAGTACAAGCTGCGGCGAAGGGTGAGTTTTTTTATCCTTCATGCGCACATTCTGCAGGGCATTGGTAAAAACTGAGACGCCTCGGTCCTCAGCATACATCACGGGTGGCCTAGGCACTGCTTATGTCCCGGCTCGAGTGTCGAGAATGCAACTCATCTTCGCGTCGTCACTCCCACACGTCATCTTGGCTACCGTTGCGTTCGCGCTTTTATGGGCACTGAACATATACGCGCACTTCCGCCAAGGAAAATATTACGATTTCACGCTCGTCAACGTCGGAGCTGCATTGCACAATTCGGAAATACCCGAACAGTTTTCACAGATGAAAACGCATGCAGCCAATCAAAAAATCCCTCATTCACGCTGGATTAAAGTTGCCGGGGTGCGGTTCAAGACCGGTTCGAGGTATGACAGCCCGAACCCGAACACGAACCTGTTCATGATATCTCAAGGCCATCGAACACGAACATTAGCCAACGGTTCGGTCAAGAACCGGTCCTATATGGTGCTGTTCAGGTGCGAACCGGTTCGAACTTTTTCTACTACCAAAATTGAAAAAAATAGGTATTAGAGCTATTTCGCACCCAACTGCACTTCGTCGACAGCGTCGTCGAGCCAACGTTGTCTCCGCGCAGCGTCCTTGGCTTCCATCTCAGCTTCGTGATGCCTCCGCTCCTTCTTGTACTTATTCTTTACAATTTGAATGTCACCAAAGTTTGCTGGAAGTAAACGTGCACGGCGTTTGGTATCTGTCAGCCCAGCATCCGAAAATGCACGCTCGCAAGGCACAGAGGAGCCTTGGATAGGGAGGTAGTCAAGGGCCATGCGACTGAGAATCGGGTATCGCGTGACATTGGCCTTCCACCACTCGAAGATATGCTCCGCCTGGTGCTCTGGAGATGCCCGTTGGTCGTTGACAACGAGTGGCTCCTCGATGTAAGATTTGAGTTCTGCGCGAGAATCCTTAGTTATGAGCTTTTCGCGGGCACGCCGACCTTCAGTAACCCTGCTCATCAAACTGCCAAAACTATTGCTCGACTCAGAGCTACCGGGCTCTGTTGTTGGTAAATGATCATCACGAGTAGTAGTGATTTCCGCGCAGTGTTTTCGGCAGTACTTATCGAACTAAAAACTGACATTAGATCTGATGTCGAATGTGAAGTTTTCACAGAAGTCAACACATACCACTTTTTCCATAACAGCGAGAGCTTGTCGTTGGCCTTCTTCGGTCCATGCAACATTGAAATATTCGTCCTTGATGCAGGGATTGAGATCTAGAATAAAATACCAATCAGCCTCGAAGTCAACATAAGTGGTGTTTCAACGAACACATAGAAACAATGTGCGCAGGGGAATTGTCGGTCTTATTGTAGTACTTTTCGAGGTTCGTGATACCTGCGTGAATAGCATGTCGAAGCACTGCCATCTTAGGGTCTTTGGAGAATGTTTGCCACCGGACGATGAAGTCCTCGTAAAGCGGAAGAATTCGCCAGACAGTTGGATAGTATTCAGCCGAGAAGGCTTCTTGTACATCAGCTGCTGCCTAAGATATACTATGTCAATGTGACCTTCCAGTGTTTGATACACGAAAATACATACAGCTAACACCTTCCGGATCATAGTGAGGAGATCCCATTCCGTGTCTGACACACGATAACTTGCATACTTCCGCTGGTTTTTGTCGACATTGGGTACATCATCCGAATCGTCTGCAGTGTTGATAAATATTTTGACGGCCTGCCAGTGAAACAATTGAACGTGAGTGTGAAAGCTGAATGAAAATAAGTCTGACTTACTTTCTTGAGTAATAGCATTCGAGCTATAACACCATTCCATGAGCCCCATCGAGTCTTACAGTATGGCAGAAGCTCGAGCTCTTGATCGAGTGCATCTTCACAGCACTTCTTGAAGTACTTTTTGGCTTGCGGGGACCGTCGAACCTGAATTTATGAGTTAATAGCTGCCCTCGATAGTTGTCCAGGTACTACTACCTTTGCAATGAAACCTCGAACCTTCAGTAGAAGTCCTGAAACTACTTTTACCTGCTCTGAACCAGCAGGTAGGTTTGCACATGCAGTGTCAGCCTCTCGGATAAGAGCCTCAATTCCATCTTCCGTGTCTTCATCGTCAGCACTGGCATCAATCTCACCCATGGATATGTCATCTGAAGGAGGTGGGATCACAGGGACGTCTTCATCCATTCCTGCTGAATTCTTTTTCTTGATGCTGGGAGATAGCTTGGTCAAAAATGCGCCCTCAGCAAGGGCCACAGCATGCGAGAAGCAGCTATCACCAACATTTAGTCTTGTAAAAACAATTATAAGATTTCGATGGTACGAACTGCGAACGCTGCGCTGTTGCATTAAAGTCATGTGACTCATCCCTTAATTTCTTGCCCAAGACACGCAAACTTTTGTCGTTGACAGAAACATTGTCAGCTGTGATGTTCTGTACCTAATATACACCATGACACAGATTAGCAACACACAGCACAGTATAAAAATTGAATCAACCTTATCAGAGATGCCGAACTTATCCAAAACATCGTATAATTCCTCGCCGAGATTCTCGCCAGTATGACTACCTGAAACCTCTGAAAAAGATAGTAATTCGGAACGCAGCTGCCATTCTCTTGTCATCCAATGCCCTGTTACAGCGAGATATGATGTCATTATCTTTGACGTCCACCCATCGAAAGTAAGTGAAACACAGCCAGGAGATTCCTGGAGTTCCTTAGCAAGATCCTTTTGAATTTCATCGGCACGTTCGAGAACACAGGTGGTGATTTTTGTCCGATGTGGGATATCCGTGTCTTTGGTTTTGTTCCGGCTGTTGTAAGCGAGAAGTTCACGAAACGACTTATGGTCAACAATTGATAGTGCCTAGGCAGATATTTTCAATGCTGATAGGTGGATTATGTATTTATTCACGCACCTGATCAGTCTCTAGAACGAATCGAATAATATGCTCTTGTAGACCATCATTAGTATACTGAGGCGCCATCATAGGTTTCATAGTCTCCGTGAAGTTCAGAATGCTGTGTTGCCTATCAAACAAAGTTACATCAGACCCGACAATTCAAAATGAATTGTGTGTGATTTATGTATCGGTTGCCGTGCCTTCCAAGCGGTCCAATTCTTCTTGTGGAATACATCGTTCATCCATGTCAATGTTTTGCTGCACACACTTCTCCCGGTATCGACGATAGTGAGACATGCCCATACGTTGAATGTGAGTACGCATAGCAGTGTTGTTGCCTTTGAAGATAGTTTGCAGTTTGCTGTGCTTTTTCGGATTGGCTTCACGAAGCTCGCTAGTCCAAGTCAAGTGAGTTTCCCACAAGTATGAAACATGGGTTCGGTACTCACACACAAGGCTCACAAAGATAACCTTGCGAAGGATCATCATCGTCGATGAGCTTGAAGATGGTCAGGATATCGGCAGCACCATCACCTCTTTTTCGTTTTTTCTTGACTGGCTCGTTCCGCTCGGATGCTGTGTCATCAGCGGTCTCATTTTCAACCGATGTGGATGACCCCGTGCGATGAATCCCGTTTTGCTTCACCCGTGCAATCGCCGGTGGCTTTGCGACAGTCGCAGCCTTCTTCGACTTTGTATTGGCACCAACCTGCCCTTTTGGGCGAGTTGACGTTGGATCGGAAATTACTGCAGGTGTGGAATTGTCAGCTTTTCGTTTTCGGGGATTTGTGAAGTCAGCAGGGGTTGAGGATATGATTTTGAATGGGGTTGGTGAGGGTGGTTTATTCCTCGCTGGTATTTTGAGAGTCAATGATGCAGGTTCACTAGTAGGAGAGTGAACCCATTCCATCTCTTCGGCATTTTTTAGGGATCCATCAGGATTGAGTGCTGGAGCTTCGAGTTGCAGAGGCATTTTGAAGTGTATCACACTGGCTGCATGCAGTTGAATAGTACTTTGTATTTTTGTTTGATTTTTGTTGAATTTTTGCCGGCTGCACGACCAAAACAGACATCAAGATTCCTCTTTCTCAAGGTGATTATTTACTAGTACATATGGTGCGGTTACGGTTCGAACAGGTTCCCTATGGTTCACATAAAATGCTCAGTGCCCGAACCACGAACCTCTCCCAGCGTGCATCAGTCGAACCTAACCATAACCGCACTGCACCGATGGTGCGGTTCACGGTTTGGAACCGGTTCGGGCAGTTCAGAACCGCACCCCGGCAACTTTACGCTGGATGCATTACAGCGCCGATCAGGACGTTGTCGGGATGCTCGAGGCCCATGACATTGCCCTCCGCATGGGTCGAGTTGTAGATTCGCTGCGGATCATATAGGCGTCGAAATATTTGCCTATGCCGGAGAATGTGTGAGATATTTATTCGGATCACAGTGACATTTTGGCTGCGACTAGTATGTGGAGTGTCACAGATTTCGAAGGCTGGTAGATGACAACGTCTGCGGCTCATATTTTATGACACTGTTTATTCCTATAGCAGCAATGCGAGTGCATGTATCACTGCCGCGGTGGGGAGCGATGGAGCCGGAGCTCGAGATCCTGGGGTCAAATGGGTTGGCATCAATGGTTCGTCGACGTGACAGCAAGTGCGTTCAAGTTAGGAGTAGTCTGGGGAGCCGCGCGAAAAATACAGTCTGATGGGCGTACACCGTTGTGTTCACACCGATGTTATAATCAATCACTTGTGGGGACGTTCCGAATTATATGTTGGCGAAGTGGTCGCTAATTGAAGCACATTGCATATGTGAACGACTTGAAGCAGGAGAATAGGTTGTTATACTAGTACTTCACAATACATCATGATGATGGTCGATTTCGGTGATGCCATGGAGTGACTATTGTTTATTAGAAGTGGAAGTGGAAGTTGAGTGGAAGCAGACTAGTGCTCAGGATGTGAGGCAGACCCCATGCCACATCATCATGGACTCATCACCGCACCTTCTGCACTACTGACGTGACCATAGGAGCACGTCGAAGAACGAACCAAGGATGAAAGAAGATCTATTAACTTGCATACAGGCGCACTACTCTACTAGTACAGACAACGCTGCATTACGACTGTATGATGGTTATAAAAACGTATGAAGGCATATCTGTACTGCATTCGCCACACGCTTGATTGCTGCAGCTCATTGGCCAAGCCTTTCACGTCTCAAGTCATTACAAGCCTTATCTGCGGCCTTGTCTTTAGCATCATCTTTGGTGCGGGCTGTACCGTCACCGTATTTCATATCATCGACTGTATGTCGTATTGGTTAGTATGCGCGTCTCTGAATCTTCCAGCTGTCAAACGTACTGTAAACGGTCGAATACCATGTTAGATTGTTGGGAGGGCCTCGTGCAAAGTCTTCCCATCTGACATGCTTAGCCGCATCGGAACCATAAATCAACTGTAATTCGTTGTTCAACCTCGTGCGTGGGTCTGGAGGTCAATGAGCGAACACGTCCTGCATGTTGAACAAATGAAGGGAGGACGTACGGTCACGTTCATTACTAGACATTACTGTTGGAATTTGGGTACGAGTGTTGTATAGGATAAAATATCAGTAGGACTTGTTGAATAATGAGCTGCACCATACCTCTTTCTTTTATATCTGCATGGCATGCATAGCTCACTAAGCTGGCGCCGTAGACGCAAGCAGGGGTAACTGGCAGCTAGACAAATTTGGTCATTGGCAAGTACATCGCGGACACTACATGTTCCCGGAGCCAGCAATGACACGGGTTGGAGGTGGAAACAATGAAGTATCAACATGACGCGCGCTTGATACCCAGATGACAAAGTGATGGATCTGAAAGACCGCTGAGTGTCATGAGAATGGCCGATATTGCCTTCTTGCGCCTTCGGGATTTCGTACATTGGCGCTAGAATACATGCCAACTTGCCAAGCTGTATGGATAAAAAAAGTTGCACGCACTTGACTACGCATTTCCTATCCAGGATTTTTGGAAGGCCCTGTAGTAGATGGATTGCAACGGTCTCGCGCAACATATCAATTTCCGATTGCCAGTCCGCAGGTGGATTTGGCTAATGGCAGGTATAGGAAGATGTATCACGCATAAAGCGCCTTGATATCTTTCTGTCGAGCAAGGCAATATGGCGTTGGATTTTTCCGTGAAAGAAAAATAACCGAGGGATGACAATACTAAGTCTGGCTGAGCGTTACAAGAATCTGAAACACATGGTGACGGTACTAATAAATCGTACCTGCTCGCCAGCGCGTTCCGGCAGCCTGAATGCTATTCTATGAAAAAGTAAGACTCGAGGCACTACAGTACTCACAAAGCAAGTGCACATCATATTTAGGCATGGTGCATATTCATATTGAGATACGAAGATCACGGGGGTGGTGGTGGATGAAATGAATTGGTTGTTGATGTTAATTTTAGCTTTGTGATGCAGATTCCGCGGCATTGCAGCTTCTAGCCTCGTTCATCGTAGCACTACTGGCAGCAGGCGGATTGAAGCTTGAAGGTCCTGAAGTGTCGTTCGCAACGTTCAAATCCACTCCTCAAAGATTCCCAGGAGTCCCACTGCAGCCACTAAGTTAGATGCTAGAAGTGCTAGCAAACTTGAACAAACAAAATATTGTAAGTGCCGCGTTATCATGATCACTCCCGCGAACGAGGGTCGGGCTCTCGTGTCTGCACTTTTTTTTTAAAAACAAAATTCCTTTTATTGTCGTTGTAGGCTGGCCTAATGCCGACAGCACTGTCTGCACATACTAATAGACCATCGTTTCAGTTTGACGCAGTCGCTAGCACAAGCAATTGTACGTCTATTTCGACTTATCTGACGCCATATTTATGATGCGCCAGATCTTCAAACATCATACTCTAATACCGACCTATTTGTCGCGTGCACAGGACTATGCCATCTTCACCGATCGCCAGCACCTCGTCAAAAACTTGAAGCAGGACAAGGTTATCCACCCCATGAGCTCACACGAGGGGCTTCAGCCTTACACAAATCAAATCCGTCTCTTCGTATCAATCTTGTTATGCTGTCATAGCTAAAGAATTGTTCAACGACCTTCCAGCACTTTAGGAGCTTACCGTATGCTGGTGGACCCCCGAATTCAATAGGAGAGTCAATGCACCGTATTTCTTACGACCATCATCCCGGGCCACCCTGCGCAGTCTCGAAGTAAGGGGAGGGAGTTCATGTTCTGCTCGCCTGACTTCGACCACTGATCTTCTTCCAATACCGCATGGCTCCACCGGACAATTGTCGCGATCACTATATGTCAACCAAATATACTTCTCCGATTGCTCCAGCTAGCTCCAAACCTCTCCTCTGTAACTATGGACGAGGGAAGGAGATGTATCATGTATCATATAGCCCCAACTAGCCATTGACGCACAGGAATCTTCAATCCTTGCAAATGTTTTGTCCCACACACGTAAACTGAGTCCGACAAGAATCACCGGCTTCTTTAATGCACTCACACTCGCTAATTTACGTGAGCTTGAAGCTTGCATCACAGAGAAAAGGTGACCTCATGAGGAGCTGAATACATTTTTGGCATGATCAAACTGTCACCTGGAGTCCCTGACTTTCGGCGATGAAGTGACGACAGCCTCAACATTATCCAAGCAGAGAGCGGAATATATTACTCTCATTCCTTCCCTTGCCGTGGTGGTTACCTAGGATGACTATAGTTTTCACGATTGAGGGCAATGACAAATGCTCTAGTTGATTCAATACCATTTTTCAGGCTCAAATGATGATCACGGTCAGTTGTGTATTGTCCATGCATGTGCGCGCTTTCCCAGCGGCCCTACGCACTTGTGACTTGACCTGAAGTGAAGTCGACTCTCTCGTGTGCAGAGCTAATATATATTGCACCCTAATTACCCAACGAAGTCCGAACACCAGAAAATTACAACTCCAAGTAGTATACATAGCAGAAGGGGTATCTTCAGGTTAAGTTGCGCCAGTTCAGCAGCCCATCTCGATGCCATTATAAGGACCATCGTGGTCAGACTCGTTACCTGCACGACCCTATCAGTAGCGCAATCAATCAGTACCACAATAATACGTACCATCCCAGATCTCGGGGACATCACCAACAATGCACTGAGTGCTCGGGTTGTCTTGTCCTAGTGCCCAGCTATTCAGTACTCCGTCATCAGACCATATGATGCATATACTAACCAGAGCATGCAGCCCATTCAGCAGAGTCCTCAATGTGCACCTCGCCTGCGGGGTGTACAAAGCCCATGAACATACCGGGACAGATGGGTATTGGGTCCTCTTTATTGTTGATGTGCGTGAGATGGACGTGTGCATCGACATAATCAGCAAATGCTTGGTTCCCAACCTATTTTGGAAAGAAACATATTTTCAGTTGAGCGGCGACAAGACCTGGGAAGCATCATACACGAGGAAGGCCATAACCAATGGTCTGGAAAGTGGTTCCCTCAGGAAGCCAGAGAGGAAGATATACAGAATCAAGTAGGGTGATCGCGGCACCTGCGAATATCCTGATAAATACAAGACCTAATGATCCAGCACGAGAAATGAACCATACCAAGGGAGTGACCAACCAAGGTAACCGACGTGGTGCCGTAGGTGGACATGGCGGATTCGACGGCGGCAAGAACATCAGTGGCAGTACTTTGTAAATCACGAGCTCAGTGCTAGTACAGCCATCCATGCAGAATCATGTACCCACCTGGCCTGATCGTCTTTGAAGCCGTTGTGAACCTCAATGTTCGAGCTGATGCCCGGGAACAACGTCGGATCCAGGGAGGTCAAAAAGAAGTCGGCATCAGTGATGAGAGGCAAACTGCCGAACGTGCATCAGTACAAAGTCTCTATGAACTAGACAAGGCAACTTGCATTTCCGAGGGGTTCGTGCCCTGATGAGAGACGATCACCGTATCCAAAGTTGGGTCATATCCAACAAACCCTGTTGGTTTCAGCCATTGAGATCACAACTCGACACGACATTTATAGCTTAATCAAACTCACAGTACTGCACTGAGTCTCCGTTACCTCCGGAGGCAACCGGTTTGAATCCCGGATTGGCGTTACAATTGGCTGTTCAAGATCATCGATCAATCATCAGCCCAGGCTGTAGGCGCGTGTGATCACTCACTGCCACAGTTCCATGCGAGTGTCTGTACATTCGTGCAGTACCCTGCGCTGGCGTAATAGGTATACGGGGTGAAGGAATCTATCTGTGACGTCGTCAAAGCCATAATACTCTGTCGCGCGCTGAGAGACGGAAATGCCTGGACAGCGGCGGCGGCGGCAACCAGGAGGATAGCAACAATGGACATCATCGTGGCTTTGCCTCGACTTGAACAGTTTGACCTGGCGTTGGAATACTGGCACAACTTCTTTGCTTATATACATATGGCATGCTGGCCAGAAATAGAGTGCCGTGAGCACCAAGCTCTTGTACCATATGCTAAGCCTGTGTCCTCTCTCTCGAACGTTTGGACGGCATAGTAACTCGTGATGCGACCACACGTGTCGAAACGCATATGACCTAATGCCGTCAAGTGCATCATATCCTTGTGGAATTGTGTCGATAATCTACAGAGGTCGTCACAGGTATTCTGATGTAATGAATTGCTTCTCACCTGGCATTCGCCGTGATCATGATGCATACAGCTCATCACAGCTTAGCGCTTAGCCATCTGAAGAGTACAATCAACAAGGGGATCGTGGAAAATTACTACCTGAGGCGTGAGTATGCAGATCCCAGCAGTAGCCCCTTCAAACGAGGTGTACATCACAGAATAAGAATAGATTGACTCCGAACTTCGAAGCAGTGTGCATGCTATAGCTATCTGAAACAGGAAGGTCACGGATATAGCGCCAGTACACCACAGAAGTCAACGTTGACCACGAGTGTCCAATCAAAAGGTGTGATATGGATCGGGTACATTATAATAAGAATGCTGGCAGGATAAGTACCATGCATCATGATCAGTAATTACCCCGAAATTTGCAACATGTGCACACGTGCATATGGTAAAGAACGGATGCCCTTCACTGGTGGCCACGGTCAGGTTTTCTATAGCCGTCATTGCCAGGTATCACGTACCTTTACCTCATGAATACTCCACAGTTTTCGATGTTCTTCAAGCGAGATACAACTCCTCAAGAAAGAAGGCCTTCCTTCTTGGTCCCACAGGAGGGTGCTCCTGGGCGCGAACTTTGGAAAATGCAGGTAAAAGCCTTTCCACTTCTTTCCACTTTTCTTCGTGCTCCTTCGCAGCAGGTATCGGTCTCCGCCTACCCCCCAAATGATTAAACGCGTCAACTGACAGCAAACGTGGGAAAACGTCCGACAGGAACGCAGCGACTGCGAGCGGGTCACCGACTCTTGAGTCTCCTACATTTAGACTCGTAACTTTGGGCCTTCGAACTCCGCCCCCAGGCCTCTGAGATGTGATATCTGTAGTTACAGCGTTCATCACGAGGCCGATGCTTTCTAGCTGAGGACAGTGTCGCACTAAAGATAGCAAACCTTTCAGAGTGACGTCACTCTGTTGCCTCCAACCCCAATGGGTTCCCAGTGCAATACTTTGCATACTGGGCCAACAAATGGCCAGCTGCGTCAACGTGGTATCGTCCAACGAGTATGTACATGCAGTAGCGAGGTCCAATGTTGTGAGTCCGCGAAAGCGGGACAAGAGCCGAAGCGTGTCAGGGGTGAGCGTGAATTGATCTGGGAAATCAGCGCCAGCATCAGCGTAGTCTTCGATCTCCAGAATCTCTAGCCTTCTTGGCAAGCACCGATCCAGAAGGATTGTTATCCATTCCTGTATACCCGCTGCGGTTGTGCCGTGTGGTAGATAGCACTTCACTTCGCGGAGATGAACAGTTTTGACTTGCCGCATGAAAGCTGTGACAAGGTTGATATTGTACGCACGAAGCACGAGCCGGCGCAGGGTAGAAAACCCAGGATTATCAACAAGTGACTTTATGTCATGCAACTTGTGGAGACAGATATCCATACTTGCAAGATGTGCCAGCCGGCCAAGCGACTGGATAGTAGCATCTGCAAGGGGCCCGGATGTCACGTAAGCAAGATTTGACCACTTGTCGAACATGTCAGGGAGGTGAAGAAAGGACCACTTGGGAAGATGCATGATCCTTAGGGACGGACAGGCATCGCTGATGGAAGGGATTATGACAGAGTAGACTGGGTTAGTTATAGATGACATATCAAGGAATTCGAGAGCAGGTGTCAGTATTAGGCGGAAAAATCGGATGGACTCTTCCCGCGAGTCAGTCCACCTAATCTTCCTCAGGTGAGGGAAAGTGACGGAGGAAGGTGGAGGGGATGATAGTGCACGCAAGATGTCTGTGCCGATATCATGTGAAGGCGAGTTGAGGACAGGATGTTTGTCTCTTCTTGAAACATAATAACCACAAGTAAGCACAAGGCGCGAGTGCGAAAGGAATATCTCCCAGTCTGCAGAGGACATCTCTCTTTCGAGGGCCTGCGTGCGATACTCAGATGACGCCCAGTAAGGTCAGTGAACTTCGAAGGCTCACCAAAGTCGGGAGATCATCATGTGTTTTTCCTTTACTCTTAATAGTCTTGACGCAAGGAATGCATCTGATTAAAGGGACTAAAGTTCCCAGGTGCGCCCACAGGACTTTCATGGCAGGCTCCTGAAAGGCCCGACATGTTCGACATAGGGCAGCCAAGGTCCTAGCTGCCTCCTCTTCATCGCGTTCATTGACCTCTGCAAAGATATTGACCAGAATCTCTGAAACAAGCAGACATGGGTGCACTGTAGTTGATGGTAACATTGCCGCTGGACAGAATCAGATTCGAGTTCAGTACTATGTCCGGACACTGCCAATGATGCACTGCAGCACGACAACCTCGTGTTGATTAGTCATCAATGATTTCCCGCGAAAGTTGATGCCAAGCAAGTTGCCACCGCCTCCAGCAACAAGTAAATCTTTGATGTGCCATCGGAAGCTTGAACGACCCTCGAGAATCGACATGTTGTGAGCAATGAGCATCAGTGAAGAGAAAATTGCCAGTCACATGATCCTATAGTCAGCTGTCGTGGTCCATGCCACATGGCAACGTTGCCGTGAAGGACCGATAATAGGGTGAGTAATCTGCTTTTGACACTCTTCCGTTGCTCTTCCGCACAGATAAAAACCAACCTTCCGTACCTCGAATAGAGCACCCTCCCAAACTGCTGTTGGGTTCGAAGCCAAAACTGACTTAAGTTTTCAACTTGCACTGGCAGGTCCACACCGTTCAGATAGAAACCGGTTATTCTTCGTTTGCGAAGAAGGTAGGGAGAAGTCGTGTTGTAATCTCCTTGGCCCAGGTCTTGTTTGACACGTCATGATAGATCTTGGAGCCCTGGGACAGTCGAATTCAAATACTGCAAGAAGAGCTGCGTGCGTCGCCGGCATGTGCACTCCGCTTGCTTGGATTCAATGATAAAAACCATGGAGGTGAGCGAGTTCGAGCCCACTCTGCTTAACGACGTATGTGAAGGATGTCAATTCCAACTCTCTTGGGCTGGCCCATCTGAACGTTGAATTTTGAAGCCTAAATCACTCAACATGCTGCTTTTTGAGGAACACGCCGCTTGAGTCCTTTCCACCAATCAATCAGAAGGTTCCGCCTCAGCGTCCAGGAAAGCTCCAAACCGTCAACGTAAAAGTCAGCTCAAGCACATCGGCGCACGCTTCTACGTATGGTGTCCTTAAATCGAATTACGGCATGATATGAGCTTCGCGCAACCTCGGTCAAGCTTTACGCAAGGCTAGGCCGCAAAGGTCCTTACATGTATGTACAAGGGTGGCAAACACAACGGCACTTATCCATGTACTGCGTCACTTGCAACCTATAACAGGTCTAGCGATGTCCTATTAATACTCTCGGTCTCTGGAGCGCTCATTCGATCCCCAACCTACTGCTTCTTGCCTCCTCAAGTTGACAAGTAGAGGGTGTAACATAGAAACCTCCTCCCACCTCTCCCGATACATCATCCGAGTATTGAACGTTCCAGTCATGTCATACTCGATGTCGTAGCCCGTTATCTCAGCGTTCGGTACAACATCTGACAAGAACGCTGCGACGGACAACGGGTCCGTGATCTTGGAATCAGCCACTCGTAGGACTTCCAGACCGTTTCTGCGGACCCCACATCCAGGTCGTCGATCGTCGATATCCGGTGCCCAGGCGTTCATAGCAAACCCGACTACCGATAACACGGGGCAGCGCCGCAGCAACTCTGCAAAACCCTGCAGAGTAATTTTACTTGGTTGCCGCCAACCGTTCTCGATCCCCAGTTCAAGTGCACGCAACTTCAGCCACATATCAGCCAGCTGCGCAAGCTCCTTGTCATCGAGGGCAAACGTGCAAGTTGTGTCGAGATGAAGTGCCTCTAGATGACGCAGTAAGAAGAGCGTTTTCAGGGTATCAAACGTAATGATATAGCCGATAGGGAATTCCGGCGGGGATATCTGTAATTCTTTTATACGTAGATCCCTGAGACTTGGACATTGACGTGAGATTAGGCGGAAACACTGATGCACTTCAGCGTTTGTTAGGCCCTCTTCCGTCGAATGAATACGGAGGGAGCGTAGCGATGGCAGCTCTGCAATTTCAAGGATATGAACGCAATGGAGGGTGTGAGTCGCAGTGATGTCGAGCCCCTGAAGGGCAGGAAATACTGGTTGGCCAGCGAGTTTCATGAGAGAACTGTAGTCGTTCTTCTCGTCGACTTGAATAGTGAGATGTGTAAGCTTGGAATATGTTGCGAGGTGATAGAGCATTGTGTCATCGACTAGGCCGCAAACGAGACTCTGTAGGTTGCGCCAGCTCTGGAACATGTCAGGGTGTATGTCCCTCATACTATATTTCGCGGGAAAACACACGACGTGGAGAGAGTTGCTGCCAGAGGTGATGTGAGGAATAACACGCGGAAGAAGCCTTGAGTCTAGATCATGCAGAATAAGCCATTCCAGTCTGGCATTGACCAGGGAACATAGGAGTGGTAAAGCATCTGCAGAATTATTTGACCACCAAAGTCGTTTGAGATGAGTAAACATTGGGGGTGCGAAGGGCGAGGTAGCTAGTGCATGTAGGATGGTCTTGTCGATGACAAACTCTTCTTGGTCATTGACCCTGAGCGAATGAACTCTTTTGGCGTAGAACTGCATTCGCTGCCAGTCTGAAAGGCGTAACTCTTTGAATGTAGTCTATATAGATGTGATTTCAGCAAACTTCCGCATACCGCTGTGGGTCAGCACTCACGATCCTCTTTCCAATTCTCACGATTGCAGGGATGCAAAACAGCAATGGACGAAGACTTTCCAGCGAGTTGTAAAGTACGTTCAGCGCAGGTTCGTGGAAGAGGCGACAAGTTCTGCAGAGAGCCGCGAGGGATGACTGATGCCCGGTGGCAAGAACTCGTTTACAAATGATATCAAACAGCTCTGCGATCCGAAGACATTGATGCATTGGGTCGTCGTTCGAAGGGTACTGCTAAAACCTGCCATCAATGACCTTTGATAACTGAGAAGTATGACTGTATTACGTGCTTTGCGGATTTGGTCAGACAAGGACTCGGATGAAAACACAGGACATGGACTTTTAACTTGGTTCTATGTGCTCATTTGTACAGTTTTATCGATTAAAGTATCGTTATCGTGAATCGCCTGATATCTGTTCGATGAATGTTTGCGAGAAGCTCACCGATCCATTGGAACCTCTACATGTGTCATGCACAACAGCCAAAAACCACTGTCAAAGAATGCCGCAGTACACAGAAATATCTGCGACCCGGAAAGGAAGATGCCAGATGAGTGATCATAAGAAGCGAGCGACCTTCCATGATCCACGATAACAAAAGCTCACCAATTCGACGTACTCAAACAGTTGGAAATTGACAGTAATGTAGGGATATCGATGGGCACGATACCATCAGGTCAAAAAATCGGTGGGCAGCAGACAAAATAAGCAGAATTCGTTCAGGCGTAGAGCTTATCGGTCGAAGTTCGTTAATACCAGAGTGGAGTCATTACCGAGGCGTCCGCGAGCCATTGTGAGTGCTTGAAACTGACCTCAAAAAATTGCATAAAATTCCGCAGAAGGAAAAGATATGGCAGTTTGATCAGTTGAGATCCATATTATTTGGATAATCCAATTGAGACAGAGAATATGGGTCACAGTGGCCAGTGGACCATGATGCATGATGCATGATGGCAGGATGCAACCTGAAACGTGCGGCAAAATGACTGCAGAACTCCCAAACCCGAAAAGGAAACTGTCTTGTATTTCTGCGTGCACTGAACCCACTTCAGGTTATGTTCTCTTTGAAGCAACTTGGAGCATTAACACATGCACGCGTTCTACTGCGCTCTGGGCGACCGGGTTCTTTACTTCAAACAGCGCCATTGAGTGGCTCATCGATCAAGGTATTTTCATCGTGCTTCCCATGGTTATCCTCGTGTGAGTCTGATATTCAACTCGCTGTAATAGTCCCTTCAAGATGCTTTTCGGGACCCATCTTCGCCATTTCACATTGCGCCTGGAGAGACAGGGCCTGAATCTCCAGACGCTCCTTCCTCGCCCCCAGATCCTACTCCATCTCAGTCCAACCACCCCGCTGCAGTTGGCTCGCCGGCTGAGAACGCCAAAGCTAAGCTGATTTCTATGGGTTATGACGCGGGGTCATTATGGGAGCAGAGCATCGTATGGGGACACCAAGATTCATTTCGGTAGGCACCTCACGAACGGGTTGAAAAATGGGCTCATCCTCTCCTCTTAGACACGTTAACAATGCGCACTACCGTAAGGGTTCAAATTTTCTTTGAACAAGAACAACGAGGGTCGCTAACTAATCTGCCACTGCAAATGTGCAGTGCGATTCATTGAGTCGGTTAGCGCTCATGTTGTTGTCAAAGTTCGTGGCCACTGAAGCTTGGTTAGGGTCGCATGGTGTGGCTCGTGGCCCTCGGAAAGGCACTTGGTGGTGAAGAACGCGTCAAGGCAATGCTCGCAGGTCAGGGAGTCTCACTCATACTCAAATCAGCAAGCATCAATTTTAGGAGACCAGTGACGTTTCCTGACACGGTGAGATTTCCCTGACACATCTATTTAGTTTAGTCTCTCATATCCATGAGTAGCTTTTGATTGGGCACAAGCCGATTATCTCGTCGAGCCGCACACAGTTTACTCTGAACGCAGTGCTTTATTCGTATTCACAGCAAGCCATCGTTGCGGACTCGGATAGCATGCTTGTTTGGTACGACTACGACAGCCTGAGGAAATGTAACCCAGGAGATGACACATGGCGCATTCTGAATGCCGCCTCGTAGGATGGTCATGTGGACCACTGATACCCGTGTGTTCTCGTCGAGCTCAAACTTGGCATATGTATAGTAAATTGGATATTTGACATTCTTGACCCAGACCGTCTCGCCGCAAATCAGACCATGAGGTATCCAGACTGTATGCTCTGAGCTGAGTCTGACACAGTGGACAAGGCTATGTGGGTTTCGCAGCCCGGAGGCGGCGAGCAAGGCCTAATCAGGCTAGGACGAGGTGAAGCTCTACACAACAGACATGCTGGAACCTACATGCTAACTAAAGCTATGGAAAGGCCCGAGAGACTAAGTGCGCAGTCCCTGTTCATGGAACCCCTAGCCCAGCGGAATGGTCTGCGATAACCACTTATAAGGGCTGCGTAAAAACTCTTCAACGCCGCGTATCTCCTTCTGCTATTGCACCAAGCGGCAATATCCAAAGTGATCTCCGAATGATCCGCTGAACATTCCGCGAACCCTCAAATACATATGATTGTCAAGTTCACAGGACAAGCCACAATTACGAATTGAGCATGCCAGCAAGCACTCGATCAAAGGTAGCGGACTTTGCCACGTCAACTGGGTCAATTGAACTGGCCCTACATAGTGCACTGGTGCTACGTAGCTTGAAGTAAACGTCATGTTCTCTTCGAAGCGACTTGGAGCATTAGCGCGTGTACGTGTTCTACTGGGCTTTAGACGGCCGTGTTCTTTAGTTCAAATGGCGTCATTGAGTGGCTCATCTATCAAGGTGATTTCAACGTGCTTCTGACGGTTATCCTCGTGTGTCTGAAATTCTGCTCAATGTAGTCCCTTCAAGATGCTTTCCGGGACCCATCGTCGCCATTTTACATTGCTCTAGGACAAACAGGGCCTGAACGCCCAGATGCTCCTCCCTCACTCCCAGATTCTACTCCATCTCAGTCCAGCCACTCCACTGCACTTGGCTCGCCGGCAGAGAACGCCAGAGCTAAGCTGATTTCTATGGGCTATGATGCGGGGTCATTTTGGGAGCAGAGTATCGTATGGGGACACCATGATTCATTCCGGTAGGCACCTCACGAACGGATTGAAGAACGGGCTCATCATCTCCTCCTAGACACGTTAATAATGTTCACTACCGTAAGGGTTCAAGTTTCCCCCCGAACTGGAACAAGGGTCGCTAACCAATCTAACATTGACAATATGCAGTGCGATTCATTGAATCGGTCGGCGTGTTATGCTGTTGTCGAAGCCCGTGGCCACTAAATCTTATCTAGGGTCGCACAATGTGGCTCGTGGCACTCGGCAAGGCTCTTGGTGGTGAAGAACGCGTCAAGGCAATGCTCGCAGGTCAGGGCGTCTCATTCATACTTAAATCAGCAAACATCAATTTTAGGAGACCGGTGACGTTTCCTGACACAGTAAGATTTCCTTGTAACATTTATTTAGTTTAATCTCTCATATCCATGAATAGCTTTTGATTGGGCACAAGTTGATCACCTCGGCGAGCACGCAATTCACTCTGAACGCAGTGCTTTATTCGTATTCACAGCAAGCGGTCGTCGCGGACTCGGATAGCGTGCTTGTTTGGTACGACTATGATAGACTGAGGAAATGTGACCCTGGGGATGGTCTATGGCGCATTCTGAAGGCCGCCTCACGAGATGGTCAAGTGGAGGGCTGATCTCCGTATGTTCTTCTGACTGAGCTCGGATTGATGTATGTAAGGCAGAAATGATTACTCTTGAATATTGGACATCGGAGCGGCGGCGACTGGCAATGTGCCTGCCTCTGGCAAATCACAACCTGTAGTGGCGATTCAATATTCAATATTCATGAATGCCACCCTCTATCTAAAGCCGGATAATGCCCGAAGACTCTATGCTGCTGACTAATCTACCCAAATGGTGGCAAACACCTCTCATCCGTATCTCCTTCTGCCAATGCCAAAATGTTGTGCCAAGCGGCGATATCCAAAGTAATCACCACGCATGTGATCCACTACTACATCAAGGAAAGGGACGAGGATACTGTATTCCCCTCGCTGCTCATCTGTCGTCGTGACTCCAGTGCCGAAAACCAGGCTCTCCAGAGGACAACTTGACCGTGCCAAAAATGCTTTCAACTCCTCGTGAGGCCACGGTCGTATATAGCGAGCTTCAAGCACACGTAAATTGGGGAGTGTAAGTGCGTTGAATAGGTCAGGGAACAGGTTGCCCATGCGCAACGGGGTTGCGTTACTGATGCACAAAGATTGAAGGTTCGTGTGCGCGAATGGCTCAAACGTTAAGGGAACTTCTTCGTAAAAGCCTAGGCCAATCTCTAACGAGCAGAGGTTGGGACCCAGCTGGAGCAACTGGAGGATTAGATTGGGTTGGCATATAGCGATCTCGACATGTGTCAAGTGGGCCCATATGGGATTGCAAGAAGATATGCGGTCGAAGTCGAATGCGGACGGTCCAGCTACCTTGAACCTGCGCAAGGTGGATGGTAGTCGCGAGATGGATTGTGCGAATCCTGGTGTGCACCACAAGGGATTAGATGTGGTTATGGTAAGGTCCTGGAGTGCTGGGAGGTCATTTAACAGAAGATCGGGTGTGAAGGAGTTGACGAATATTATGATATGAAGGGATGAGATTTGCTTCATGTAAGGATGAAGAAGGCTTCGTAGGTTGGTCGCGTCATTTTGGAAGCACTTGAGTGCTAATGAGAGTGGACGATCTCGCGATCGCTTGAGCCATGCGTCATAGCAGAAGGCTGCCCGCTGCCGGTCTTCGTTATCGACGTCCACAATCAGTCCGCACCACAAACTGGGCATGCCTACAGCAACCTCCCTCCATCTTCGGCATATTTTAGTCAGCAGCAGGGGAGCCGACTTTGACGAGGGCAACAAGAGTTCGGTTTCCGGGAGACAGTGAACAAAAATATGGGATAAGAGTTCGGATGGAAGGCGACAGAGACTCGATATAAGTCCCCTGTGCAAGTTCATGGACTGGATAACGTGATCCTTCTTTTTAAGGAGCTGCTGGTGAAGATCTCTCACTCTATCCATGACGCTTTCCAGGCCTGAGACCTCCTGCAAAACTACCTCCAACTGCTCCTGGCGTTCGGCGATGACAGCACTGATGCTCTTGTCGCGCTCGATGGCAGAGTGGTCAGTATTGGGGGATCCGGAGTACGTGGTTTTAAGGTCTGGAATCTGCAGTGGTCATCGTCGATATAGCATGTCAAGAGACAAGGATCGGAATCGACGTACGACCACTTGAGCATGTGCCAACTGCAATTGATTATTACCCTCCAATGCATGAGTAACTCGGGCTATAAACCGGCAACTCACAATGTTGTGCAGTGCACTGATGATATCAGAGATCGGGAAGACATTGACTTCTGAGTTGGCTGTCATCCCCTCAACATTTGCCTGCATGTTGGTGCTAACGCGAGGAACGACGATGTTGAACCGAAGAACGCGGTATGACAACCGGATTTTGTATCTAGATACTACTCACCAGTAGTGATACATAATAAAGTCCCACTAAGTCCCCCACTTCAGTGCGAAGTGGGGTTCTTGTACTGCACGAAATGATAGGACCATTACTATACAGGGTGTCAGCGGTCTGCAGCCTATTTAGGGATGATAATAGTGGTATCAGAGGTCCTAATTCATTTAGATGACGCGATCACGTGCTTGTGTACCTGTAATGTGTCGCGACTTTCCATTCGTGTCTTGGCGCTTGTCTTGCTCTTGTCACTTGTTAAAGCTTGTTAACTTCTTCCACATACTATCGTCATCGTCGACGACATCGAGCATCTATCAGTCAGAGCATGACTGAAGGCACAGAGGACTGGATTGTCGCTGACAGCGAGGACGAAGACGGCTTCCAACCTCTTCAGATTGCTGACCAGAGCAACCTCTTGAGCGGGAATCCGTTTTCTACAGGCCCGGAAAAGATACCAGATCGTCAGTAATCCTCTATATGCTGTACTGCATGCTAACCAGACATAATTCTACAGCGTCGCTCATTCAGACTGCCTCATTTATTACCAGTCCGGCGCGGACTCCCCAGCGAGAACGGACCCCCGACATAAGTAATGCGTCTCTGTTTACGCCACCTCCGGTGTACCAACATTCACCACCAAATGCTTCTCCGTTACTCCCTCTAGGCGCAGACGCGCTTGTACCCAAGTCTAAACCGCGCCCACGTCCTGTCCCACGAAAGTCTCGAACTACGAACACCATATATGATGACTTCCTCATCGAAGATGCGTCTCGTTCCTCTGGCTCACTCATTAGCTCTGCATCCGCTATCCCATCCAATACATTGGCTGCAGATAGCATCCGCCCTCCAACCACCCCATCTGCTGTTTCAGAATTTATCGAGGAGGTCAATCCTACATTTAGCATTGCCGACAGGGCCAAGACGCGCTCTCGCAAGACACAGGCCAAGAAACCGACTTATGTCCCTGTCGACCCAAATGTGATTGAGCTATCATCTGACTCTGACATCGACGAACTATCCCTCAGGCCTCCACGGAAGCAGCAGAAGTCTCAAGACAAGCCCGTCAAGCCAAAGCCGAGACCCAAGGCGAAACCCAAGTCTAAAGCTAGGAAATCGCCCTCACCTAAGGTTGCTGAACGAGTCAGCGTCGATACTCGGCCGAGCGACCTTGTTACCCTTCCTGCACCACAGGAGCCAGTACTTTCGTCCCAGCTGCCTTCTACAGCCTCGCACCTCTCATTGTCTTTTCCGCCTTTACCTGAATTGTCTTCTCCACCCTCTTCTCCACCTGTGATAACTCGGAAGCGGAAGAGGGCTCCCCCGCTTGAGCCTGATCTTCAAGGAGAAGATATGGATATAGACGTCCCCAGCGGTTCGTCGCCTTCTATTGTAGCACCTCCTCTATTCTCTCCACAATCACCATCTGTGGTTCCGCCAATCGACAACTCACACACGCTTGAAGAAGAAACCGGGAATGCAGAAATTATTGCTACTGGAAACAAGCGTCAGAAAAAGGACACAAAGTCATCTACTGTGGCAAAGGGGAAGAAAAAAAGTCGGAAGCAGGCCGATGAAATCGAACTCGAAAATATTGCACACAAATCCCCTCCGGACGAGGCAGCTACCCGTAAGGATGATCTTGTGGAGGACGATTTTGCTGAGGAAGAGGTACCGAAAGTTACTTCGAAGAAGAAGGCTCCACTGAAGTCTAAACCTGCCGCAAAATCGAAACCGAAACCAAAGGGAAAAGGAAAAGGCAAGGCGATTCTCTCGGAAAGTGAGAATGAGGAGGACGACAACTCTCCTCGTTCAAAGTCACCTAGCCAAGGCAATCATTTGCCCGAGGACGAAGAATCTCGAGGCGGCAGTCCCAGGAATCCTCAAGCGATTGGGGTCGCTGAGACAACCAAGGTACTCCCTTTCCACACAATTTGACATAATGATTTATTTTCTCCTTAGAAGAATTCCCCGCAAAGCGTAACTTCCCCATCAAAGCAGACTCCGTCCACTGGACTGAAGTCACGCGCCTTCAACATCAAATCCAAATCGACCCCAATGTCAGAGCTCATCCGCCGTGTAAACTCACAACCAAATTCACCATTTGCGAATGGCCCTTCCTATTCGCCGTTGATAAAGTCTTCGCGAACGATGCTTTCTCGCATCGCACCACTCCACCCCAACCGACGAACCCCGCCGCCACCATTACCGAGACCGCCCCCGCCGAAAAAGAGCAAGAAGCAACTTGAGATGGAGGAGCGTATAGAGGAGGAGTTGTCAGAGACTGTCGAGGGGTGGTCATGTATGACTGACGAGGAGAGGAGGAACTTGCGAAGAGGGCGAATTGATGCCGAGTTGGGTTATGAATGAATCAACACTGTATTCTTATTCCTCATGATGTCGTTGCTCTTTTTATTACTATGTATCGTGGACCTTTGACAACTTGCATCTGGTTTTGAGAGATGTCCCGCTCGCTCACTATTTGGTGCAGCTACAGGCGCTGCTGGTCATGCAGGGCCTGGACAGTCATGTTCAATACTCCAAAAGCAACCTGATATTTCTCGCCAACGGTAAAAACATGATCAATAGTACCCTACAACCCCACTCCATACTTAGCCATCACGTTCCTCAATGATGCCTCATCTCCAAATCGCGGCTCAAAGCGCGCAGAGAACGGTTTAGGGTGTGCAATCACGCCATCCACGAAGCCCATCTGATCAATCGGATTCTCCGGGTCCTGCGTGATCTTGAACGACCACAAGAGAAGCGCGACGTTGATGAAAACAGAGCGATTCGCTATGTGCCGCCCGGGGCAGATTCTGCAGAAACAATTCTTCAGCAAAGTTCAACTTGGTTGGATATCAGGCAAAGGGCGTACCTGCGTCCAAAGCCGAATGAAGGGAACTTGAGGTCGTCCCGGATTTTGCCTTCGTTGTTGAGCCATCTCTCGGGATCGAACTTGTCGGGATTGGGATAGACGCTCGGGTCGCGCGAGATTGCCCTGTTAGAGGGTGATCAACATATACATCTGAATAGAATGAATAACATTCGGTACCAATGGTTCCCAAATACTGTAGCGCCCTCTGGGATACACATGCCTTTCTGCTCGAGCAGCCATAAGAATCAGGAAATCACACCAGAGCACTGGAAACGTACATAGACTATATCAGCCGAGGCACGATGAGCAAATCCAAGGGTTGTTACGGGCCTCCAGCGAAGGCACTCCAGCATGAACGCCTCGATCTGCGGAAGGGAATTGTAGTCGTCGAAAGTAGGAGCTGTAACGATTGGGTTGAGAATCGTTCAGACAGATGAGCTTCGGAGTACCTCTATCACGACCAATGACGATATCCAGTTGCTCTTGCACTTTCTCCTGCGCCTTGGGATAACATGCGGAAGCCATGACGACATACATGATCGCCACAGCAGTCGTGTCTGAACCGGCGCCAAAGAGCGATCCAGCGAGATAGGCCATTTCTTCGTCCGAAAGCTTGTGTGAAGACTGGTTCTCAAGAAGGTATCGAGCAAATGAAGGGCCGGCCACGCCGGTCGCCTGCGAAGAACTGAGGTGGTGTTCAGGAAAGATGTTGAAGGAACCAACCAATTCTCTCGAAACACGATCGAGTTGGTCATGGAAGACCTGACTCTCTTCTCTTCTCCATTCCTCCAACTCGGCTGTGTATCCTGGGACGTACTTGAGGATTGGGTAGCGCTCTATCAGGAACGCACCAGGTCGCATGAGCATCTGGAAGCGCTTGAGCATTCTATGGATGACGATGATCTCGGGAGCATCCGTAGTGGTTGGCGTAGACTTCCCATACATGACGCGCAAGATGACTGAGGCGGCGTAGCTTGCGTTGAATGCGTAAGCGGTTATAGAATAAGCCAAGAAGTGCAACACACCGATTCGCAGCTGCTTGGTGTCCTTTGGGGTTATCAAGGATGTCAAGGATAACATCACGAGCGGCATCCATCTGGATGGGTGCATAGGAGTCTGCAGCTTTCGCCTGAAGATGAGTGTGTGCTGCCCTGGATGAAACAACTTCAGCAAAACAGTTCATGTAAAAAAAAATGACAACACAACTTGCGGAGTCTCCGGAACTGCTCTCCTGCGGGTGCAAGGATCATACGTAGTCCGCGAGACAAGATCTCTCCTGCTGCAACTGCACGAGGGCGGTCCGCTAGCACACCACCCTCTTTCTCCATTATGTCGTTAGATTCCTATGCAAGTGAGTATGAAGGTGCATAGTGAGCAGAATTTGAGTCGTCTTACCTGATGTCTGCCGATGATGACCATGACCCTGCCAGGCCCAACCCGAAGGGAGATGATGGGACCATAGGTGTTGATCCATTCAGCAAACTGTTGAGATTGGCTGTAATGCGTTTACTGTCAGTGTGTACGTAGACCCAGAGAGTAGTCTATTTTATGTGCTCACTTGGCTCTTGGTAGTGGGTTTCCGAACAGCCAATGCCCTGGAGGTCCGGGAGGAAGAGGCAGGCGTGACCTCGATCGTAATTTAGCGCGGAGGACATTGCCTGCCAAAACAAGAGCAACAAATGCTCCTAGGGCCTTGAGTTGAAATGTCAAGTCCAACATCCTTCAATAGTCTATTGGTGCAAATACGGCAACTTAAAGCAAGGGAAGGAGCGGAGGAAGGAGGGGAGGTGAACGCGCGTGGTGCAGCAGCTCCCGTTTTATCTTCAACAAGCTGACAGGATGCGGTTCAAACTGACCGATGCTGATGGGAGAAGAAACACATTGGGAGACAGCGGCCCACTGATGGTTAGGGCGGCTTTGGGGAGGAGGAGATCTACATCAGTATCAAGGCGTGACACCGAGCCTCGCGATTACCTGATAGAGACAGCAGTGAGGGTCTAGTGACCTTGATAGAAGGTAAAAAGTCGTTCCATCTTCACCAAGGGTGAGTTCGTCCATGTGCATGAGATCTGAGAAGCAAACTCAAACTTCGTATCAACATAAAAACTGAACCAAATCCAAGCACAGGTAAACCTACGATAGAACGCGAATGCACTACTTGGTCTATTTGAGTAATGAGTGAGCGGAAATCCACTCAAGATCCTGAAGAACGCACCTAGAACTCCTTGGCCAACCAAACTAGTCCAACTCCTTCCTGACGAGGTCTGATTGTGTGCCCAAATAGCGAGCTATCACCGCCAGCCATAGCATAGAGAGAGACGAATAGGATTCACGCACCTGCAGGTATCTGATGAGTCTATTTTCGAACATCAACTTCACGAACGTTGGCCGCCTCGCGACGCACATTAATGTCGAAAACAAGCAAAAATGCACCTGCCAAGCCTGTCAAGGTACGAGAAAGCGAAGAAGATCCGGTTCTGCATAAGAGTCAATACGAGGTTAGTCTCTTGTACACAGAGACTGGACTTGAGGCCTGAATTTCTGCCAGTGACTCGGAAGTGGGTATTTGGATTCAAACCATTCTAGTACGTATAGTTTGTGCGCAGAGCTCGCCATGACTCTACGAGCCGATCTTTCGTGACAGTCAAGAGGTACCCGCTCGGGAAAAAAAGTACATGAGGCCACCTTACGTCGTTAAGGCCCTCACAGACCCTCCCCCCCTCCCGTGGGAACTTCCCACGCTCTAGGGGTGAGCCAAATATAGTAATTTCTGCGGTACTTACAATGGATGTTGAAGGGCGTGTCACTTGCAGAACATCCTAGGCATTGTACAGACGAACGGATGCGACATTTCGTTATTAAAAAACAATCATTTTCTTTTCTTGTGAGAGCTGGTACCACTGCTGCATATATCACTGCAGAACCAATCTGCCTCGGGTGCATCAAGCAAACCAACACATTCAAAATGAAACTATTGCAAATGGAATCAGCCGCGGTAATAGAGGAACACCAAAACCAGATGAGTACCCATTGATTGCATCTATCAAAGCTGCATTGCACCATTTCTCCAGATTCCGGCCCTCGACACCAGCAGAATTCTTCTTGAGGGTCCTCAGGTTGAGTTTCTGCATTCGAACCCTGTTCGGATTGGCTTGCACGCGGGGAACGGGGAGTTGGAACAGTGCCGTTCTTCGCTTGGAGGGCGCTCAAGCGTACTGCCGAGGGACGAATCTTGATGAACAGACGAGCGCTTGGCGCAGAAGGTATGTCTTGGCTATCACTTGTGTCAGACAAACCTCGCGGACGCTTACCAAGTGATATGGTAGACAATGGTCGAGTGGAACTCGTCTGTGCTGCATCAGAGTTGGGGATAGACGGCAACGCATCGCCGCTAGACACAGTTAGATGGGGTGATACGGCGGACAAAGGAGCGGACAGCTGTTCATCCACTTCGTCATCAACGACTTCGGACGGGAATAGATGGGGTGATACGGCGGACAATGGAGCGGACAGCTGTTCATCCACTTCGTCGTCAACGACTTCGGACGGGAAATCGGGAAAGCACACTGGGGCTTCAAGTTGAGGTGCCTCTTCCGACTCGGAGGCAGCTTCAGAATGTCTTTGGACGTGTCGTAACGCCACTCTTGAGCTATGCTGTTCGGAAATCCGCAGTGTAGATGTTGCTGTCACTTGCCTCCGCTTGCGAGGCTTCATTTTGAATTTGGTTGATACTTGTGTCCTCTCATCGTCGTCGAGCCTCCACAATTCTTCGAACCGCGCCTTATTCGCCGACGGGTGCAGTGTATCGATGTGACACGACAACGAATATTTCCACACCGGAGCAGCATTGCTGTCGCAGTACGGGCAATGAACTGGGGTGTTTGTACAAGGTGAGTGTTTCGTTGACTTGCGTGCATTCTTCAACTTGATCTTGAATAGGTTCGGGCACCGCGAACGACTGATATCGACAACTTCTGAGCCTCCAGCACCTCTCACGAGCCGAATCTCGCATAGCCCAATGCTGAGGCACAGACCACAGACATTGTGCTTGTCCTGTAAGTCCTGATCAAATAAAATATGTCCGCCCATGTGCTCAATAAGCTTTGGGCCGAGCTCCTCAAATGCAATGGCGGGGCAGCGAAGACAGCGATAACGCTCATGGAGTGTTCCGCGAGCTTCTCCATCCACCTCGCAGACAAAACACGCGGCCCCTGGTAAGCAGGATGTCAGTCACAATTGAATATTCGATGATCCATCCTTACCATTAGCAGAACGGTAGGGAAAGGTTGGGGTGAGTGGAACATTAGGGATACTTGAGACGTCATTCTTGAGACGTTCGAACAACAATAAGGCAAGTCCGCGAAGTATTACTGTGGAAAAGCGATATGTTGATGTGCCTTGGAGTGTCGAGAGATGAACATCAGCGTTGACAGGTTCAACACATCGCCCATCAAGCTCCCGTGCTGCAGATGTACCCGGTAGCTGCTCGAAAGCACCTGTCCATTCCCAATCGAGGATGACGTTGTTGTTGTCATGTCCCTCGGAGTCAGTATTAGCCTCTGGTGCGAGCGTGGCAAGCTGCATGATTTGCACACGAATGTGCACATTTGGCTCTTGTAACTCGTCAACAGGAATAATCTGGACAGTGTTGCTTCCCGATCGCATGTCAATGACCTGTCCGATAGCAAGGAAAACTTGTTGATTGCATCGAAGGAGCGTGGCTATTGGGTCTTCAATGGTCAGTACATCGGTATTTGATGTGATGTTGTTGTTTGATTGTTGAGTCGCCGAAATGACATCATCATAGGATGAGTAACCTCGATTTCTTCGCAAACGATCCTTGGAGCCCGTTGTTGCCAGTGGACTAGAGTACATGCGCAGAATGGAGGCTTTGTGAATCCGCTTGGCATGATCTTGCGAACTGTCAAGTGGAATCCACGCATCAGATTTCACTGGTGAGGAGTCCGCCAATACCAATTCTGTGTTGACCATGTCTTCCAGATCAGGCTCGAGATCAATATCGGCCACCTCTCGATTGACTGGGCCACGTGCTCCTCCGTCCGAAGGTTCTTCCACCTCTTCGATATCTTCTTCTCGTTCACCAACATGTAGTCCATCAAGTAGAACCACTTTACCACCACCAAAAGGTGCGAGTATGTCACACCCTTGCCCACCCTCCAGCCGTTGAAATGGCGGCTCAATCCCACACAATCGTAGCTCCTCTTCAGCATCGCGGCGACCGTTGATCCAGCATGTCTGCAAGACAACATTCTGGACGTGTACATCCCCTTTCCAAGACCGTGGTGATATATGATCGTATTTCTGGGAAACTTCGCCAGTAGGTGTTTCGACGATGCTCGGGAGTGCGAGCCGTCGGGGGGTACATTTCCACTCAGGATGAATGGCAAGTAGAGTCGAGCAAAGTAGCGCTGTATTGAGCCGTGATGAAACTTGTAATGTGTCTGCATTGGTATCATTGCCAACCATGGTGCGGATATCTCCAAAACACTCTTCCAACGGGTCTGTACCGAGCAGAATGATCCAGAACTCGCCATCAGGGTTGCTAGCCTGGACTTTGGCGGTGCAAAAGAAGACGTTCTTCACCATCGTCATCGTGTCGTAATAGAGTTGGACAGGAATGAAATTCCCTTTGTTCTCCTCGTAAAGGGCTAATGTGATATGAGCAGCGGCAGATAGGTGTTCGAGCTGCCCCTGCAATGACAGCTCAACATTGGTATAGGGTTCAAGTAAGTGGTGATACAATTTGCCAAGCAGCTGTAAGATGCGACGGGTGACCACGTATGTTGGTGCTGCATCAGGTGCTGCATCGGGGAGACGACCAATGGCAGTGAGCAGACTGAATGCGAGGGGGACATCTTGTTTGTCATTTGGATATAACAGCGCATTGATTCGACGTTCAGTGAGTTTCGGCAGGCTGCTGAGGTGATGCTTGAGAATAGCAGCTGTGATGACAGCACCACGAACGGTCACCCCTTTCTTGCGCAGGAGGGAGTTACGGTAACGCTTGAAATTATGCTTTGCATCAAAGTCACCAGTCACGTCATCCAACCCACATCGAAGATTCATCAAAGGCAGCACAGACAGTCTTTCGAAGATTGGTGACAATGTTGGCAACTCTTTTGACATCGTAAGACGTGCTAATGCTTGCCTCCGACGAGAATCACCATCTGATGAAATGGAGTACACTCGTTTGTTCCGCGGAATAGCAACAACTTGGTTAAATGCTGCAAGGGCACCAGAGAGGAGACGGTGCTGGCCTGCAACATCCTCTCGCTTGCAGGTACCCGATACTACAAAAGGACGTCCAATATTTCGGGTTGAATCCGGCGATAAAATACGAGCTGCAATGACAGTTGCCTGAAGGTGAAAACTCATTGAATAAAAATTATATGGTGTGCATCATGAGACTTACTTCGCTTGAAAGGTGGACCCGTCGTTCCTCAGGCACCGTGACATCAATTAATGCAGCCAGGACAGCATCTGCTTCAGCAATAGACACAAAATCCAGTGACACTGAATGTCCGTGTTCACGACACACGCCAATAATCTTATTTTCCGCGCTATCCCAGCGAAGGCGTTCCTCGACTTTGATTTCATCAGCAAATATAGTCACGGGCTCTTCCTCCTGCGAATTCAATGAATCGGGAAAGGCAATCCCGAGGTTGTGGGACAGCTCTTTGTTGGTTGGATATCCTGGTGACGGAATGATTGGCTGTGCTTTTAATCGTCTCTTTGTCGCACTGATTGATGGAAGACCATGGGATTTTCGTTGCAGATGAGCAACACGGCCACCTCCTAGACTATGGTTCAACATCATAAGTTGGAACTCTTCTTCGTCATAGTCTCGGGGCTTAAAAAGTTGTTTGTGAGCGGAGTCCATCTTATCCAGTATCGTTCTGATGCCATCCCCATGCTTGACACATACACGAACAACAGCGTGCAGACGGTAACGACCCCCAGACTGCGCTATGGCAAGTTTGAATCGGTTCATGAGGTCCAAAGTGCGTGCCTTTCGCACAAGCTGTCGAGCTGAATTGAGACCCTTAAGCTGCAGGTCATTGTTGTGACCCTTTAGGCGTTTGATAGTCTCGATGAGCTGGAAATAAGAGAAGAATGGGTAGTTGGAATTTTCGTGGACTCCATTGTGCATGCGATCGTGGATACCCATTATTTGCTCGTTGTTCTCCAAGCGGCGACAATCAAAACACGCAGTATGTTTCTTGCCATGACGGTCCAACACGTTCGCTGACACATCTTTCTTGCAGCTTTTCGAAACCAAGAAGATAGTATCATCGTGCATAATACATGTCCATGGCAATGCGTATCTGGTATGTAGCCCAAAAGGATAACATCCGTAAGGTGACTGACCAGAAGGGATTTCTAGTTGGTATCCACTGCATGGCTGGCTTGGTATTGACGAGCCACGAGATTTTACGGGCGCATTGGCTACTGGTTCCGAGTCTGGTACCTCTTTTGCTCCACTGATAAGAAATGGTGAGTTTTTACGGCGCTCAAGTTTCGCAAAGTGCGCTTACCAAATTTGAAGGCTTTTTAGCACCTTTTCTATGCGTGGCTCCAGGAGAATACCTTGAACACCCAAGAAGCGGATGCTGGTTTCTAGCCAGTTACACAAGCCGTCAATACCGAGGCTGCCACGGCGAATGCATTTCGCGAGATCTTCAGGTGTCTTTCCATACCCCAATGCATTGTCGAGTGTCCTATTAACCATTTCCCAAGGGTCCTGGTCTTCCTCAACTTCGTGCCTGGGATCACCTCTAAAACGTGACAGGAGCTCGTCGCTCGCACCCACAGGAATATTCAGAGGTAATCCCTTGGCTAATTTTCGCAGATTTCGGACAAGCAACAAACCAAGGGCACAAGGTTTCAACTCGTTCGCTAGCCCTTCCCCCGGTACCGGTCCCAGCATGTCCACGTCGATGACATCATCGTTGCACGGTGACGGCGGCAACTGTTCGCGTGCTGTCACTCTTGCGATTTCGGCCTCGCCAGCACCGGTCACAGGCTGCCAAGCTTGTGCGGGGCCAGCAATAACTACAGCTGCTTGTGCACCTGCACGTTTTGGCTGGAAAAATGAGGTGAGCATGCGAGTATTCTTAACTGCGCTGTTGTTTTTTTTATGCTCGAGGCTCTCGGTATGAGCGTTCCAATTTGCCTCGCCTCCGAGGCCAGTATTTACATCTCGGTTGCAAGAAGCACAATGTCGAGTAGTACTGACATCCTGATAAATTTAGGTTCAGCGAAGCACTCATTTTGCTACAGAGAGTTTCATACCGCCGTTTGGGCAACCTTTGCCTTTTTTTTTGACATCACGCTAGGGTGTTCAGAGTGTGCGTTGGGTCTCAATCAGGTCGATTAGCTCGATTATCATCTGTTATCTCTTTCCGCAATCTGAGACAGTCTATTTTTGATACAGTAATATATATTTGACGTTCAGACTGGTGATTGAACCCAACAGAATGCATTTTGACACCCCCCAAGGTTACGTCGATACCCCCCAAGGTTACGTCGATAAGGACCTCTGGGGGACCCCCCCCCCTCCCCCCCTCATGTTCGGCATTTCCCGAGCGGGTACCTCTTGGTGACAGTCCAAGGCTGTACAAGTATATCCGAGTCAGTAGCCGTCAGTGACACGAACTGCACCCGACATTCCTTAACGTCCGCACGTCTACCCCTTACTCATTGTTTCAGACCTTATTAGTTGCCTCACTTAGTAGGAGTAGTACCTTACCACCTGTCCACACAAGTTCAGCACCCACGGTGCTCACCTCTCCAGGTTTCAGTGGTCGACTTTCTACGTACGTGCGCAGTTCAAACATATCTACCTGGATTCTGTGCTCATGAAAGGAAGGCAGTGTCGCTCTTCGGCCTTCATCCTCCCTGCGTTATTGACAGTCATCGTGAAACTCGATTACGATAGCATGGCGGACAGGGTGGAAACGTGTCGAGCGTCCTTGCAGAGCTGCCCCCCCGGTCATTCTGATCGACCAACGATTCTCAACGATCTTGGCTTCAGCCTTTATGACAGATTCGAGCAGCAGGGTATCCCGTCTGACCTTGACGAGTCCATCGAGCTCTTTCGGGCTGCACTACTCATCTGCCCTCCCGGTCATGAACTTCGACCAACGTCTCTCAACAATCTTGGCATGGGCCTTTATGAGAGATTCACTCAGCGGGGTGTCCCTTCTGACCTTGATGAGGCCATCGAGCTCTTTCGGGCCACACTACTCATCTGCCCTCCCGGTCATGAACTTCGACCAACGTCTCTCAGCAATCTTGGCCTCGGCCTTCATGACAGATTCAAGCAGCAGGGTGTCCCGTCTGACCTTGACGAGGCCATCGAGCTCCAACAGGCTGCCCTACTCATCCGTCCCCCTGGTCATTCTGATAGACCAATATCTCTCAACAATCTCGGCCTCTGCCTTTATGAGAGATTCACTCAGCAGGGCCTCCCGTCTGATCTCGACGAGGCTATCGAGCTCTTTCGGGCCACACTACTCATCTGCCCTCCCGGTCATGAACTTCGACCAACGTCTCTCAGCAATCTTGGCCTCGGCCTTCATGACAGATTCAAGCAGCAGGGTGTCCCATCTGACCTTGACGAGGCCATCGAGCTCCAACGGGCTGCCCTACTCATCCGTGCCCCTGGTCATTCTGATAGACCAATATCTCTCAACAATCTCGGCCTCTGCCTTTATGAGAGATTCACTCAGCAGGGCCTCCCGTCTGATCTCGACGAGGCTATCGAGCTCTTTCGGGCTACACTACTCATCTGCCCTCCCAATCACTCTCTTCGACCAACGTATCTTAACAATGTTGGCATGGGCCTGTATGACAGATTCAAGCAGCGGGGCGTCCCGTCTGACCTTGATGAGGCCATCGAGCTCCAACGAGCCACGCTACTCATCTGCCCTCCCGGTCATTCTTTTCGACCAACGTCTCTCAACAATCTTGGCCTCAGCCTTTATGACAGATTCAAGCAGCGGGGCGTCCTATCTGACCTTGACGAGGCCATCGAGCTCCAACGGGCTGCACTACTCATCTGCCCTCCCGGACATTCTGTTCGACCAACGTCCCTCAACAATCTTAGCATGGGCTTTTATAACAGATTCAAGCAGCGCGGCGTCCCGTCTGACCTCGACGAGGCCATCGAGCTCCAACGGGCCACACTACTTATTTGCCCTCCCGGCCATTCTTTTCGACCAACGATTCTCAGCAATCTTGGCCTCAGCCTTTATGACAGATTCGAGCAGCGGGGTGTCCCGTCTGACCTTGACGAGGCCATCGAGCTCCAACGGTCTACACTACTCATCCGTCCCCCCGGTCATTCTGATAGACCAATATCTCTCAACAATCTCGGCCTCTGCCTTTATGAGAGATTCACTCAGCGGGGCCTCCCGTCTGACCTTGACGAGGCCATCGAGCTCCAACGAGCCACGCTACTCATCTCCCCTCCCGGTCATTCTTTTCGACCAGCGTCTCTCAACAATCTTGGCCTCAGCCTTTATGACAGATTCAAGCAGCGGGGCGTCCCGTCTGACCTCGACGAGGCCATAGAGCTTCAACGGGCTACACTACTCATCTGCCCTCCCGGTCATTCTCTTCGACCAACATCTCTCAGCAATCTTGGCATGGGCCTTTATGACAGATTCAAGGAGCGTGGCGTCCCGTCTGACCTTGATGAGGCCATCGAGCTCCAACGAGCTACACTACTCATCTGCCCTCCCGGTCATTGTGATCGACCAACGATTCTCAACAATCTTGGCCTCAGCCTTTCTAACAGATTCAAGCAGCGCGGCGTCCCGTCTGACCTTGACGAGGCCATCGAGCTCCAACGGGCCACACTACTCATCTGTCCTCCCGGTCATTCTCTTCGACCAACGTCTCTCAACAATCTTGGCATGGGCCTTTATGAGAGATTCACTCAGCAGGGCCTCCCGTCTGACCTTGACGAGGCCATTGAGTTCCAACGGGCCACACTACTTATTTGCCCTCCCGGCCATTCTTTTCGACCAACGTCTCTCAACAATCTTAGCATGGGCCTTTATGACAGATTCAAGCAGCGCGGCGTCCCGTCTGACCTCGACGAGGCCATCGAGCTCCAACAGGCTACATTACTCATCTGCCTCCCCGGTCATTCTCTTCGACCAACGTCTTTCATCAATCTTGGCACGAGCTTTTATGAGAGATTCATTCAGCGAGGTGTGCCTTCTGACCTTGACGAGGCCATCGAGCTCCATCGGGCTGCACTACTCCTTTATCCCCCTGGTCATTCTGATCGATCATTGTCACTCAACAGTCTTGCCCTCTGCCTTCGAAACAGATTCGAGCAGCGGTGCGCCCCGTCTGACCTTGATGAGGCATTTAGGCTGTATGCGCAACTCTCTCATATAGCTCATGCAGTCTCTCGTGAGGATCTTACTGCTGCCAAGTCATGGGCCACCTCGGCCGAGGAGAAGAACCATGACTCTGTATTGGTTGCCTATCAAACTGCATTGAAATTCCTAGATCAGCATGTTACTATATTGTCATCTTCTCCACTCCATTTCGATATTGTCAGGATGGCCACTGCTTCCCTTGGAATGGACGCTTTCTCATGCAGTGTTCGTCATGGCGCGCTCACAACTGCTGTGGAAATGGTGGAGCAAGGCCGTGCAGTATTCTGGACTCATTTGGCACGCTTCCGCACACCCCTCGATGAACTCTCCATGTCTGGTGACACCGGCGCAGCCTTGGCAGAAGAGATCAAGCAGCTCAGTTTTCGCCTTCATAACGCGTTCGGCCGGTCTGCTGAAGACCCGTCTCCGCAAATCCGGCAATTGACCATGCAATGGGAGGACGTCATCTCACGCATCCGCATGCTGCCTGACTTTCCTCGATTTCTCCTGCCCCCGCTGTTCTCTGACCTCCAGAAATCCGCTGAAGAAGGCCCGGTTGTCATCGTCAATGCTAGTCAGTACAGCTGCGATGCTTTGATTATCCTAAGTGATCAAGATCCTGTCCACGTTCCACTTCATATTGCGCAGACCAAAGTCTCCAAATTGTCTTCCGAGTTCCAGTCCCTTTCAGGACAATTTGGTTTTTCCAATCATCTATACAAGCTTGTCGACATCCTCCGGAAGCTTTGGCGTGATGTCGTTGACTCCGTGGTCCAAGCTCTCAAAGAGTCTAAAGTTCACCGTGGCTCACGTATTTGGTGGTGTCCCACTGCCGATTTTACGCTGCTTCCTCTACATGCAGCAGGACCCTACGAGAAGAAGAAAGACAATTTATCTGACATTTACGTCTCCTCTTACACCCCCACTTTGGCGACACTTGTTCGTGCAAGACAGCAGGTTTCTGGAGATGCGTCCCCGCAACATTTTCTTGCCATTGGTCAAGGAAACTCTAAAGGGGCGAAGGCACTCGAATATGTCGCTCCCGAGTTAGCCGTAGTCGCTCGGATTCTCGCGCCTGTTGTCTCGGTCACGTCGCTCGCGGACGGCGATGCGACAGTTCAAGGTGCACTTGATGCACTAAATCATAACCAGTGGCTCCATCTCGCCTGCCATGGAATGCCCAATCGAACACAACCGTTCGACTCTTCCTTTGCAATGTGCGATGGGCCGTTGATGATCAAGGACATCATCCGGTCCAACTGGCAGAATCCAGAATTTGCTTTCTTATCAGCCTGCCACACTACCGTAGGCGATGAGAAGAGTCCCGACGAGTCGATCCATCTCGCTGCGGCCATGCAATTCTCCGGATTTCGCAGTGTAATAGGTTCCATGTGGTCTATCGACGACGAGGTTGCACGACAGGTTGTGTCTGCTTTTTACCGCAACCTGGTCAATGGGTCAGGGAGATTGGACTGCACACGGGCTGCGGTGGCGTTGCACAAGGCTGTGAAATCGTTGCGCAAGAAGATTCCGCTAGAACAGCAGATCGTGTTTGTTCACATAGGTGTCTAGTTTGCAGTTTATGTTATCCTGATTGCTTTCAATCCCCTGTTGTCCCTAGTTCTCAGTTACTCAAATTATGTCTGTACGATACTTTTGTTTTTTCATTGTGTACTAGTACTGTAAGCACCGTTCCATTGAATGATTATACATTGCGTTGTCGAACATACAAATGAGTTGACTGTTTACACAAGGACTTTGTGCGATGGACTGGTGCGTAATTCTTCCTTGATAATATATGTGGTTACTAACACTTGGTAAGTTCGAGCGACATCAAGAACACCGCGTATCGCTCGACTGCGTTGTCTCCTATAGTGCGCCGGCATACATTGCAATCAACTCTCGCTGGCCTGCAGCCTGACAAGGAAATTAATGTAGAACAAAACGACCAAGGACAAACTCTCACTTCCGACACTTGTAGGTAAGCCTCGAGAAATGACTTGGGTCGCGAGCGGCGGCACTGGAACGTCAGTCATCTACAAATAGAGGCAGAGGTGGGCGAAGAAACGTGTCATTGTAGGATACCTGCTGCTTTATTAGTGAATGTCAAACGCACATTATTCGACTTACTCTTATAATTCGGGATCAAAGTTTCCATCCCTAAGTCCAGTTGCAAAAGTTTCTAGCAACGAACTTGTCCGATCGAGGATGATAGCCAGCTGAGAGAAATGAAATGCGTGGTCTGTGGTGGGATTGACTGACTGTCAGCACACGGAAAAATAGATGCACACATGTACACCGTATCCTTCCTCCGTGAACGCTACCTAGTGTTTCCAACGTAGAGAGACGGTGGGCTTTCCGATGGTCACATCTTGGTCAGCATGTGTTCTCAACCCTTGGATTGACCGGGTTCGTGTGGAAGAAGAGCGAAGGAGTTTCGGGAGGTAGTGAAGACAAATAGTTACTGTGTGAACATGAACCAGAAGATCGAGGAGCGAGGGATATCGCAAGCGATGTCACCGTTGCGTGCTACAGCCCGCGATAGTGTACTCGCGGGAAGCTGATCTGGCGAGGAAGCAGAATCAGGTAAACTGCAAGCTCATTATAAGCCATTTGATTCATCGCAACATGTTCAGTCATTCGGCGCTGGATGCAGATCCTCGGTCTCACTGTTACTATATGCTGTAGACTCACGTCATTATACCACTCGACACTCGAAGAGTCAGTAAGGATATGACAGTTTTTCTCGAGTCTCACTGATCCAAAGCCTTTCCTCAGGCTCAGCTAGCCTCTGCGCTCTCGGATCTTCATCGTTGGTCGTATTCTTCTGGTGTAGTCCCGGATATTGGCATAAACTGCCACATGATGGATCTAGTGTGGTACGTTCTAGTGCGTTTTTTTTTTTCATTGAGGGTTGTGCGATGCGCATTGCGCAGGGATGGCCCGGGCATGGGTCAAGTTATGATTCTACTAGTACCTCTTAGACTGAGTTCCCACGGCACAGATTTTTGCGCTCAAGTTTCAAAATTTCATGCACTGTTTGCACATCACATGCACATTCGAAGGGTAACCTAGAGCTCGAGTGCTCTGGAACGCTCTTAGAAGGCTAGGTCTGGAATGCTCTATCCTATGGTGGATGTTTGGTTACAGTTCGACTTCCCGAGATGCCGCACGGATTTCCAATGTCCGATCGGTGTTTGGTTTCAGTAATATTGTTTCTTCGATTTTATTCGATGTATATCCCTCAAATATCCCTAGCGACTTTGTAAGGAAAGGCAATCTACATTCTTCAGCAGTCCAGAGGGGGTTGTAAGTCGTGAATCTGTGGTTCATTAATGTATCAATATATACTCATTGGACTACTGACGCTTCAAGCCTTGCTCTAATGCCCAACTTGCAAGGCAAAAATGGGAGAGGTGTTGTTGGTCGTAAGTACATTTGAAACTGGGTTTAGTCAACTCAAATTGTAGCGAACACACACGAGATTCAGCACTCGGACTCAGGAGGCAAGAGGAAGAATCCGGCTCACCCTAGGCTCCTCCATAATGTCTATTCAATAAGGGTTTCCGTTTAAAACACTCTGCACTTCAAGTGGTCTGTCACGAACCAAGATTCAGAAACCATCCATTTTCATCTCTTGATCAAGGTAGGTTAAGTTCGTCTCACATGCTCTCTGCCCATTCCGTATTTCAGGCCATTGCCCTCTTCAATGCAAATCAACATGACGAGGCAATGCTGCTCATCAAAGAGCTAGCTGCCGCTCGTCCGAATGCTGATACCCTCGGATGTCGCATCGTGTGAAGTAAGTATTGGCATGCGGCTATGCTCGGTTATCAACACTGAGTACTGGTGTTTGCAACTCGCACATTAGGCATATCTACGCGTTCAGCTCGGAACCAAGGCCTTGGATGGCGCACGTTGGTCCAACGGCAAGTTTTCAGTAGTGCTACTCAAAGCTGTTATACTGACCCGCATTTCACTCAGACTTCAAGGAACAATGTAGCCCGCTTGCTGCTCGCAATGACCGTATTCTTGGCACCTGTACTCCCTTTCTCAATATTTTCGCTACTGACCTAAGTTATACAGTCGGAGATTCCAGGGCAAGATCAAGATGGTTATGATGCAGAACCTGATTTCTTCCGGGGCATGCATGGTGTGGGTGCATCGGTGTATCCTTCATTTCTCTTTGACACATCATTCATTACAGCATTCTCAAATTTCCAGACCACCACCTCAGCAGCGCCCGGGGCGCTTCAAGAAACTCAGGCTCGCTGCGACAAGGCGCTTTCTTCCTCCTCCTGCGCATGCACCCACATTAACATCGCCTACCGCGCTACCACCTGTCGCTGGTCGCTCATTGGGCAAATCAAAACGTGATTCTGCAAGGACGTAGGTACGAAATTCTACGAATATCAATCCAGGGTATGGTACATATCGACCAACGAATGGCAAGTACAACCCAACCACAATACCAACGAACGAAAAATTACAGCCAAAGGTTCAGATAGAAATACAGGACTCAGACCTCTAATTCAAGAAAGAAAAAGCCAAATTCTCCTGCTCCAGATCACCGTTAACTTCATCAATCATCTCCCGTGCTATACGCCACTGCCTGTCGATATATGCACGCGCTCCTGGAAAGCGATTGAGGTCATGCCGGTTGCTGGATCAGAGTCAGCCACGAGCCGAGCGTGATATTCTCGAACGCTAAAATGACCACATTGTCTTTAGCCACGATTGATGTGGATCATCATATGATCTTCCTCCTCGTCCGAGTAATCTACTGTCGCTGTGGTGTGTTGGGTTCTTGTGTGTTGGGCCGGTGTGTAGAATTGCGGTCTTACGGAAGATCATCAAAATATTCGTCAGGTACTAAGTCCTCGTTCCCAGGAGCATCCACTGCAGCATTGCGCTATAGATGTATATATGAGACAAGACATGGTGATGAAAATGGACCGGGCGCACCTCTTTGCCCTTCGCAAAAGGAACATCGACAACGGGTGGTGCTGCATGATCGGGTCGCCAGGTGAATAAGTATCGTATTGTTTGTTGTGATATCTATGTTGACTCGAGGCAGTATTTCATCACTATATCCTTCAGGTTTCTCCTTGTTCCTATTCATAGCTAACAATCCCGATCCTTACCTGAGTCTCCAAGCTGTCGGGAAACCCCCAAGATGATATCACTAACACTACGCTATGTATGAGTCCTCGAACGGGTTTAAACAGGTATAGGGTAAACCTGTGGGTGTATATTGAAATTAGACATTGTACATACTGACTCCAGAGAGGCATGATGTAGGATGCCAGTGAGTTGAGTTGAGGGAAGACGAACACAGACGCAGAATATATGCAAGGTATACATTGAATAAAATCGAATAAATGAAATAAATGAAATAAATGATAATACTCGAAGCAAACACTGATCGGACATTGAAAATTTGTCCGGCTTAGCGGCAAAGTCGAAGTGTAACCAAACATCCACCATACTATCCAGGTCTAGACAAGGTCTAGGACGGCTTGTGATTGAAACCTTGTAAGAGGCAAAATGTTGAAACCCCCGATGTTGTTGGAGATGAGTCCGCTTCAACATGCGACGCGTAGGATGAAGGAAAATCGGTATGGGAGTCACATGGACATTGGACATAGCTATTCGCAAGCACTGGCAATTTGTAAGTGTGAGACATATGTCAAACTCGCGTGTGCTTACAAAGCTCCAGATCAACGCCCACACTGCCAGTGGCAGACTCGGAGGTGCCAGACTCACAAGCTTGTCACTCTCGTTAATCGACTGGTATCAGTTGGTATCTGTGCTGTCATTCCAAGGGTCAAATGAGTCACATAGACTTACCTGTCATCACAACCGGGGATTCAAAAAAGCCCCTCAGCTCAGAGGAGTGCCCATCTGACTATTTTCCGGACGGAGGATTCAGAGCTTGGGCCACTGCGTTTGGAGGGTAAGATGCCTATTGAGTACCGCTTCAACGCTCGTGACCATCTACCTTTCCCAGCTTTCTTGTGCAATTTTGCACGTATGGGTGAGCTTTAGAGCTTATTTCGCGAGGCAGTCTAACGAAGACCTTATTTCAGATACACAATTTCGTTCGGCGTTTATCAAGGTAAATTTTCATGTTCTCACAAGGAGCTATGATATTCCCAAGGGTGTAACTTCGATTCAAAGATTTCTATGGTCGGACTTATCTAACGAACGAGTCTCCCTCAACAATTGCGTGCGTCGTACTTCTTCGGTAGTTTTTTCTCTCCTTTTATTTGTTTCCAGCTGGATCGGCAGTGTGAACGCCTTTCTTTTCGAAATGTGTGGCTTGATAAGTGGGCAGCTTTATGATCGAGGATATGTGTAAGTCAAATTTGCAGCGTGGTTTTTACACGGTGGTCATTGGAAATGTCGGAAGCCGTCAATTGGTTATAGGCGCATCTCTCCTTCAAGTAATCTCGCTGTTCATGCTTTCACTTGCCAAACCTGATCAGTACTACCAAGCAAGCATCTATTGCTTATTTTACGGATCAGTCGCTGACTACGGTCACAGGTATTCCTTTCGCAGGGCATCGGGTCAGGCTGCGCTGCCGGTTTGCTTTATATCCCCAGCATGGCTGTTGTTTCGCAGTATTTTCGCAAACGACGCGAATTGGTGATGACGTTCGTTGCTTCAGGAGCCTGCCTTGGCGCTGTGGTACACCCAATCATGTTAAACAATACCCTGAATGGCCGCATTGGATTTGCCAATGGAGTTAGGGCTAGCGCTGCCCTTATCAGCAGTTTGCTGCTCATAGCATGTTTCCTCATCAAGCCAAGGTTCCCCCCATCAAAGGCATCAACAACATTTCTTGCAACCGCAAAGAAATGTGCTCACGATCCTGCATATATATTTGGAACTGCAGGGTACGTTCGCGCAGATTTAATGAATGTGGGCTCACTTTGATTTGCATAGGTTGACTATTTTTGCCGTCGGATTCTACTATCCCTTATTCTACCTCCAGCTCGACTCGGCTATGCACGGTCTCAGCAAAACGTTCTCATTTTATTCAGTTGAGTTCAATAACCCTCCTTCGTGAAGATGTTTTGAACCTGTCAGCTCGTAATTATGAACACATCGAGTTTCGTAGGACAGCTAACAAGCGGCTTACTCGTTGAGTGCTTTGGTGTCCCAGCAGTGTCGACAGTTTCGACATTTGCCGGCACTGTCTTACTTTTTTCCTTGATCGGATTGCGCACCCTGGCAAGTGTGGTGGTGATAGGAATCCTTTATGGGTACAGTGCTGGAATTTGTAAGTTTGCGTACCGTTACTAGTTACACTGACTCACCGCTTGTTGCTACAGTTCAAGCGCTATGGGCGCCAGTTCTAGCTGTCTTATCGCCAGACCCATCTGACCTAGGGTATGCCCGTTCCTGAAAAGCAAGTCTGCGAAGACGTATGACATTGGTTCACAGAGCCCGCATGGGCATTTCGTACGCCTTTATGGGTAATTATTAGGTTGCTTTCAACTTGGTCCTGTGCTCATATGCACCCTAGCTCTCGGGGGGTTGATAGGTATATAGATATCCCAAGAGTAACGTTCACCTTTGCTAAATCAAAGGGTACGAATAGGCCCGCCGATTTCAGGAGCACTGTTAACAGGTGATTACATCTGGTGGCGCGGCGCAGTTTTTAATGGGGTGAGCGTGTATCGTATCTTGTCCGTCAACAATACTAAGGCGCTACAGATTATGGGAGCAATTGGGTGTTCGTGTTTTATTGCCATGCAAATGGTGCTCAGGCGTCGGGATCTCGTTTCTCAGTAACGAGGCGAGTAATGGTTACTCGGCTTCCCAGCACTTACCAAGAAATGACGTCCAACGATATTTATAACAATATGCCTTGTTTTCTCATCGCCAGAATTGACAGTTCCACGCACAGAAGCCGACCTACAGTACAGAAGTCCAAGGCTTCAAATATTAATACTCCAGTTTCATAATGTACAGAGTGGTTTGATGCGCAATCTATGATTTACTGACAACGGACATGCGAAACGATCCCTACGCGTACAAGTCATCATCCTGCGAGTCATCCGTGAAACCAACATTGCCAGCGGGCGCCGATGGGGCACCGCCAGCAGAGGGTGCGCCCTCTGGGAATCGGAAGTTGTTACCGAATCCACGTGATTGTTGCAGGTTCTGTAGAGGAAGAAGATTAATATTAGCCAAGTATTAATATTGATGTACATCTAATGAAAGATCATACCTGGGAGAACATCTCGTACCGCCTGATATCTTGGTCTGACACCGACCGACGAGCGCACTTCATCGCCTCCTTGAAGTGCTCTTTTGTGATCTCAGGAACACTGGAACAGGGTCTTCCTCATCTTCGTCCATCTTGGCATCCTCGGCATCCTCCTTCTCCTTCTGCTCGCAATGTCTCCTAATATCAGACTCGATGCTTTCGCGAATGGCCAACTTTGCTGCGCGCTGGCAGATCTCTATGAGATCAGCACCAGAGAATCCATGGGTCTGCTTCGCCAAGAATGCGAGATCCAAGTCTTGAGCAATATCTGTACTAGTAGCTCGTAGCAATTAATGTATCACGAATGACTTGTAGTTATAGGTACAGGTACAAGTGGGCATGATGTGATTTATCCTTGGAACGTGTAGCTGGCGAAAAGTTCTATTAACTTGAGTATGACTGCCGTGAAGTGCAGAAAAGTACTTACGTCTGAAGTGATTTGTAGGAGTGAAGTTTCTCGAATCTCCCCTATGTAGACTCCCGCTGGCGTTCTGCCTCCTGCCGAAGATGTAATGATCTCATAGAACGAATCGTCTCGTTATCGGGCAAATCTGGGAGGGCAAGGTATTCGGCTAATGTATATGATTTGCCAGGAGATAACCGCAGCTGGGGTTTCCTAGCTAGTTGGTCGCCCATAGCAGCGAATCCATATCTATCCTCCAAAGTCACCCATTCCACGGCGGTATGAATATTGCCTTCTAGCCACTTCTTAAGCTTGCGATCCAAATGATGCTCGGCTAGCGGCAATTGCATATTTTCATGCGAATAACGGCATTGGGTGAACAAGAAGACACGCAAACTGCTACCTGGGACGTCGGGCCAAGTATGGCATCCAACGAGGAATTGAGGTTTGTCATTAGCGACAAGCCAGTCGTTCATCGGCTTGTATATACAATGGTCTTCAATCTGGGTGTCGTCGATGCTGAGGAGTTTGTTGAGCGCACGAGCACTCTGCAGAGATATATGATATCCGCCCAGGATCTGAATCATCCTTCTGCGCGAGTAAAAACATTACAATCCAGAAAACGCAACACGGAAAGAGCCATGGCATACCTGGTTTATTTCGTGCGAGTCGGACGAGATATCATTAGTCGATGAGAGTTTGTGGTATGCAACATAAAAGCCTGATACTGATATTTAGGGGTGGAAGTACGTTGGAGATTACAAAGATTCGATTTTGTGGGCTGAACATGTTGGCAACTGTCGAGAGTCGTGGGAGTTCTTCACCGAGCAACTCGGTCGTGTCAAAGATGCGCTAGTACTTGAGTATGTCCTAGGCTCCTAGCTGACTTATTGAAGTATTAATATACTACGAGCTAACTCGCCCCAGCACTCCCATTCACCGGCGAGCAATCACTTCCTCGCCTTCATGCCTTCATTTCGGAGGCCCTGAGATGGAGGGCCGTTGTTACAATTTTGACCCGAACGACCCTTTGGACGTGGAATATCATTCGACATTACTCAGGAATATCCGAAGAAACTATTCAACGTATGGAAAAGCTCGTAGATGATCCTTCCAACGTGTCCACACTGTTTTTGATAAGCTAAAAGTATACCTCGAACAGACAGAGGTGAGTCTGCGGGCTTCGTCCTCGCAATACCTCATATTGATCAGGGCTTTAGCGAGAAAACGAGTACGTAGTCAAAGAAGGTAGCAGCGGGTGGTGGGTACATCGCGACGTTCTCAATAGAACTATCACCTTCCGGAATCACGCTGCTCCTACAGGAGACATACCATTGCCTAACCTTCATTTCATCGCCCTACACGCAGCCATCTCTTGAATCTTGCACATGAGTGGTGCATCTGAGGTATTCGCACAGATCTTGGACCGATATGATGGTGGAGCAGGAGGCAATGCTGGAATTCTGAAAGCAATGGAAATCCAGTACATCGACTATCTTCGATGTCTGCACTGTATATATGCGCCTCGTTGGAGTCCGCTGCATAGAGGTTGCAGTATTGTCTGTAATATTGTTGGTGTAAGTTCAATGAATGTACCATTGGACCTCAACACACGTACGGCACGCGACAGTATCTCCGCTACATTGCTCCTACCATCCTCTCTCTCGGGGCAGGCCGTAACTCGGTTTGATCGTGTCAGTGCTCAATTTCAGTCGGCTTCTGATGCGTGACTGAGTGTGTATCCAGTTCGAAATAGATTCCCCGCCTCCCCCAGACAAGTGCACGAACCTTCAATGATCTACTAAATGTGCGCATCTCATTCTGTTACTCATTACACCACTTATTCATCACCGCCATTGTAGTCTGATGCAACTCGTCGTCCTCCTGCCGTGCGCGCAGACCACCAAGATCTGTCATACCTATGATGCAGAGACCTCCACCTACAATCAACCTGCAGCAACCCATTTTCCTTCGCCTCCGTAAACTTCTTCCCTTCTCTTCTTGTGCGAATGCAATTCCTTCTGTTCGGAATAATTCCCAGTCTCGCGGCCCTCTAGATGTATGTCTCTGTTTCTTGCTTCGTTTGCCATTGACTCAACACTCGTGCTGTAGTTCCCTGCTACGTCGCCCTTACTGTCCAATCGCCTTTATGCAGAAAGCCCTCCATCAACTTCCTTCAAGTTGCCCGGTGGCAGGGCCTTTTTCAATACCATTCAGTCCTCGTCTAACAAGGGGAAGCAAAATGCTCGCGAACGGAAACGGAAACCGGCAAAAGTTGTCGACGTTCCTCTCGGACAAGCTACCTATGTGTGTTTTCTGCTATTCCGTTGAGTTCGTGAGATCTGACCGCGTCATTTGCTAGGGCGACGCTGTTGGTGTGGACGACGGAAATCGACCGTTTGTTCTCTTATTTTGCCTGAGCTGGTTCCAGAAAAAGGAGAAGAAGCAGGTTCCACAGCCAGTATATGATGACGATCCTGAGGATGGGTATTTGGACCAACTTGAGAAAATTAGTCGTGGCTATGGCGAATTCGAAGCTGCCATAAGTGATTGTGCAAAGTCAGTTGCGCTATTCCGCCCCGTGTCTGGAGCTGTGGCCGTGCAGTTTACAAGTGCCACCAGTGTCCTGGATCTCGGGCCCAAGATCATCGAGGGTACTGCACACGCCTGCTACGCAAGTGGAAGGGGGGGCGGACAGCATGGATGTGATGAAGGAGAAACCGAAGGAGGAAATGAAGGAAGAAGACCCAAAGGTGCACGCTGCTCGACTGAGCATGTATGGTGTTATGACGCGAACACACCGAGGTCCGAGATCGAGATAGTGAGAGGCCAAGGAAAAAGAAACGGAAGCAGTGAGAAGGGGATGGAGGTGATGATATGTGGGTTGAGATGCCTCCGCCGGATATCATAAAGGTTTTGCCTGACAAACTTTATTGATTGAGTGTACAAAAAACAAAAACTTGAACAATTGAGGATAAAAAAAGTCCATAACGGATCAGCTCTAGTAGGTAGATACTTGTGTTCTAATGGTATGGAGCAAATCAAGGACATCTTGTGAGATAATAGAATGGTATACGCTTGCATTCACAAACATGCCACTTTCGTCTACATTCCAAACCTCGCAGTGGGTCTTCGTCATTAAGATGACCCAAAAATTGCCGACTTGATGACCCCTCTTAGTAACCAACTCCTGATAATGTGCAGCCCATCGGATGTACTTGTCTTTTTGGATGGCTGTGACCCCGGGCCCCTCATCTAGGTTTTTGGCTTCTAAAATGAGGAAAGGGATGTCCTCATGCAACTCAGGAAATCCCCGTGCAACGATGAAGCCTGGGAAGGTGCCATCACTACGCGTCTGGACTGGTTGGTCAGATGAATCAACCGAGCTAGTACTTGAATGGGTTGAATCTGTTCGAGTACGAAGCCGTGCTTGTGGCTTTACTAAAAAGCCCTCGTATACTGGAAAGTATGTCGAAAGTAGGGTATTAATGGGTCCATACCAAGAATTTTCATAGTGGACCTCTTGTGCTATGAGATTTTGAATTCGAGAGATCAGCCATGGTTCAATCACTGGATTATAGGGAGTTGTCATGCCAGGAAGATAATGCTGCGATGAACATAGCATTGAATTTATGAGGGAGGATTGACAAGATGGAGGGATACAAGACCTACCTCAATGTCGAATGGGCAGACTGGGGACGGTTCAGTGAGGGGACACGAGTTTTATACTCAAGTTGTATTCAAACCTGGCATACTGCACACCCGAAATATTCAATGTATGTCCATGGACTGGACATTGCTAGAAGAGACAACGAAGTAATAGGATAACTAACAAACTACTCCTATGTCACTATCTTGGTGCGGCACGAACACGAACGGGGCAAATGAATGAGCACATTTCTTTGCGGTTGCAAGAACTGTTGTTGAGGCCTTTGATGGGGGGAACCTCGGCTTGATGAGGAAACATGCTATGAGCAGCAAACCGCTGATGAGGGCAACGCTGATACCCTGAATGACCGCATTGGATTTGCAAATGGAGTTAGGGCTGTTTAACATGACTGGGTGCACCACAGCGCCAAGGCAGGCTCCTGAAGCAACGAAGGTCATCACCAATTCGCGTCGTTTACGAAAATACAGCGAAACAACAGCCATGCTGGGGAGATAAAGCAAACCGGCGGCCGCGCAGCCTGACCCAATGCCATTCGACAGGAATATCTGTAACTGTAGTTAGCAACTGATCCGTAAAATGAGCCAATAGAATATTGCCTGGTAGTACTGATCAGGTTTGGCAAGTGAAAGCATGAACAGCGAGATTACTTGAAGGAGAGACGCGCCTATAACCAATTGACAGCTTCCGACATTTCCAATGACCACCGTGTAAAGACCACGCTGCAAGTTTGACTTACACGTATCCTCGAATCCTCGATCATAAAGCTGCCCACTTATCAAACTTTGAAAAGAAAGGCATTCATACTGCCAATCCAACTGGAAGCAAATAAAAGGAGAAAAATAACAACCGAAGAAGTATAACGCACGCAATTATTGAGGGAGACTTGTTCGTTAGATAAGTCCGACCATAGAAACCTTTGAATCGAAGTTATGCCCTTGGAAATATCATAGCTCCTTGTGAGGACATGAAACTTTACCTTGATAAGCGCCGGACAAGATTGTGTGTCTGAATTAAAGTCTTCGTCTTCGATAGAACTGCCTCGTGAAACAAGCTCTAATACTCACCCATATGTGTAAAATTGCACAAGAAAGCTGGGAAAGGTCGATGGTGATCAGTGTTGAAGCGGTACTTGATAGGCATCTTACCCTTCACACGCAGTAGCCCAAGCTGTGAACCCTCCGTCCAGAAAATAGTCAGATGGACACTCCTCTGAGCTGAGGGGATCTTTTGAATCCCCGGTTGTGATGACAGGTAAGTCCATGCGACTCATTTGACCCAGAAAGTCTCAGTCTTCGCCCCATACTACCTACTGCAGGGTTATGAACACATCGACAGTTAACAAGCGGCTTACTCGTTGAGTACTTTGGTGTCCCAGCAGTGTTGACAGTTTCAACGTTTGCCGGCACTGTCTTACTTTTTTCCTTGATCAGATTGCGCACCATGGCAAGTGTGGTGGTGATAGGAATCCTTTATGGGTACAGCGCTGGAATTTGTAAGTCGGCGTACCATTGCTAGCTATACTTAATCACCGCTTGTTTCTCCAATTCAAGCGCTATGGGCACCTGTTCTAGCTGTCTTATCGCCAGACCCATCTGACCTAGGGTATGCCCATTCCTGAAAAGCAAATCAACGAAGACGTATGACACTGGTTCAGAGCCCGCATGGGCATTTCGTACGCCTTTATGGGTGATTATTAGGCTGCTTTGAACTTCGTCCTGTGCTCATATGCACCCTAGCTCTCGGGGGGTTGATAGGTATATAGATACTCCAAGAATAATGCTCACCTTTGCTAAATCAAAGGGTACGAATAGGCCCGCCGATTTCAGGAGCACTGTTAACAGGTGATTACATCTGGTGGCGCGGCGCAGTTTTTAATGGGGTGAGCGTGTATCGTATCTTGCTCGTCAACAATACTAAGGCGCTGCAGATTATGGGAGCAATTGGGTGTTCGTGTTTTATTGCCATGCAGATGGTGCTCAGGCGTCGGGATCTCGTTTCTCAGTAAAGAGGCGAGTAATGGTTAATGGTTACTCGGCTTCCCAGCACTTACCAAGAAATGACGTCTGACGATATTTATAATAATCCTTGTTTTCTCATCGACACAGAAGCCGACCTACAGTACAGAAGTCCAAGGCTTCAAATATTAATACTCCGGTTTCATAATGTACAAAGTGGTTTGATGCGCAATCTATGATTTACTGACAACGGACATGCGAAACGATCCCTACGCGTACAAGTCATCATCCTGCGAGTCATCCGTGAAACCAGCATTGCCAGCGGGCGCCGATGAGGCACCGCCAGCAGAGGGTGCACCCTCTGGGAATCGGAAGTTGTTACCGAATCCACGTGATTGTTGCAGGTTCTTTAGAGGAGAAAGATCAACATTAGCCAAGTATTGATGTACGTCTGATGAAATATCATACCTGGGAGAACATCTCGTACCGCCTGATGTCTTGGTCTGACACCGACCGACGAGCATACTTCATCGCCTCCTCGAAGTGCTCTTTTGTAATCTCAGGAACAGGGTCTTCCTCATCCTCCTCCATCTTGGCATCCTCGGTATCCTCCTTCTCCTTCTGCTCGCGCTGTCTCCTAATATCAGACTCGATGCTTTCGCGAATGGCCAACTTTGCGGCGCGCTGGCAGATCTCAGTGAGATCAGCACCAGAGAATCCATGGGTCTGCTTCGCCAAGAATGCGAGATCCACGTCTTGGGCAAGGGGGGACTTCTTCAGGGCTGCCTTCAGAATAGCCAAGCGAGAGACTTCGTCGGGCAAAGGGATGTAAATGAGCTGGTCGAGACGTCCAGGACGAAGTAGGGCAGGGTCGATCTGATCAGGACGGTTCGTGGCGCCGATGATGAAGACGTTCTTCTTGGCGTTCATACCGTCCATCTCCGTCAATATTTGATTAAGTACGCGGTCCCCTGCACCTCCTGCATCACCTGATGAGCCACCACGTGCCTTGGCGATGGAGTCAAGCTCATCGAAGAACATGACACAAGGAGCGGCAGCGCGGGCCTTGTCGAATACATCACGAACATTGGCTTCGGATTCACCGAACCACATCGTGAGCAGCTCGGGCCCCTTGATGCTGATGAAGTTGGCTTGACATTCGTTGGCAATGGCTTTCGCGAGGAGAGTCTTACCCGTCCCCGGAGGGCCGTAGAACAAGACACCCTTCGACGGTGACATACCGTATTTGAGGAACTTCTCGGGATGCTCGACAGGGTATTGCACCGTCTCCTGGAGCTCGAGTTTGACTTTGTCGAGACCACCAATGTCGTCCCAGGTAACAGTGGGCACTTCGACGGCAGTCTCGCGAAGTGCAGATGGGTTGGAGACACCGAGGGCAAAGCGGAAGTTATCCATAGTGACACCAAGGGAGTCCAACACTTCGGCGTCAATCGTGTCCTCGTCGAGATCAATGAGATCCATCTTTTCACGGATCTGCTGCATAGCAGCTTCTGAGCAAAGAGAGGCTACATCGGAACCAACATAGCCGTGTGTATCAGCGGCAATCTGAATAGAAGTGTCAGAGTGGCATAATACACTGGTCTAGAGTTTCTTTACCTGCTCAAGATCGACGTCATCACCCAACTTCATGTTCTTCGTGTGTATGCGAAGAATCTCCAGACGGCCAGTGGGGTCTGGAATACCGATGTCGACTTCACGGTCGAAACGACCAAAGCGACGGAGGGCAGGGTCAATGGAGTTCGGCCGGTTGGTAGCAGCCATGACAACAACATTGGACCGAGCCTTCAAACCGTCCATGAGAGTGAGCAGTTGCGATACAACGCGACGCTCGACTTCACCGTTCGTCTATCATGTTGTCAGAGAAGGCATGACAGATACTCAGCCTCACATACCTTTTCACGCTTAGGAGCGATGGAGTCAATCTCATCAATGAAGATGATAGCAGGCGAGTTTTTCTCGGCCTCTTCGAATGCTTTCCGCAAGTTGCTTTCACTCTCACCAGCCATCTTGCTCATGATCTCCGGGCCGTTGATCAAGAAAAAGAACGCGCCGGTCTCGTTGGCTACCGCACGAGCCATTAACGTCTTTCCGGTACCAGGAGGACCGAACATCAGAATACCACGAGGCGGCTTGATACCGATGGACTTGAAGAGTTGTGGGTGACGTAATGGCAACTCGACAAGTTCGCGGATCTGGGCCATCTGCTTTCGACAGCCACCGATATCGTCATAACCGACATCTGCGAGGTTTGATTCCTCGTCTTCGCGCTTGACGGGGTCACCCTCTGTGATATGTTCAGCGGACGTGATGGGCAGGAACATAAACGAACAAACCTGTATGGATGACAGTGTCCTGGGCCACTATACAGAATTCGGCGGGATCAGTCTCGATGACTTTGAATTCTACTGTCCGCATGCCGCCACGAACAAGGAATGTGTCACCCTTGCGGACTGGTCGGTATGCTAGGCGGAATAAGTATCTTGACCATATTCATCGACTAGTGTGTACATACCTTCAAGGAAGTAGGGTTTGAGGTAGACATCAAAGATGTTACCACTAAGACCTTCGATGGAATCGTCGAACGGCAGGACGTGTATCCGCTTGCCGTATTTTATGTCTAAACATTGATGGACATTGACAACATCGCCAAGTTTCACGCGCAAGTTATTCCGGGCGACCTTGTTCACCTGAATGCGACCTTCCTCGACGTCATCAGAGCTCAGGCAAATGAGCACGGTGTCGCGACGTTTCTTTCCCCTGCATCCCACGTTGTTTAGAACAATTCGATGCGAAAAGAGGTCGCGATGCATACCTCACGATGATAGTGTCACCCCGGAAGAGTTGCAGAATCTCCATGGTGGCAGGGTTCAAAGTTGCAACTGTTCACGGAAGATTAGATAGGTCATCAGCAGCGTTCGAAGCAGACATACCTGAGTTGTCATCTGAAGTAGCCTCGTCGACAATGAGACGATTTGGCCTGTAGATGTCAGATGTGTGTCATGGGAGATCTCTGGTGCAACATACGATTTCTTTGGCCGCAGAATTGCGGTAGAAGTGTCATTAGGACCTGGTTGTGGTGCAGCACCGCTGGGGTCAGCCATTATGATTGTCTAGCAAGGAGAGAGTTGACAGCGTTAATGGGTAAGGATAGCTTTTGTACTGGTGAAGAGGCGACGCGCGTCCTGCTGAGATGGACGCCACGTGTGACTACACTACCTAATCAGTTTCTCGTCCCTTCGATAACCTTCCAAGCCAAAAATTAAATTTAATGAAACTTTGCCAAGTTCAGTTCTAAGACCAACGAACAGTATGTTTCAAAGATTCAGATGCGCCTTGTTTGAAGTCCACAAGTACTCTCGGTATGTATACATAGCTATATGCCTATAGGCCCCAGGGGATTTGCACAAAATGTGTGCCTAGAGTACTGAAAAAACGTACAAAAGCCCTCGAAAAAAACAACAACATTTGTGTGAAGAAAGTCTCGCGCTACATATTTGATTAGAAATACAGTTCTGCCCGCCTAGACCAGATGCCCAGAGCCGCACCCAGGGATAGAACCCAAGAATGCACTGTCTGGGCCATGAAATCGCAGCAATGGTCCGCAAGGATATCACTTACGCACTACTTCTCTCTTGAGTGCGCGCATGATTCCCTTTCCTGCTTCCGCACCTCTGCAAATACACAGACCAACTCTGCTACATCTCCCCACCGTCTTCGATAGTCGGGAACGCTCCCACCAGGGCACACCACCTCTCCTGTCCAAGATAACGCTTCCCGGAGGTTGGGCACGATAGCAGAGAGAAACGCTGCAACTTCGGCTGTTCTCGTAATGGGCGAATTGCAAAAGTTGATGGAGGTGATGAGCTTATTGCTGATGCTGCTCATTGGAGGTGCGGGAGGTGCCTTGGTGTCAATGATTGCATTCACAGAAAGTGCGAGCTGATATAGATCAGGGCAATGTTCCAGCAGTAGAACAAGCCCAGTCAGATCTACTTGTGGAATATGATAAGGCCCTGCTTTCTGCTGCAGTATGAGGACTCGCAGCTGCGGCCACGCAACAGTGAGCTTTTGCAGCCCGTCGTTATCCAGTCCTGGGAGGATAGCTCCGCTGAGCTCCAGTATCAACAGATTCTTGAAGCTAAAAAGCGGTTTTAATGATAAGGGATTTGTGATAAGGTCGTCGTCTTCATGCGGGGCGGCGTTGGTGTGCAGGGAAATGCACTTCAGTGACTTGTGCGGTAGCTGCAAGGGAAGCAAATCCAGAAGCGCCTTGCGTCCAGCAGGATCATACCCCGCATCCATCCGATGGTGGAAACAGCGTATGTTCCAGTTGGTCGCCTTAAGCATAGAGAGGCAAGGACCGACGGTTTTAGTATTGATTGTCAAATAGCGAAGTTTGCAAAATGGCGATCTTGAAAAGGTGAATGCGGATGGGATATCGTCTCCAAGTCCAATTGACAAGCGGCTCAACAACGGAAATTGCGCCAAGTGATGAAGAGCTCTGATTGAAACCTCCCCGCATGTGAGTGATCTCAAAGCAGAAAGTTTGCATATCGCATCTTCTGTGACATTTGGACTGATAGCAACTTTGTGATTTTGGATGACTAGCTTCTTAAGCGATGTGCATCCAAGATCGGAGAATGCAGCAAGAGCATGTTCAGATACGATAAGCTGCGCTTCCGCGGGGTTGTGGCCGAGGAGCAGACCCATGAAAGCGATCATGACATCAAGTCCAGCAGAGCGGGCGCTGAGACAGTGCCAAGTCAATGTACGAAGGTTGGGTAGGAGGAATGAGGGATCAGGGGGGGACGAAAGGGCGCGATAAAGCCCGACATCGCTCGCGAACCATCTAAGCCGTATGCTACGAACCCGGCGAGAATAGCTTGCAAATATTTCCCAATCCTCAGGGCGCAAGGGACCCCTAACAACCTAGACACCATAGCTAGTGAGAAGAGTTCTCAGAATCTTCATGTGAACATTCACCAATGTACCGGACCTCGTTGACCACAGATCGCGGGGCAAGCGCTCAATTAATGGCTGGAGCCCTGGGAGATCTGAATAGATGTCATTCAGCGCGGGCTCGTAAAACAATCGACATGTCCTTGCGAGAATCGTCAACGACCTATAGTCAGCACTTTTGAAGATCTCCTGTAGAATTTCTTCGAGGTGCAGACACGGGTGCATGAGTGGGTTAGCGCTAAGGACCCACTCAGCTACTGAAAGCGATGCGACAGCGAGAACAGCCTTCCAGCGCTACCACCTTGCCTATAAATACGCGCACTACAGGAAAACATTGTGCCAATTCTAATTTCTGAATCAGCCTGGTCACTTCTTCCAGTAAAATTCTCGACATATGTAGCCATAATGCAACCGCAAATCACGAAGTCCTTCTCTGTAAAGCCTTCCACTCCTTCCTGAGACCCATATTTTCAATGATGCCGGCAGGCATGCAGTACACTGGGTCAAGGTCCACTAGTCCTGGGTATCCCAATAATGACAGGCCTGGGGAAAATATGAATGTGAGATCGTTTCTAAGATCGGACCATCTTACGCACCGGCCAAGCCAAAATGTGTGTGGAAGACATCAGGCATATCGCCCGGGCGGTCGGCAATCCCTCCTGACTCGGTGTCTTGCGCAGAGAGAATATAGGCCTCAAGTTTACTCGAGTCTATCCATGTGAGCTTGCCAAGGATAGAAAGAGCGGATAGCACAAAGAAGCTGTAGCAAACCTGTAAACCGAGAATCAGGAACCCGCAGGGCATGCACTTGTTGGGAAACTCACATCTTCCAGCTTCTCAGGGCGCCCGTTAAGCCCTCCACACGGTAGTTGTCGCTCTGATAACCACCAACAAAGGGTCGGCTGATCGACCTCATCCAATCTGTCCAGAATAGCGAGTGCCGCAACACAAACGAATACTGTGGCGCTCCAGCGATTCGAAGTATATGTGTGTTAGAATGCTCACCTTGCGCAGCGTGACTTTCCGCGCCCGCAACGGCTCCAAATCCACCATCGAAATTTCTGCAACTCCTGATATACGCAACAGTTTTCTCGACGTCCAATTCATCAAGCCTTCCGAGAAGCGAGAGAGCATTGACGGCACAATACAAAAAGCGTGTATCAGTCTCGCCAAAAGCGTCGCCCGCAAATATTCCAGAAGGCTGCTGCAAAGACAAGATGACTACGCCATATCAGCAATGTCAACCCATTCGACAAGAGACTATCACAGCACATTTCACAACGCGGTCGACATCGACTCTATCGAGCGCGTTCTGCGTCACCAAAATTTGTATTGCGCTGAGAGTAGAAAGCAGGTGCGCGTCATGGTCAGGATGAGCACTAAATGCGCCTGCGGATTGTAAGCTCGAGATGGCATAGATCTCTTGGTCGGAACAAACCTGCCTCTTCGTCCCAGCAGCTCATAACGAAATCTATCATCTCATCGCGATCCAACGCATCCTTGTGTCCCATGACACAGAGTGCAGTCAAACCCCAGTACACCGCGTTCATCCTTAGGTGAGCCGAGAGGTGATAGGACAGTTCATCTTGGCTCTGCTTGAAGGCTTAGAGATCAGTTCGCCGAGTAAGAGTCGAACAACCAACATTTCCAAGAGCTTTGATGTATGCAACATGTATGGGAACGGTCAGAGAAGTGAACATTACGAAACTGGCATAGAGTGGTAACTGTCGAAAGAGTCAAGGAAAGAGCTTATGATAAACCGGGTACCGGTACCCCTGCATCTCCTGTTTTAGACATGTATCGCTTCCAAACGGTAAACCCGAAGTTAACGACACTCTTCCTTTGCTCTTCCTTCCCATAAGACCATATGGTGGCTAGGTGCTCCCTTCGTTTTGAAAACGAAATCGGCTGTATATCAAGTATACTATGAACAACTTCTCTGAGATTACCGTCGTGTCTAAAAAGAATGTGTGATAAAAAGAGCGCGTGATGAACGGGTATGTATCATTCTATGGAATGAACCTCATATCACCGTCATGCTTAATAGAATATTAATGAGAAAAGGAATGAAAAATGAACGTGGAATAAAGGAGTGGTATATAAAATGTAGCAGGAATCGATATAGGGTACGCTCTGCGCCATCGCTTACTTAGTAGATAAGTTACCGGAAGACGCACATCATGAACTGGTGCTGTTCGAGGTGCCGTTCAAGTATGGAACGCACACGTTCGGATCATGGAGCGCCGCGGGGTCCTGGGTCAAGAATCCGAGTTCCAACCCCTCAAGGTATGACCTAGACAGCCGTCAGGTCATTCGTACAGTACCCTAGAATGCGCATTGACTGACCATTGCCTTGCAAGAGCATTCCCGTTGGTGAGGGTCGATATCTCGGTTTTGAAGTTCCAGAACTAAAGTATTCTTCCTTGAGTAACGTCTTGGTCAAGCGCTATGGGACACGTACAATCCATCCAGCACCCTTACTATAGGCCAACTTTTGTGCGTCAGCCCACTGGTAAAGGAACGCGTCCGTGGCATTGAACTGCGTCGGAAGACCCCACTCTCCGAACCAGAGCGGGGAGTTACCAACTGCTGCATCGCTCTGGATGCGTGTAAGATCTTTACCAAAAAAAAATGAGTACGCCATTGCCCAATCAACGAGGAAGAACGCACTGCAGATACTGATCATGTAGGCCGTCGGATTGGCATCCGCGACTCCCTATAAAAATGTTAACGCGAAGCAATAACCTGTGCACACACGACATACACCAAACCTGTAAAGCGAAAGTTGAGAAATCATGACAATTGATATTGATACCAAACTGTGCGCTCACGAGTAATACAAATGGTTGTCATATGCTTGGGGGCCAATCGCGACGTCAGCTGGGTTAGAGGGGTTGTTGTACTGCCAGTTCACATCCATGAAGCTTTGCATGCCACTGTCAGAGTATCCCAGCAGAAACATGTGTTGAACTCACTTCGCCACCAATGAACTACGGGACTTCTTGAAGGACGATGCTTCGAATATGGTCTGCATATCGTATTCTGCTCCAATCTCCTGTAGAATCGGAATGGCATCTGCAAGTGCCGCTTGAACTTCCGCCGTGAAGGCAGTTGCCGAGGATGTTGCGCTCAATGCAGCGGTGAAGTTGTTTGAGAGGGACGCCGATATCGATACCGATAAACTGGATGACGGCACAGGGATTCCGAGTGTGAGCTCGACGGCACGCATTGTCTGGACGAAGTTCTTTTGGACTGGATGAAGATTCAGGGGTTAAGAGAGCACAAATATAAGAATGATGAGTGAAACATACAGGTGCCATAGTTGGGTGTTAGAGCCGCGTTCATGATGGGTTCATTGATTGCCTCGATCGCAAAGACACTTCCAAAATTAGGGTCTAGGTGAGAAAGCGTAGTCATGACCGCTGTCCACACCAGTGCACGGTGGTAGTTGTATGAAGTCTGTATGTAAGGTAAGTCTGGTTGTTGCTTTCACCTCCTGCGAAATGGCTCACGTAGAATTGAACATCAGTAGTGCAACTGGTAAAAATCACTCTCAATACAGAACAGATAGCAAACAAATGGGAACTTACTTTCCAGTGAACATTTGCCCAGGCACTTGAACACCGGGTAATGCGTGATGATCCAGAATCGCATGGATCCCAGCATCTTTCAACCAGCTCAAGCCCCGGCGCTGGTTACAAATGCTTGTGTTTAATCAGAGTATTGAACGACAACAGTGCCTCTCACCAAATATTTAAGACCGCCCCGAGGGTATGATTCGTGTGACCGATCGACTAAAGCCTCCACAATCCAATATCCCAGCTAAAAGAAGGCAAAGCAGATCAAATCATTCAACGTTAGCTTGGTCAAGTTCGCAGTGTGCCTTGGAATCGACTTACAGGAACCCGGACCGTGTTAATACCAGCCGCCTTCAGTGTGTCGACATTGCTCTCTGTAAACCATGTGTCCCAGTGTTGAGCGAATGTAGTATCGACTGTGTCGGGATAGGCCTTTGCAAATGCCCTGGATTGTCAAATTGAGTTTCATATACAAACCATATAGAATAGGAACGTACGACTCGCTTGCAATGCATGTCGAACAATCTGCACATGACTGTCCGCCCATATCCAACCACTCTAAATTGTAACAAAACTTAGTCAGTAAACACGTATTTGTGAGGTTCGTCAGTTTATCACCTTGAGGAAGCATCCATGGCTCTAGGACTAACCTGCGCTACCACTTAAGTTAAAGAGTCAGTTGGAGACGCAGAGTAACACTTACCATGAACCCAAATTAACACCATAAATATGAGCTGGTTGCCCCGCCCACGCACGGGCGACAAGCGTGCTCGAGAGCACCAAGCCTGCCAGGATATTTCTCATTGATTAGTCTGAGTCGGCGATTGGCTGGGAGAGAGAATACGATCACAAGGCCCGAAACCAGCTTCAGCTTCAAGGGGAAGCGCATTTTATGCCGGTCCATTTTATACTGGTCCAGTGGTCCTGCCCGACGTGGCAGGGATATGCAGGTGTGACTCTGGGAGCGCATTTAGTTTGAAAAGAACCCTGAAAATCCTCACAGTATATCTCGTCACGGGTCTGGGGGTGATGGAAACCATTCCGGATGTCGCATAGTTCTAACGCCTTATAGTCGTGCGATATACATAAACTCACTGCTGATCTGAGTTAGTAGGCGGCCTATATAGCATAGCGTCACTCGATTGCGGGTCATATGCTGTCGGTGTCATATGTATGCTGCTTCTTTCAGCGTTCACTAGGTCAGTCAAGCCATCTAGTGTTATTTTTATACCTGGGTCATCCTTTAAACGAGGTGCCCGCATACTAGTACAGTCACATATTTGTCTCTGTAAATATTGATATTAAGTTGCCACATCCTCAGAGACAACCAGATCAAAATTCCGTACCTGTCCGTGCTGGTGGAGGCCAGGTTATACCAAACTGGTGGACTTGTCGCGGAGTTCAAGTTGAGTGCTTGGCATCAGATCCGTGGTATATACGGACCGTCCGACGCGCGTGGGACCATGTATTACTGCCGCTGGGGCTAATGATCAGTGATTCAGAGGAATTTCAGCCAGATCCCAGCTGGTCACAGTTGTGCTGCATTTGCCTCGGACTCGAAGCTCCTTCATTCGATGAGTCACGGTTTAGTCATAGTGCGGAATTTAGGTAAATCCCGAACATCGTTGCCCGCGGTACTTTTACTTACCAAAAATCCATTACAGAGTGTCTTCGACGTTTATACTATCACAACTCGAGTCTCGAACACGACGAACCTAACGTATTGCGACAGATCAGATCGATCTCATGCAAAGCCTGCACATGCTCAACTCCGCGCCATACTTACATGTAAGAAGAACGTACAAAGACGATAATCGAGAGGAGCAGCAAGGTACGGTCTCATCCGTTTGACTTCAAGTTTAGATGCACCAGACCATGTCCCAGGAAAAGTTTTTATATTGTGCAGTTTCTGTACGTTGTTGATGCTGTAACAAAAAGTCTGCTTCCACGCACGCTCCACCATCTCGAAGGAAGACAGTGCCACTACTAGTTCTTCCTTCCATTAATCATTCGCGGAAGCTCCTCCCTCAGATCTGAGCATGCAGAGGCGAATCAAAAATTGAAAATGTGATCCTCCATATCGTACTAGTGCGTGGGCAACATATCTTTTTTCGAATCGAATCACTGTCCTGTTGGGGTGGGGGGTACACTGTCCTGCATCTTCGATTGTGCAAGTGCCCCCTGTGGGCACACATACAGCAATGTACTGAAAATACAAAGGATCTGTGAGCCTGCGTATCCACCCTGATCTGTTTATTAGGACATACAATCGATGATTCTGGGCCTGCATTGCATCTCTCTGGCCTGTATATGATACCAACGCTTCAGGCTGTTTGTTCCACCTGCCATCTTCCAATCAAAAAGAGCTTGTTAACGCAATGACCGCCTACTTTCAGGACAAGCCTGCTCAAACATTGAGCCTCATACCCCTTGACCTGCCTCTAGACCCCTCGGACTCGGGTGAACCTATTCTGCCAGACGAAATCGATACTTCAAACCCAGAGCAGGTTTTCGAGAACTTGCGCGACACGTTGAAGCCCGATTTTCCACCGCTAGATGTGCTACCCTGTGCCAACGTGCAGGTGGCACAGTTTAAGGCCTGCCCAAAGCAAGGCACCAAGGCATGCAGTGCATGCAAGTTAGTATCTTACTGTTCCAAAGTATGTCACGTGTGCTGCCAGTTCATACCTAACTCCTCAATACTTGATGCTTAGGAGTGTCAAAAAAATCATTGGCGCATTCACAAGTGTGGTACGTGGAATTACCGCGTCCCTATCTTAGTCTTACACTTCAGCTCTAGACTGCAAGAATCATCTCAAGTCCGATGATTGGAAACCGGCTTGGATCGTCGAGAAGCGCCTTCCTGCGGCTTTGTCTGAAGAAAGTGTGGCAGCGCATATCGTTGAATTCGACTCTGGGCTGAGTCTGTCAGCCACTCTGTTAATCATGCATGATCGGTGCTAACTTGTGGTTTGCGCGTACTGCAGATGGGGGAACATGCCCGCGATGGACTTGATCAACCTAGCGAAAAACGAAAAAGACGCGAGCCAGGATTTCTCAATTGCACTAGCTGGTTTGTGTTTGTTCTCTGTAATCGTGTCACCAATTGACCAGTTCTCTGCCGCAGCCTCTGGTGATCTTAGGCACGCTGTGCAGACGATCAATGCCCTCCCTGAGGACTATTCAGGTCATCTGCAAGTGTTGGTTAACGACTTCTGCCTACCAGTTGTCGCTCGCAACATTGTGATCCTGCTTATACTGGGAACAGTCCATGACGAAACGATGGCTGTTGACATCGCTCTTCACTTCTGGTACTCGGTTTTCATGCCTGTGGAGTACAGCACCACCATCATGACAATCATTGCCTCATTGCTGATGAGGATGGGCACAAACCTAGAGGATCACCAACCTTTGGGTCCATGTTCATCCCTGGACTGTTTGATTCCAGAATCGCTTAAGCAACTTTTACGTGATTTTGGGTTGCATTCAACTCTCTCCATGGCAAGTGCACAAAACGAGTACGATCGCGTGAGGAATGTACCATGCAGGGGCGATTTTCGAGATCGGATATTTGCAAGGCTCAAGCCATCCCATCGTCTCGCATTCCAAGAGTTTCGCCGGTTCGGTATTGTCCTTCCTTTCGGGGCTATGAACGCCCATTTCAACGTCCCGAACGCATCCCTCTTCTCGCCTGATGGGAAATGGTTGCAGACGGACTTCGCAGACCCCCTCGCAGGATGGGAGTGAGTAGAATCTAATCATGTGCCTTGAGCCTCGTTTTTATAGGTGTTGTAGCGTTGGCCAGGTTCTAGATGCGGGGACAGCCAATGGCGCGCAACCCGAGGACATCTATGGGTGTCTTTATTTTTTCCTCTCTCACCAACTGCGGACGTTTGCTCGGCATCTCCGCAAATTTCGGATCTCATTCCGCGTAGTAACTACTGACGCGAGTAATCTCTCTCGTCTGATTCGCGAGGACGACTTCTCCAGTTTCGGGATCCCATCGTCTGTCCGCTTCGATCGCATCGACGTGTCTAATATCCTTGATGTCAATTACCTCGGAATTCGAGATGTGCTGACGCATTGGGGTCCGTTACTGAAAAAAAGTCGGACCGCGGCTATAGTTGGGTATTTCATGAACTGGGCGATCGTTCAACCAAATGGCAGGGCATTTGCTGCTGGGCGTATTGAGTCGCCAAAGATCTTTCGCGCTCTAGTAGAGAAAGGAAGGGTGCGTGTATAATGCACTCTTCGCGTCAATAGGATTGCTGATAAGTTTCGTGTATCTAGTTTCCAGGTCTTGGACCCGATTCTCGGATATCAGATCCACGTAAGTCATTTGCTGCACCAGAAAGGTAGTATCTTATGGACGTCTTAGGGGACCTGCATATAGGACTTTTCCAAGTCGGGGACAATTTGAACACCGTGTATGACAATTCAAAGGCCTTTGCTCAGTTTTTGAAGCAACAAAAGCTGGAGGACGTCTTACACAAGACAAAGCTCAAGCTCAGGCAGACGCGTACTATCGTTCCTCACGTATGTTTTCCATGCGTTTCGGATGCAGATTCGCTGTGACAATTATGGTCTTACAGCGATACAAAGTGCCGTTGGACGCAGCACCGAATGCATTGCCTTACTTTTCGGACGATGAGAACTGGTATCAATATGTGCGTTTAGTCTGGTCGTGTTTTTCGTTGGTTTGAGCTCACGCGGGTGGTGTTTCGTTTGGTGCTCTAGACGCAGCTCCAGTTATTTTCGTGGACTGAGCGCTTTGTTGAGTTTGTTAGTGCATAGACAATCGTTTGCGGTTGAGATCCGTGGATCCGAAGGGGAGATTTGTTGCTCTTCACATTCATCCCACTGCTTCGCAACCAGCTTGGGGTTTACAGCTTGTGACTACCACCTTTCTGCGTCTTAAGAGGAAGGATTACCCCGTGGTGCTGATAGTCGGACCATGAGCGTATAATAAATAGTCAAATCCTTTTTTCCTATGTAATTACCCAGGAATATTAATCCCTCGATGTCGAGTTGCCGATATGCCAAATGTATGCATTACGCAATAGTTTGACACGTCGTTTGTGCTCTGTCACGTTTTATAAGCACACTATTTGCCCGATCTAATTAGCTATAGCAGCTGGTTCTCGGCTGACGTCGCTGTCGTTCATGATGGCGAGCAACTTGTTCTTAGGGACACCTCTACTACTTTCTCTCGTCTTGACTTGGACAACGCCAGTACTCGCTCACGAACATCATGGAGCAGACCTCACAGAAGAACAACTACATGCCCCAGTCGATGCCATCCTCTGGATACACATCGCCCTCCAAGCTATCGTCTGGGGTATCATATTCCCCATAGGCATGGTACTCGGACTCACACGAAGTAAATGGCATGTTCCCGTACAAGTACGTATCATTTTCCCCCCTCGCCTGAATTCATTCTGAGTTACGTACAGAGCCTTGCATTTGCCCTAACTTTCGGCGGCATAGTGCTTGGCCATGCCCATGGCGGTCGACAGTTCCCTTCTTCTATTCACTCACATCTTGGCTCATGGATCTTGGTCCCTGTTCTCGCCCAGCTGGGTCTTGGAATCTATCTAAAGCTTCATATCCATGAACGTACCGTACGGCCGTACGCTGTGCGCGCTCATGGTATCCTGGGACGTGTATGGCCTGTTCTTGGTTGGGTTCAGGGCTTGTTTGGCGTCATCACGTTGAGGGGGTTCTGTGGGGAGGTGGGAGCCGGCCAATGTGCCGCGCACTATATTATGGTAGGTCCACGTATATGACCCCTTTCGGATAGTGCTCATCAGAGTCTACAGGGAAGTGGATTCATTGGCTATGGTGTCATCATGGCACTCTTACTTGTTGTCGGTGACAACTGGGTGCGCCGCAGCGGCCGCAGTCCGGAATGGTGGGATTCATGGGTGATCATGCTTTGGGTACGCGTACCATGTGCTTACAGTGTGTTTGAGCTGAGGTTCTGACAGGGCATGGTCAATACGTTTACTGAGCATCACGGTGGCGAATGGAGTGTGAAAGATATGCAGCATACGTATGTCTGTTCTGAGAATTGTATTGGTCGAGTGATCGACCATCCCCATGTAGGGTTCTTGGTGTGCTCTGGTGGGCAGGAGGTGGTCTTGGCATCTTCTTGTCTCGGAATAATCAGGTATGTGCCCAATCCTTTTTAGTGGATTTCCAAGTTCATCTATGCACGTAGCGAAATGTAGTACCTGGCGTGATGTTCGTCTTGTCATTCACTCGCTTGTACTGGTCGACGGTCTGATGAACGTTTAGCATAATATTAACAGGATGGGCTATGTCAGACCACGCTCAGGCTCTGATGTTGTCCACGAAGGTAAGCATCACGACACGTTGCAAATACTCGTTATTCGCGAGTTTGTGCTGATGTTGGTTGTGTTGTCAGGTTCACTCCATGTTCGGATACTCGCTGATGCTCGCTGGTTTAGCGCGTATCATCGAGGTTTGTTTTATACCGCTACCGCCTTCACCACGATCGGAGGCACCTCCACTGGATGATAACGATTCAGAACACACATTGGCACCTCCTGTGCCAAATGATACCCGTGTTGCCAGGAAAACAAATGCTGCGCGGACATTCAGGCACTTGTCACCGTTTGTTAGTATTCATTCCTTGACGATCGTTGTGACATCACTTATCGCATTGTTTACCAGTTGCTAGTTGCTTCTGGGTATGTTACCATTATACCACAATCAAGATTAGTCCCTTGACGTATATTCAGGTTGCTGTTCATGTCCGCCACCGATGAGGAGCTCGAAGCTGTCCACGAAGCAGGAATGGATCACGTCACATATGTGCTGTTTATGTACAGGTGGGGACCCTTCGCGAGTTCACATCAATCCTTGTCGACTTAGTTCTTCTCACAGCATTGCATTCCTGTTCTACCTCCTTACTGTGTTCTTGCTGCACCTTTACTCCACGTCTGGGCGGAATGCGTCGTCTGCGCAGCAGCCTAGTGTTATTTTTTCGGCTGGGGATATTGAGCTGTCGGGCCCGAGCGATGCGAGTAAGTGGTATGCGCCATTACCAAGGGAGGCAGGGAGGTCGGCGGCAGTGCATGTACTTGGAGAAGACGAGGATGATTGATGTACGTACATAGATTTCTGATACTAGTACTGTCTACATAGTATCTATTTCCTGTGTACCCGATAAGCTTAAGGCTGCAAGGTGGAAAACATCGATCAGCGCAGGATGTCCCAGCCGACGACCGTGGGTTGCTAGCTGTACATGGCTTCTCTAATTCAAAACATTAAAAGTCGAATAGAGGGTTTCCACGAGAACTCACCTTATATGCGCATGCGCATATACGGCTGTTTTAACGAAATTTAAGGTAGCAGGTACTTATCACTCCGCCCCCTAGCATCCTACCCTTTTGTACCTCATTTAAATTATTGAGCCAGCGAATATGCATATGCGTGCCAATCCGGATATCTACAGCCAATCCAAATATTCGCGTTCGCCGCCGGTGATACAACTCCGGATCCAGAGTGGCACTGTAGTATGTAGTAATAATCCGATGATTTCCTGCCGTATTTGTATTTTGGTGGGCAGTTTGAGGAAATACCGACCTACATCGACGCAGAAATCATATTCTTGCGGAACATCGATTTGGGGGGTGAAAACGGAAGCAAAGATGGGAGCATCCATCTCCTTTCTTTAAATCGGAGTCGGATGACATGACTGTGTACCGGCGGTACCGACGTTCCGTGCGCAACGACTTGCTTTTTCAAATATTGGTTACTGAGGATCCGCTGCACAGCACTATCACGAGTGCGCTCCTCACTGCGCCATCATACCAATCAATGCGGGGATCATGAAGCTTGACCTTGAATGGGCTTTAATTCTCGCCATCATCCAATAATAGGTTGATGATACCCCGCGTAGGCCAGCCAGTGTTTGCAGTGTAGTCTGAATTTTGGAGGCGATGGCGGAACACATCAGAAAGGAAGGTCCATTGCGCGCGCTGAACGAAGAAGCGTGCGAAACCGTTGATTAGGCGGCGCGCGTACTACTATGAGTCTGACACAAAGCTGTCAATGAGTGTCAGTACTGCGGTGAACTGCCTTGAGTTGCGCGACGATAACGATAGCATTAACGGCGCCGGTTGCCAGCGGGGTTCTACACTCAATCAAAAGGAAGGTGAGTCTCTTTACTCACATTTGACATACATACTACCCCCTGGGTCGATACAGCAAGTGGGGTCACTATACCGATAGAGCCGCTCGGTGAGGCTGTTGTTGCGACTGACTTTGACAAGGAGGACATATTCTAGAACGTCGGATAGGTGTATATCCCTTACCGGCAATTTCCCATGAGGTTTCGCCGATGCGTCCACGGACGATCTCGGGAAGTCGTGATAATATGAAATTAGTTGCAGTCTCCAGAACGTTAGTGGAGATGAGCACGGATGAACGAGGAACGAGACATATGCTAAGATTAATAGTTGGCGCGAGGTGATGATGTGACATAATGTGCCAGCCTTCGCTACATCATGATGGGGGGAAGATAGCCTGAAGGGGGTACATCGCAAAAGTCTGGAACAACCTCCTTGACACTACTCCATGAAAGAAGCGTGTTCGATCGAGGTCGATGATCATCGCATGTGGTGCTGTATATGAAAGTAAACGTGGGTAACGAGGTGAGCCCGAGGCGGTCCACGATGTCACATGGCACTCGTGCCGCACTTTGTCAGAGCTGTATGGAACAGTGGACACAGCGATAATGGCTATTGGGCCACGCCCTGATTGGCGAGACTGATTAATGATATACCACATTTTATACCAGTGCCAGCTTGTCTATCCACAAAGCGCGCCAGCTCCCCGACGGCCAAGGGCCAAGCCTGAAGTGGTTCTAAACCGATCCGATCCGACGCATGGAAACCAAATGAATTTGATTCAGAACGTTTACAACATCACATATTGAGGGCAAGTTTGAATACACCTTAAATTTCAATGTCTCCTCGAATCTTGAGGGGGAGGAGACTCAGCGATACTGGAACGAAAACTTTGCGAACTTACGGTACCTGTGAGACCCAGAACCGGTTGATTCAGATGAGGACACCTTTCTAAATTTAGTTGTGAGGTACGAGCCGGCAAACACCGGACTTATCGTGACATATTCCAGTACTGTTCACTTTGCTAACTTTTCAGGCTTGAGGGATCTCGTCTAACGCCATTACGCACAGCCTACCCATTCATTGAATCACGTTTCTGTATTCTTGACACGGTTATTTATTGCACCGATACTCAAAGCAGCAATTGGCAGTAAAATTTCCTATCGACATGGCCACCAAATGGTTCCTATCGTATATTCTTTGATCCGTATCCCAGGCACCATCTGGCACCGTGCCATGTGTAGCTACCATACTTAATACCCAATGATGACAGCACATTTAAAACCGACCCTCTGAATCCCCCCCTCATCTATACCCGCCACCCTTGAACGCGATCCCCCTCGTTAACTCCATCATGAGTAGCGAGGATCGCAAGTTTGACGCAGCTAGCGTCGAGAAGAACCAGCTCGATGAAGGAGTTCACGTCGTCGCTGACGGAAAACACAAGTTCGATGTCGCTTCCATCGATTTGGTACAACGTCGACTCAAACAACGCCATGTGCAGATGTATGTCTAGCTTTAATATGTGATAACGTCTTTGTTAATTTCTTTTTAGGATTGCTGTATGTCGTGTCATGGTCTTGTCCTTCCAGTTGACTTACCAAGACTCTAGATCGCTGGAACACTCGGTACTGGGCTTTTCCTCGGTTCTGGGAAAGCTCTCAGCGGTGCAGGCCCTGTTGGTGCCCTTATCGCATACGCCCTCGTCGGCTCAGTGGCATATTCGTACGTTCGCACCACTTTATTATATCATTTCTCATTGCTCTTCCAGGTCATTGTGTTCTATCGGTGAAATGACGTCCCATGCCCCAATTTCAGGAACTTTCCCTCATTTTGGTCTGTAGCATAGTTCATACTGCTCAAAACATCCCATTGACCGATATTGTTCAGCCGCTCGATGGGTCGACCCTGCTCTTGGTTTCGCAGTAAGCACTATTTTTTCCATTCAGTAGTGCCATCGCTAATTCCTTGATGTTCAGGTTGGATGGGTAGGTCCATTCTTTTACGGTTTGTGGCATTTCTGACAGGCATCACGATGGTATTCAGAACTACTTTTATGTGAGCTAATAATTCATCCATATACACAACTATGTGCTAATGAACCAACAGACTAACGTGTATGTCTATTTTTGTCCATCCTGTCATTACGTTTACACGCGTACAGGATAACCGTGCCGGTCGAAATCACGGGCGCTCAGATCCTTATCACTTATTGGGATCCCGATGTAAGCCAAGCATATTTTTTTTTCGTCTCTAGCCGTGTTGATCCTTATCGTGTAGACGAATCATGCGGGTATCTACACTGCAATTATCATCGTGTTTGCTTGCGCGACGAACGTTTTCGGTGTACGGTATGTGGCGTTCACCCTGTCTACCACGCATCTTCTCAAGCTCCACCTTTCCCATCAGGTATTTTGGCGAAGGTTAGAAATAACTCTTCTTGGATACTCGGCTCGGACTTAATCTTGTAATCTACCAGCGGAATTTGTGTTCTCACTCATTAAACGTAAGTTTGATAGCTGACATCTTCCGTGGTATTTCTGACTTACGTACTATCACAAGTCACGATGATCACCGGTCTTATCCTTGTTGGTTTGATCATTGATCTTGGCGGTGCACCAGATCACCACAGACTGGGCTTCCAGGTTGGCATTAAAGTCAATTCGAAATAAAGTTGTCTAACGCTGAGGGCAGTACTGGAAAAACCCCGGTGTCCTTGCAGGCGCTCAGCTAGAACCAAACCATGTTGGCTTGGACCGCTTCCTGGGCATACTGAATGTTCTTGTTCAAGCATCATTCTCGTTCCAGGGCATGGAACTCGTCGCCATGTAAGTACATCACATCCGCCAACAGAAGAAACTCATTTTCCAAATCGATTTTCATAGTGCTGCTTCTGAGACTGAAAACCCCCGCCGGAACATCGCAAAAGCCGTCCGCAGGGTATTCTTCCGTATTTTAGTTTTCTATGTAAGCCTTGGTGGTTTGGCTGGAACGATCCGGACCCTGATGGAGGATTTACGTAGATCCTTGGTATCTTCATCACCGGCCTTATTGTTCCTTATAACGATCCCAACCTACTCCACTGTAAGTCCTTGCACATGTCAAGCAGGATGGGTCTGATATATCTGGTATAGCCACGGGTACTGCTGCCCAATCTCCATATGTCATTGCGATGACAAATGCCGGGATTAAAGGTAACATTGACGACAATCAGGACCCGATCGTTTATTCATATTTACCTGAACAGTTCTGCCAAGTATCATCAATGCCGGCGTCATGACGAGTGCATTCAGTGCTGCAAACTCGTTTTTGTTCTGTTCATCTCGTATCCTGTACGGTCTTGCTCTCCGAGGACAAGCACCCAAGGTTTTCGCCAAGTGCACGAACTCTGGACTTCCCCTCGTCGCTGTTGCGTTCTCTGTGCGTCGTGTTTAGGACCATCGCACCGGGATATGGCGCTGATTATATATACAGAGCATTTTTGCACTCCTTGCGCTCATGAACGTCGCGTCGGGTTCCGCAACGGTGTTCAAGTAGGCGTGCACCTAGTGGCGTACAACCTGTACTAACGTTTGATAATCTAGCTGGTTCGTCAACCTCTCAACCGTGGGCGGCTTCTTCGGTTGGGGCTCTATCAACTTGACCTACCTGTTCTTCCGTAAGTCCTTTATTCGCTTATTTCTCATCCAAGCCTCACAAGATACGCAGACCGTGGAATGAAGTTCCAAGGCATTGACCGCAAAAAGCTACACTACTGGAACCCCCTCCAGGTACGCGCCTACTATTAATGCGCGCTCGTGCTGATACTGACACGCCGCCTCCAGCCGTGGCTTTCGATCTGGGGACTGAGCTGGTGCATCTTGTTTATTATCATCAACGGATTCGAAGTCTTCTGGGATTTCACCGCCGCTGGCTTCCTCACTGCCTGTGCGTGTGCCCGCTGTTCCGTGACAAATCTAGACTAATCCCATCTCGCAGACATCAACATCCCCCTGTTCTTCGGTCTGTACTTTGGCTGGAAGTGGGCAAAGGGCACTGAGATCTGGAAACCCAATGAAATGGACTTTGTTACGGTGAGTTTGTCTTGGTGACTCGTCCTCGACTCGAATTGACACGGGATTTAGGGTATTCCCACCCCGGAGGAAACGGAGGGGCCATACTACCCTCCTGTGGGTTTCTGGCAAAAACTTGCTGCTGCCTTGTTCTAGGGGTTGTATGTCAATGTGGCTGGTTGTTGTATGAATCTAGTGACTGTATATCGGCTCTTGTTTTGGATAGGAGCTGTAATATCCCCCCCACCCCCTTGTTTTTTTTTTCTTTCTCGATTTAATGTTAAGTGGGCGGCTTTTGCCTGTTTGTTTATGGTGTGATGGGTTTTTGAGAATGAAATGGGTGCGATAAATGTTGGGTTTGCTTTTGCTGTATGTACAGCATTGGATATATGATGGTCCAGAGCAGAAATCCAAATCCAAAAGTCGTTGAAGGCGATGCTCGCTTCTTGTTATCAGTTGAATTGCAAGATCTATATAGGCGCTGAAATGAAAGGGATATGATTCCACGACGCGTCCATCACGTGTCTTAAAAATCAAGCACTTAGCACTGCGTATTTGCTCAGGTTCATATTTGAGAAATAGATTGCTAGGCTGAAACATGTCACGGTTGGAAGAGCCCTGGGCCATATGCATATTGATACTTATACAGTATGCGATGAGCTGGCCTGGAAGCAACTTGGTGATTTGGTGACGTGTGATATTTTGTAGTATTTGGCAGCATGCCAACGCCCGACGCGGCACACCTGTTGCCTCATTTCATCTACGCCCAAGACAAGTCAGCCAATACACACCATGTCAACAGCTCTAATTCTCGGCGCAACAGGCGCAACAGGAAAACACCTCCTTCGCGAGCTTCTCTCCCACGACGAATGGTCCAAAGTTGGCGAATATGGCAGACGCGTAACACCAGAAGCCGATCTTCCACAGAATAGGGGCAAACTCGAGCAGAAAACAATCGACTTTGAGGATTTGGAAGCAGCTGGGCTGAAGGATGGACGGTGGGATGTCGTGTTTGTCACACTAGGGACGACTCGTGCGCGGGCAGGGAGCGCTGAAATGTTTGAGAAGATCGACAGGGAGTGAGTTTCATTTATTGGCATACTCGATTCTGTCTCATAAGTATTTTGATTTTGTGGCGCAGGTATGTGGTGAACGCTTGCAAAGCTGCAAAGACGGATGATCCGACGCACCAACAACGTGTTGTGTATCTTTCGGTGGGTTCATTACCAAACATGTGCTGCATACGATGTGGATTGATACAAATAATATTAGTCGTCGGGTGCCAACCCTTCCTCTTCCTTCCTGTATCCGAGGTGCGCAGGCATTACGTGGCCCGCTCTTCCTCAATTCCTCCTAACGTTCTTTCCTTCAGATCAAAAGGTCTCACCGAACTAGGCATAGCACGCCTTGGGTACGAGGATACCATCGTCTTCCGCCCCGCTCTCCTCAAAGGAGCAGAACGCGCTGAAAAAAGGTTCGGAGAGACCATAGCTGGGTACGCTATCTTCCTCTTCGATTTTGCCCAAAAGTTGATTTGACCGATTCAAGCTACGTGACTGGCCTCGCATCGCATTTTACGTCTTCTGCGGAGATTCACGTTGCTGTTCTTGCGAAGGCAATTATGAAAGCGGGTATTCTGGGTTCTTCTGGTTTGCCTCCTACTGTGGGTGCTACTAAAGCGGGAGAGGAGGGGGCGTGGTTTACTTTGATAGGGAACAAAGCTGCGCTTGCTCTTGGGCAGGAGGCGTGATTCGTTATTGCGCATTGCGCATTGTGATACACCTAGGAGGTGCTTGTTCATTCCAGACTACAGACATTCAGGATTGAAATAATATAGTACGTCGAGATTGAATGTTGAATGACATTGACCGTGCTATTACCTTGAGACTACAAGCACTGGGCGCAGTGAACGGCAGTTGCGAGATAGCTCGTGCGAGAGCGGTCGGCATAACAAGTATTTTGTATATTCATGTTCAGCTCGAGTGATGGGAGGTCCGTTAAACATAGTCCGAGTTTTATTAACACTGAGTTAGTGAGCCAAAAAAAAACACGCCTCTGCATCAGCGCTTCCTGCCTTCCGAGAAGATTGTATAGTTGTTTCGCAATAAACGTGTCATTAAACCCGCTTCTGCAGCTTAGAACAACGAGGCTCACTAGGACTTTCCTCGGTCATGGAGGAAGAAGCCAAGGGAGAAACTCCATTCTGGGCAACAGATGGTGTTGATGGGAGTTTAGGAAGCAGCATGATCTGGATTTTTCGCCCGGAACGACGAGGCTGAAGGCGAGTATACTGCGTCATAGTTTCATAAGGGGGTGATGAGTGTTGAAAGAAACATAGTTACGAGTCGCGACCTGTGCGCCTCCAACTTCGAGCGTCCATTAAATAAAATTTAGAGCGCCGACCTCGGGCTTAATTTGGTAATTCTTTGATTTTCCGTGTTTCCCCAGTGACTCTCCGCAAGATCGTACGCGTTGTGTCTCTGCTCGAATCTCTATGATATCTCAAGCAAACCTCGTCCGCCCAATTACCTCAGAGAGTCACCAATAGGCAACTAAGGAACATCTAGGGAGGAAAAAGGCGACAACAGAAACAAAACGATCGAATCATGAGTTTTCCGCGACTGCAGAAAATCAGCATCAGCCATCACGCAAATATCCAGCTCCACCATCAATCTATTCGGAGGGCTCTGCAGCACATCTGCTACCCATAGCCTTGACGTAAGCATTCCCTAAATTAACCTTGATACTGAGCCCACCCAAGCCCGGTACATGACCACAGGTCACCGCATTATGATCAGATGATGTCCTGAAAAGATCATCAATGGCCACGCCGAAGTAGCATTGACTCAGGCGTTCCTACCAGTCTGTCTCTTCATCGTCTGATGTGCAAAGGTCAGCGTGACCTTTGCACATTTACCATCATGATGCATATGGTCTGTTTTCTGTCACTATACGGCTCGGACATAATGAAGTTCTGCGGTTGGTCTATGTTAATAGATAGTTAACGTTTCGTAATTACTGGTGCGAACTGATGCAGAGCTTCTCACACTACTATCTCCTTTCTACTCCCTGTGATCATCTAATATTGTGATTCGAGAAACAGCCTGATCACTATAAAAGTGCTGGATGGTGGTGTGTCTGCACGAGCTCCATACGCCCCATCCCGATATGACCTATATCGTCTCAAATGACCCCACTTTCTGGCCAGTCATCAGTCATGCTCGTTTTTCCAGTTATTTTGTAGGTTCGTAGAGATCAAGTGGCACGGCGATGTTGACTTCTCGCTATCATTGACTGTGTTTTTTCAGTTGCATCTGCTGTTGTGGTGGTATATGATTGGGGTGAGCGAGATAATACTTCCCCCATGGATCATTGATATGTATACGGTATTCAAGCATCAACATTCGCACAAGAGGTATGTAGGTTTATGTCATGACCTGCGCAGCCATCTCACATCTGACTACGAATGCTCTTACAGTTCGAACTCATCTGGGTGAGGAAAGTCCTATATCAGAAGCAAACAGGATAATGTATTTGACTCGGGGCAGAGGCAACGCTGGTCCTTCATGACCGTGCTTTATGTTTGCGTATGTTATATAATGAGCGCAGTTGACATCTTGTGCTGACTTCAACATATGCTAGGTCCGCTACATTGGAATACTGTTTTATTTGTATGTTTGCAAGGATACGTCTAACTGAACTGTACTGATAAATCATGTCTCATAATCAGCATCTACATACGATGTACGTATCCCCAAATACACTCTGTTCATTTCTTCTGACTGGCAGTATGTAGGGTCTCTCCTAGTCCCGTTAACAGACACAGTGGGTATTCGGCACCGACTCCTGACATTCCCATTCCCATTCAACCACTAACTGCATTCCTACACAGGGGTGAGTGACAATCTGAAAAGTTTGATGTTTATATAATATGATGACCGCGACAGCTGTAAGTTCATTCGAAGCATTGAGTCCATTAATGCACATCTGACACTGAATTTTTCAGGCTACGTCCTTTATTCCATAGTCACATGGATGCCTGTCGTCGTCAATGCCATGCTGGGCGGTGAGCTCACCTGCCGTACCTCACTGATACTGACTTGATTGATATATCATGCAAGTCATCATGATGACTCGGATACACGCCATGTATGGGCGATCCAGCAAGATGCTCATCTTTCTCGCCGTACTCTTGCTGGTTTCCACGATCGCCACCACAGTTTTGATCGTAATTTCGAACCTGGATTACTCAGGGGGTAAGCTTTAATTATTGATAACAGTCTTGAGCACACGAGACTCATGGAGGAATATCAGGGGAGGGCGTGTTTTCTGGTTACCATACCTGTGTTGTCATACTTGACACAGATGCGTTGTCTCTGAATGACGATATGAGCATTCCCACCGCAATATGGGAGATTCTCGTCTTTTTTCTTGCAGGCTGGATTGTTATAAAACACATCCGTGAACTGCGACAATTGCGGAGAGGATCGACCATCGGGGACTGTTTCACGGTGTTGATGCAAAGTCATGCATTGTACTTTCTAGCGTGAGCTCGGTAATTTGGATGTTGCTATCTTGTTTCGCTGAATCCGCATGTGCTAGCTTTGTGGTCATGGCTTGCTTGAATCTCGGCTCACTGTCTCCAAATCTCATGGTGCGCTGACCTGCGACTGGCATCTGCATCTGACCAGTCCTGATCATGTCTACAGTACTCAACTACATTGGGAGCTACTGTTTATAGCGGCGTTCTCGAGATTTCCCAAGTGTTCCAGATGTGTGTACTGGGACCACGTCTGATCCTCGGCGTTCGGGAATATAATTCTAAGCTCGTGACCAGGTCAGACGAGGGGACACATATGGCGTCCATTTCTTTCCGGGCTGGTGGAGATGCGTTGACTGGCGGAGATGTGTAGAACCGAGGAGTATTTATATAATTGATTTGAGATTCGTTGTGGTGTTTTAGGATTGGTGATTTGGAGGATATAGTAGGAACTTCTTCCCGGTATTTATTTGGTGTTCCAGAGAATAAAATTACATCTGGGGCAATGTCATATTACATCACTACTGGAACCAACCCTATGCATGCACTCCAGGAGCCTACCGACGTCTTGCAATCGAACAAATGCGGATTAATTTGCCTCAGCTTCCTCGCTTCTGCATGCTCGTCGAGCGTGGTTAGGCACACTGCTTTGCCGTATGTGTATATCGCTTTCGACCACTGGGCGTACCGCGTTCAACGAGGTGAAGCCGAGGAACACCAACACAAAGCAAAGGCACACAAGGCGAAGCGGTACACCAAGATGACAGCCAGAGATTGATGCACGGAAGTACAAGAAATATTAGGGGAATATGAACACGAAAGAGGGAAACAAAAAGTCACAGTAGCCTCGCCCCCGAGTTTATCCCACCACGATCTACTTTCCCCGACGCTGCAACATCAGTATCGTGCATATATTCAGATCCACGCCTGCCCTGTATCACCCCGCACTCCTCCCTCACCATAGAACGTCCACTAGAAACCAAACCCCACACAGCACAAAACCAGCGAACCACACAGAGAACAGAAACCCACCCCAAACAAGCAACTGCGCTCTCACACCACGAATATGGTGTAAAACCATGTGCTGCGTCTAAGCTTGTGCAGCGCGCGTGCTTAGTATGCGAGGGCTTTGCATGGTTTGGAACGGACGAAGCGAGACGGCCGAGGTCGAACAAGAAGAAGACGCCTGTTTTGTGAGTGACGAAGTCCAGCCTGGATTGAGATGACCTCATCATATCACGATGACTCAGCATGATGCTTAACATCGTCCCCTTTTTTCCCCTAAACCCAACTCAGCCTGATACCAACTCATCAACCAAGTACTCTCGCCCCTCAGATTTAACATTTAACCTCACGTCTCGTTTGAAACTGCCTCCTTTCAAACCAACCAACCTGATCAGCAACCATGAATTGTCAATTGGAAACACTCCCAATTCCAAATTTGTCTGGTTGGTGGGTCGGCCGCGGTCGTTTCAAGCTGGTCGAGTTGATTGGCTACGGCTCCTCCGGAACCGTCTATCGCGCTCTCGACACTCAGTCAGACCCATGGAATCCTGTATACTATGCCATCAAGTGCTTGCGAAACAAAGAGCTCTGCCGAGATGGTCTCATGTGGCAGAAACGAGAAATAGCATGCCACTCCGTGGTATCTAGATCATCGTCGCCGAATATCTGCAAACTTCACCAAATCATCGAGGAAGGACTATACATGTACTGCGTACTCGACTACTGCCCTGGTGGGGACCTCTTTACCGCCATTCGGTCGCGAACGTACGAGGGCAATGTCCCGCTCATCAAGAAAGCCTTCATCGAGCTTCTCGATGGCGTATTTGCCTGTCATACCGCCGGCGTATATCACCGCGACTTGAAACCAGAGAACATTCTCTGTGCTGAGTCTGGGTCGGGCATCCGTATTGCAGATTTTGGGCTGGCGACAACAAAACTTGTCAATAGGGAATTCAACGTAGGCAGTCGGGATTTCATGAGTCCTGGTATGTCGTAAATCGCATGAGGTCGCTATCTGACAATTCTATTTTTTCAGAATGTCATTATGAGATGGGCAGCCCTCATTACTCGCCGCTTCACTCTGACATTTGGTCGTTGGGAGTTATTCTTGTAACCATGGTCTCAGGTCGCTCTCCTTGGGGCCCTGCAATACTTTCGGATCCAAACTTCCGGAAATATACCGAAAACCCTGACTTCCTTCTCGATGTCCTACCAATTTCGAGGTCTTTCAACGAAATCCTCAAGCAAATATTCCACCTACGAGAATCTGCACGAATCAGTCTTCCGAGGCTCAGAGAAGAAATTCTAAGGCTTGACACCTTCTACCCCAGCGAAGCCGAGCTCAACAACGACTCAGAGAACGCACGAGAAGCCATTCACAATTACGCAAGGCGCGTCGCACTGTTGACTAATCAGATTTTCCATATGCCTGGCTATCAAGTTAATGACTGGCCATTCGGCCCTTTCGGAGCCCCCCAGCCTCAGTGTGCTTACCGCGGTTCCGCGCCAGCAGTTCAACAGCCTATCAACGCTGCGGGAATTGACAGGACGCCCTCACATCTTTGCATTTACGATGACGGTCGACCTTGTTCACGGGCTCGCCTATCGCGCTGCTCTTCTTCTGGGGACGAAGGACCCATTACTCCAGAAACTCGCCCCTATGAGCCTATGATAGACCCGTCCGACATGCCTGGCCAGAAAGGGGCTGTGTACCATTCTCTACCTCCTCCCTCATATCATCCAAGCTGTCTTTGCGAAGTGCGATTTATTTTTCTTAGAAGCACAAAACTTGCTGACCAGATTTTTACCAGATTTGCCTGCCATCATTATCCCCGAAAATTGGAACGAATTTTTTCGTTACGAAGATTATGGACACTGGAGGAGTTGTGCAGGCTGTCTCGACGTTCTAAGCCTTATAGTGGGAGCACTTTAATTTTAACAATTATCGCATTCGTTGAGGTAGCAGCTGCCTTGAATACACTTCACTCGTCTTTTTATCCAAACGCGAGCTGGAATTTTTGCCTCGAAAAAATGCATGTTCAACTGATCTATCCCCATGAGATAGTCTTATAGTATCTCGAGCCTGGAGGTGATCACTCGCATAAGTGGGGACCACTACTACTTCATGAGAGCAACGTATTCCGCTCGCTGCTCATCTGTCGTTCCTCCGATGTCAAAAATCAAGCTCTTAAGGGGACAGTTTGACCGTGCCAACAGGGCTTTCAACTGCTTGTGAGGCCACGATTGTCGTCCACCGCGGGCTACAAGCACGTGTAATTGGGGAGTGACAGTACATCGCACCTCTTGCTCAGTAAGTACTTGACGGTGCTGCCTATATAGCTATCACCATGCCTACGACGATATTGGTTTTTTCCCAATATAACCATGAGCCCCTATACATTGCACCTCTCACAACCAGACTCAGAAATTCATAGTCACTAAACTTTGGATTTGACCGGCGTCGCGAATCATAAACGCATCTTTTTGGGCGCTTACTCAGCTACGTCCTTCCCTAAATACTATATTGTCTTGCCCTGCAGTTCTCCAGCCACGTAGTCATCGTTCCTTACCTGTCGCAAATCTAAAGATATCTCTACATCTAGTTGACTTGTCGCGTCTCCCGTTGAGTCTGGCCATGGTCCACAATTTTTTCGTCGTCCTCAAAACCGATTTGCACTATGTTACAACTTCCGATAACGCTCGGATCCGCGATATCTTCGACAACCTCGAATCCAAATCGATTGTAGCACGTCGTGTTTTGCGTGGAATCTTATATCATCAATGCGACTACTACAAGCTCAAAAACCCCGTGCTTGTTCCTGATCGCGTAGTCCCTGCCGACATCGTCCCAGAGTGCCTGGATAAGAGCAATTGGCACAAGGTGACCCCTCTGCATCGCGTGCGGAGTCTGGCACAATCCATATCAAATGATTATGTCTACATCGTGATCATACCTGATGAGGGCGAGTCACGTCAGCGTATCCGTTGATCATCGATTAGCTCACGCATTCCCTCAGGTGCAGCAGAGAGAATTATCGCAGCTCTCAATAGAGATCATAAAGAGATATTCAGCCGCTTGCAGATCAGGGTATCCAGGCTGCAAAGATGGACGATGGACGATGTCACCCATAACATGGCGGGTGGCAGGTTGTACCTTCCCGACAACAAACGTCCAGTCGAACTCTCTGAAATAGAGGCATCATTGACACAACGCCGTACCTACAACGTGAGCACTTCTTTTGCTGCATCTACAGCCCTTCGCTAATTCTTCCCAAGGTCCCGAGCGCCCCAGAGAGCGGGGATTATCAGAGTGCTTGCGAATACCCTGAACATTTTCACAACATCTTTGAGTCGACTCTGAACCAATCGGGCACTGTGACCGACCGGGAATTCGTAGCCTTTTTTAATGTCCTTCGGTGCTTTCACAAGGACTCGAAACACCTTAGCACCGACTCATCCTCCGCCCTCAAGACTAGCAACTTCATGGTGTATTTTATAGGTCCACCTTTCTTTTCCAGTCGCAGTTTCGATTTGAAGGAGTAAGTGGGTTCACCTCATATCATAGTTCAACTGATTATAATGAAATGTTTCAGGAAGACGCCCTTGAACTTCCCTATATTTATTGGTACTGACGATCAGCCCAATTCATGGTGCCAGTTTCACCCGAGTAGTGATTTGATGGTTTCATCACCCTTGTTTGGTTTCCCGTTCCCCGTCTGCGAAGTGGTTTCACAGAAAAAAGAGGAAGACCGATGCCGTATGCTGCTTCAAGCCATTACTATCGTGCGGGCGGGGCAGTACTTGATGGCGGACGGTGCACCGAAACCGTTTTTCGTTGTCGCAATTTACCTCCGTGCAAATTTGACTGCGGAAAGATACGTGGTCACCCACACTACACCGACGGAAGACCAAGAGGTGTGTCTTGTTGTTTCGTCGTCCCGTTTATATTTTGCTCATGGAACGGTCAGGACCGCCAGGTATCCATTGCCCAGAAAGATTTTGACCTTACCACTGCAGATGGTGCAGTCACATTTCTTCGTGAGATGTACAACCTCGCCGCGATGCTTGAGGAATTGGCCAAGCATCTTGACAAACGCAAACAGGATAGCCTTGTTAAAGTCGACCAGGATGCTGCCAGCCTGAGGATGATTTCCCTCGCATCTAAGGTTAAGAAGGACAAGACGGGCGGCTCGACATTGGCCTCAACAGTTGAGGATGATACTGATGAGGAGCCTCGAGATGATCTCGGCGTCTTTGGTACGGACGATATCAAAGCTATTCTGAAGAAGATGAATTACAAGATCGACTTCATCCCTTATATGGTACACGTCATCATAACGTTTGGGAATGTGATACTGACGCTTTGCAAACTGCTTGTAGTATCCACTGATAGCTGCTGTGTCGAACAGAACTGACGAGTCCGAGGAAGGATACCTGAAGTTCGTGGAAGAAGGGGGGCAGGAAATTGAAATCTTGCGATACCTCACAGGATTCGATTCCCCTGCAAATCATACCATCTCTGGAGTACAAATCTGGCCTGTACGCGGCGGCGACGTCATATCGATGCCGGTTTCTGGCGCTCATCTTACGTCGCTAACCAACCCCAGTGCACACCTGTGGTCTGTGGCTAAACAGCTGTTCGAAGCGGTCGACTTCATGCACCAACACGGCGTGGCGCACATGGATCTGAAGCCGAAAAACATCTTGATCCCTGTCGACGGCGGCCGTCTGACTGTCATCGACTTCAACAGGTCCTTGCGAGTCAAGGGTGTCGAACATAAGTTTCGTGGCACCGCGGGCACTCCTGAATATATCGCCCCTGAGGTAGCCGCTGGTAAAGGCAACTTCAGTGCGATCCGGGCGGACTTGTGGTCCTGTGGAAAGACATTAGAGGAGCTGTGCAACAAGTGTCGCCCATCCACGGATCGCGATACCCTCCTCGAAATTTCGTCGCAACTTATGGATGAAGACCCGAAAAAGCGACCGATGATGACAGAGGTATTGGACAGGCTAACCCGTTGTACCGTTGGTATTTCCACCTGACCAGGTTCTTCAAGGTAACGTGAATCTGGACTCTTCCTCTGTTACCTGTCGTGAGTAGTTTCTGTTGCTCCACAGGAAGTAAAGGCGTGAATTCAACTTCAAACTCCTTTAGAGAGTGGTTAAAGATTGGATTTACCGGAGTTGCCAGGTGGTACTTACACGGTGTCGTTGAGCAACGAATTGTTTTTTTTAAATCTAGAGTGAACAAAACATTGCGAAAGCGAAAACAAGACAACAGTGGAGCACAAGAGCATGTGCGTACAGACATAACAGGGTGATTCGGTAATTTTTACAACTTGGAGCTTAAGTATAGCAACGTAAACGAAAGAGAATGCGATAGTATGCAGAACCCATGAACTCGGCATACGGGATGAAGACAATACAGCAGGACCTACACACCAATATGAATGAAAACAATTCTCTGCTCGAGCGGCACTTTCTTCATCACGGCGTACTTAGCATGGTTGAGTGCCCGCGCCGCCTTCGTACAGTCCATAGCACCCCCATCCTTCAAACCCTCAAACAAAGTCTTGTAGAAAGCTTCGACAACGTGTTTTACGACAGCGTCATCGACCTCCCACAGCGTGCCAACGACGCTCTTGAACCCTGAAAATTGGATACCAGCTGCGAGATGGATAACTTCGTCGGGCATCTTATTATCGCCGGCAGCAGTGTGACACGCCGACAAGAATGCGAATTCGGCGTGCGGAATGTCTTTTTCCATGATGTCAAGCAACGTGAGAGGCTCGTCTCTCATGACGAAATGGGAATTGTAAGGCTGGTCGTGGTCTTGCTTGCCATGACATGCAAGGTGCACCCATGAGTTCTGTTCCAAAGCTTCGAGTGCACCTGCTCGTGTGGCTGCTTCGCCTGAAATAGTGATACGGTTGACCGCCGCTGGGACGAGCTTCCGGACGAGCTCGAGCTCGCTGTCAACAGCCAAGAGTTCCTTACCTTTCCCTGAACCAGGTTGACCCTGTCCAATCGCCACGAAGGACGGACTCCCACATGACTTCATCATCTGTCTAGATCTGATCAGAGCCGAAAGTGTAGGCGTGTAAGAGCAGATGTAGAGATCTTCCAAGCATGGCTCCCTCCCAGAGCGATCTGCCTTCGTTTTAAAGGGGTGAGCTGCGTGGAGAGGAATAGCTGTGAAAGCTGCAGTTGGACATAGCCATATACGAGACCGGTGCTTTAATTCGAGAACGTTCTCGAGTACGTTGACGATAGGTAGCATGATATCGTTCCATACTGCCCGCAAGAGCACTATTAGGTCAGTCCTTGACTCTGTCAGGCCCATTCGAGATGCTTGCGGTATTGCCCAGGCAAAGCGACCTTTGAGATTCTCCAGATCTGCGAGAGTGATCGACGGCAAGGGAACGTGATGGGGCTCCCCTGACGTTGGGACAATGATGGCGCTGCATGAGTATTGACTCGCAATGAGGATGATGACTGGGCCATGACGTGCTGCAACTTGCAACTCTGTATACGATGGCGGGAGCAGGAATCGCGAGAAAGGTGGAATATTACGGATTTGAGCTACCACAGCGTCCCACTGCTTCGTCAGTTTCCTGTACTTTATTGCTGCGCGATCAGCAGCAGCTCGGTCTGTACTGATTACGGAACCTTGAGCGTCGGAAAGACGCTGGTTGAGCTCTGAGAACTTGTGAGCTAGGTTGGAATTTGTGGCCTCGAGGTCCTGAAGTGGACTCCTCAGGCGAGAGGCCAACGACCATTGCTGGCCACGACCCTGCTCCACGAGTTCAACAGCTCGTTGCAAATCGTTGGAACGAACAGCACAAGATGCTGCATCTACTGGCAGTGACTGCGCACCGCGGAAAGCGGTTGCAGCTTCGCGCCGTGAGATGATCGACGATCGCGTCATCACATGGTTGTCGAACAACTCCAAGCACATTTGATATGCCTCGAGGGCAGATTCATGTTGATAGACTTCTGCTTGGCAAGCCCAGTCTATAGCCTCTTTGATGCGTGATGGAAATCCTTGAGTAGGGTGTCCTGACGCCAGTCTGAAGTTCTCCACTGCAAGTGACAAATCGACAGGATTGTTGTGCACTCGGTAACGAGACATATAGGCCACCTGCAGCCACATATAGCTGAAAAATCTTCTTGGGTGCAATGAAGGCAATGCCAACAATGATTCTTCACAGAGATCAATCGCCTCCTTGATATCCTCATCCTTCCGAGTTCGCGTGAAACGAGAGCAGAGCGCCGAGCTCAAATTGTAAAGAGTTTTATGGCGCTTGGGATGATCATGCCCCTTTAGCCGAAGGCATTCACGATACAGATAAATGGCCTCGTTAAGATCCTCGGCAGATTCCTCGCTGACATGTGAATTCCCAGATCTGGCTTGAAGCGCGAGGGCAAGGTTGTTGAGCGTGGTGTCATAATATGGATTCCCAGATGGGCGCAACGTCAATGCCTCGCGAAGGAGGCTGATAGCTCGGGAGATGTCATCAATGTCACCTCGTTCGTTGAAACGGATGCGGAGGACGCCCCCTAGGTTTCCCAATGAGAAATCACGAAATTCGAGCCCAACCGGACACAGACGCAGTGCTTCTTCGTACAAAGTGATGGCCTCATCGAGGTCATTAAATTTGCCTTGGTGATCAAAGCGGGACCTGAGTGAGAATGCCAAGTTATTCAGGTAGGTATCACGGCTGGAATCTTCCTCGGGGCACAGAGAAACAGCTTCACGACGAAGTTGTATGCTCTCTTCTAGATCATCAATGCTGCCATGCTGGTCAAAGCGTGCCTTAACTGCTTGTGCAAGCTCATCGAGGGCGCAGGGACGGTGTTGATGGCCCGGAGGACAGAGTTCGAGCACGTTTCGTCGAAGGCGGATGCCTTCATTGGATGCATCAGTTGGAAGATTGTTGCATTGCTGGACCACATAATCAACCTCGCTGTCTACGCCGATGTTACGAAGGTAGGTGCCCTCTGGACAGAGGGGCAGTAGCTTGCAGCACAGCTGCGCCGATTCGTGGATGCAGACGACGGTGTCCTCCATGTCGTAGCACCAGTTCAATGCTAGAATCAGACAATATAGAGATAGTGTGTGATCGGGGTGACCCTGCGGACGCAATGCAAGGGCTTCGCGGAAGAGGGAAGTGATGGTATCAATGTCTTGAAGATCATTTCGAATATAACCTCGAAGGCGGGCCCACGCAAGGTGGGTGAGAGCTGCTGCTTGGTCAGGATGGCCGACCGGACACTGGTCCAGAACCAGCTGAAAATGCTCTACGCCATCGTTCAGGTGAGAGACCGTCCTGCTGGATATGTATTCGGCAAATCGTGCGTGGCCCGCATCTGTCTCTCGAGCAATCTCGCTGTCTACGAGGGACTACAGTCGGGATTCCATCAGCAAAAGCTAACAGCAGAGACCAGCGTCACTCACAACAAACAGTGCGCCGTCCTGATCGTCGCAGGCATGTACAACAGCAGTCTTTAACGTGAGGGAAGGGTGGACACCACGAACAGGTGGGAAGGACAGTTCTACGATGTATTAGTAGATGTGCATGAGTAAGGAGCGAATCACTCACCAAAAGGCTCATCACCATGATCAAGCAACTCATCTCGCGATGTTTCGAGTTTTCCGATGACTTCGCCATTGCCCAACATTCGATTGAGCTCATAGGACGCCCTGATTTCGATTGATAATGCACACGACGCCTGTGATGCTCTGTAAATCAAAGATCAGTTCTCGAATCACGCCCCGAAAGTTTTCTTGTATTTTACAGGGTCACAACATCACCCCACGCTACAGATTTGTCGGATGGTAAGACTTTGATGGCTGATTTCCAGCATCTCCTCGAGTCGACATCGATGGATATGTAAATGCCAGCGGGAATGCGGTCGAAAGGGATTTCAAGATTTTTTGCGCTGATAACTGTAGATAGAGCGTGAGGATGACAAAACGGATACGAAGGCGATACAGAGTGACCCACCTTCAAGTCTGATAGACTGGCTTTCTAAGCTACCGGACATGATGCAGTAAGACGATGAGGATTGAGGATGGGCTGAGTGGTGGGCGGGATGAGTGGTAGGACAAGACGCGGGTAGGAAAATGGAGACTGTGGAATGGAGTTCAGCCGGAAGGGTGAGGAGAAGAGGGTGAGGACTCAGACTGCACGTGTGTCCATACTGTCGAGGGCCGGTCGGCACCATAGACGCTCGTATGATTAGAATAAGCGTTAAGATGAAAAGATGACCGACTATAGGGTTAGCGGGAGAACCTGTGTTAATGAAGCAGGCAATTATTAATGTCAAAGTCAGCGAAAGTGACACGGCATGGTCACCGGGCCGTTGTGAGAACTCGGTCCTGTGATGTTTGCTACTCCTGGACTGAGGCGTACAACTCATTTAGCACACCGGGGTAGCAAGTAGAATCGAGAATATTTCGTAAGGCGTTATTGCAAACCGCTGAAAACGACGCGCACGGAAAAGCCGAAAAATTATATGTAGTGTGGGCTCGCAGCGTTCGAGATACTCCAAACTGTTAGTTTATCTCATGTCAATACACCCTCGTTCTACACAGAAAAGCAAGTAACATGGTGTCATAAAGTTACAGGTACAACGCGAGACTCAACAGATGAAATGTTTGACGGATTTACGAAGACTGCCCCTCTACGTGTTCATCAATTACTGCAAGGTGAGACGGTCCTGCCTCTGGCTGTGACTGACTAGTAGCCATTATATTCATTTCAATTTCTTCGTACTGGACCCTAAAAGACTCGCATCAGCGAAATAATTTAGTGAGCGAATAGGCGGATTATACCTGGGAGGAGACACAGCGACACGATTGAGAATGTCTTCCCCCTCCTCCTCTTCGTCGTCCTCAGGATCATCATCATACACTGGGCGTGGAACCTGCCTCTTCTCCTTTTTCTGGAACCAGCTTAGGCAAAATAAGAGAACAAACGGCCGATTTCCGTCGTCCACACCAACAGCGTCGCCCTAGCAAATGACGCGGTCATATCTCACGAACTTGACAGGATAGCAGAAAACAAACATAGGTAGCTTGTCCGAGTGGAACGTCGATGACTTTTGCCGGTTTCCGTTTCCGTTCACGAGCCTTTTGCTTCCCCTTTTTAGACGAGGACTGAATGGTATTGAAAAAGGCCCTGCCACCGGGCAACTTGAAGGAAGTTGATGGAGGGCTTTCTGCATAAAGGTGATTGGACGGTAAGGGCGACGTAGCAGGGAACTACAGCACGAATGTTGAGTCAACGGTAAACGAAGAAGAAATAGAGACAGACATCTAGAGGGCCGCGAGACTGGATATTATTCCGAACGGAAGGAATTGCATTCGTGCGAGAAGAGAAGGGAAGAAGTTTGCGGAGGCGAAGGAAAATGGTTTGCTGTGGGTCTATTGTGGGCGGAGGTCTCTGCACCATAGGTATGTCAGGTATTGGTAGTCTGCGGCGCACGGCAGGAGGACGACGAGTTGCATCAGACTACAATGGCGGTGATGAACAAGTGGTGTAATGAGAAAAAGAAACGAGATGCGCACATTCAGGAGATCATTCAAGGTTCGTGCACTGGTCTGTAAGGGAATATCAGCATACAGACAGTAGATGATCGCGGGGAATGCGTACACAGGCCTGAGCAAGGACTTCGGGTGGAGTGTTACAAATGTAGATGTTATCATCATAGCCAGTGAATGTCGTGTAAGCAAATTGGCACGAGTCGGGTGAGAGGACAAGGGTATCAGGATTTTGAACATCGAAGGAAGCGAGGAGTTGGCGGGACTCGAAGGCCCAGAGTTTGATGGTGTGGTCCCAAGAAGAGCTAGCGAGGAGAGTGCCGTCAAATGAAAGTGCTAGACCGTAAATGACGTTATTGTGTCCTTTGAAGGGAGTTCCGACAGTCTTCAGCGTCGACGCGTCAAACTCGTAGATTGTCCTGGAATAGTCGATTGTGAAGTTGAATGCGGCTAAGATGTTTTTGTTTTTGTTTGTCCAGAAAATTGGCGTAGATGTCATTAATAGTGGTCCTTTGATCGCTCTCCCTATGCTCACATCCAATTTCTGTGTTTCGACATCCCAGACCTCAAGCCACTGACCGAAATATGACTTGATTGCGAGCTTCTTTAAATCCGTTGAGAATCGAACTGCGCCCACCCAATCAACGCTCTTAAATGGACCGGCTACAAGTTCGCCGGTCTCCAAGTTCCATATCCGCGCTGTCTCATCCCCGGACCCGCTCGCCAGCAGCTTGCTGTCCGCCGATACATCAATGCAGGTGATCATATCTGAGTGGCCTTGGAGTGTTTTCACAATCCCCGTCTCAACCTCACAGGCTTTCAGCTCCGGACGAGCGTCACCTCCACCGCCAGTGACAACCCATCGACCATCCCTTGATACCGCCACTGCCTGTACCTCCTCCTCGCAAATTCCTCGCACTTTCTCAATCTCCTTACCCGCCTTCAGATCCCATCGCCGAGCGGTCTTGTCTCGAGATCCGCTGATCATTCGCTGGCCGTCCGGAAAATAGGATATAGATCCAACCCAATCTACGTGACCCTTCAAAGTCATTTTCAGAATCGATTTCGTGACGGCTGCCTTTGTTGACGTGGAAGCCATGCCTGCGTCTCCGGGAGTGAAACTGTTAAGTGGGGGAAAGGTGTTCTTTGGATGTGTTCGAAGGACTTAGTGGTGAGCTCTCGTGTGCTGTGGGCCCGATATTGGTCGTTTTGAATGTTACCAAGAGGCAAGCAATGATAGAGAGAAGGGTTCTAAAACGTGAGCACAGCTGTTGTCCTTATCCGCTATTTCTTAAATATCCTTGCTTTTGGCTCACAGCCTCTCACAGCCATGACCGAGGTTCCTGTGTTAGAGCGTCAATCTCGTTTTCTATTTCCCACCCGCCAGCGTTGCAACGTTGCTGGCCAAAAAACATCTCATATGCTGTAGTATTAGCCCCACTCTTATCATTGCGGTTTCGCTTCGGATGAGAGCGTACTCGACAATTGAATGTTCAGTTTTACGTGACTTCTCGCAGAGGCGAAGATAAGTACTCATCTTAGCCAATCGGGCGCAGGGTGACTCTGATACTATGGAATGGATAGAGGCCCTCTCGACGTTCGACCAGCACCTTACATATTCCTCAGAAAAGCGCGTCTTCGGATGCGTCTCCAAAGAGGAACTCGACGTTTGACAGATTCGGAGGCTAATACGGGAGGAAGGCTAATATGGTCTTGCTGCCAGTTCTCAAGGCAACTGCAGTGCACGCAAAACCTAACCAGAACCACACGTCCATCCCCATACATTACTCGCAAAAGATTCTTACACACCCACGTCAACATTAGCACAAGCAATGATTCCTACACAATGACACATTCGTCAATGCTCCTCACAGAATTCGTCGTGGTTCGAGAATGGCTTCATGAAACCGCCCCATGACTGCAACATCCAGGAATCACCACAGGATGCTGGAAGTTCGCGAAACATAGTATTGTGCAGGCTCTACGCACAGGCTCAGGAATCAGAGACGGTTTGGTGAAAGAGCTAGATCCTGATGCTATGAACAGAGGTGATGGTTGATCATTAGCAGCTGCTGACGGCCCCGTGAGCCAAATCACAGCCTGTCGAAGCACTGTCGGAAACGCGATCCTTTAAAGTGATATGAGAACAGCCTAACACAAGTCTATTCATTTGTTCGTGCTGGTAGATTGGATGAGGCAGACGAATTATGCAGAAAAGCACATCGGTCATGGAGAGCTGCGAGTATCCGTGGTTCGCTACTGTTTCGGCCCGCCCGCCTCAGTGGTTCGCTACTGGTAAGTCAAGCTCCACGTATCATCTGCGTATCTCTAATCTTCCAACAGTTAACGATAAACGAGATGACGCTGAGGATGCCAAAGGATGGCAGGGAAACCCATGAAAATTGTGTGCAAGAGCAGTCCTGAATGTGCGCCATTCAACCGTTTGTGTACCATCTTCTTAACGCGTCCTTCAAGCCCCACCTCCCCGATCCAGAGAGCATTCTCTATGCAGCTCTTGTGCCCTGCACGCAAACATTCAGCGTCCTGAAGTCTCCATGTCGGACATGGGAAGACCACCTATGGGCGCAGATCAGTATCCTATGTAAGGAGAAACAGTCTGCAGACATGATTAAACTAGATGGTGGCTTCTAGGATGGTGGCCTGGCAAAATACGTCGTCGCTACTATCTCAAGAGGAAGGTGCAGTTGAGGAAGAAGAGTGGGAAGCAACATCTACGTTGAAAACACTGGGTAGCATTCACGTGGAGGACAGGTAGGGTGTACATATACGTCTATTTCCCGTGTGCTGACAGTTAGTCAGTCCCACCGCAGACCACGCATTCTACGTCTCTCAGTTGGTGATCATCTATCATCCCCGATCGGACAAGTTCCTTGCTAGAAACCTTCGCAACTGGACGTGTAGGGGACTTATCGACCAGGCTTACGATGCAGTCGTAAAAGTACTCACTTCAGATTGAACGATTCCGGATGAGACAGGAGATTGTCGTTCCCGCAAGCTAACTTGGCAGATATACATCCCCGAGCTTATACTGCGGCTGCATGTCATGATCTACGCATCTCGAGAGCATATCCCAGAGTGAGTATAACTTCGGATGCAGTAACTGCAGGTCTAACACATCTTGTCCAGCAATTTAAAGCGCACATTGGAGCTTGCCAACATTATTTCTGATTCAAGGTACAAACTGTATGATGATTTCTTACATATTGATGGCCGGTCGTGGCTCGTCCCCTTCTATGTAGCAAGGATGATATGTAGGATGTAGGATGAAGCATGATCTCTCTGCATCATGTTTCATGCAAAGCGCCTTAGTAGCCGCAGAGAACGATATTATCAAAGAAAGAGTTACGCCCCAGCCCATCCCATAAAGCCCGCTGTAAACAGCCAGCTTATGTGTATGTTCGACAAAGCAATGTGTATTTATTCAACGGAACGATGCTTGCAGTACTAGTACACAATGCAAATACAAAAGTATCGTGCAGACATGATATGAGTAACTGAGATCCAGGTGGGACAACGGGGGAATGAAAGCAATCAGGACAACAAAAAATACAATAGCACGACGAATCAATCAAACTAGACACCTATATGGACAAATACGATTTGCTGTTCTAGTGGAATCTTCTTGCGCAACGATTTCACAGCCTCGTGCAACGCAACCGCAGCGCGTGTGCAGTCCAATCTCCCTGAGCCATCAATCAGATTACGGTAAAAAACAGACACAACCTGCCGTGCAACATCATCGTCAACAGACCACATGGAACCTATGACACTGCGAAATCCGGATATTTGCATTGCTGCGGCGAGATGGATCGATTCGTCGGGACTCTTCTCATCGCCCACGGTAGTGTGGCAGGCCGATAAGAACGCGAATTCTGGATTCTGCCAGTTGGACCGGATGATGTCCTTGATCATCAACGGCCCATCGCGCATCGCAAAGGAAGAGTCGAATGGTTGTGTTCGATTCGGCATTCCATGGCAGGCGAGATGGAGCCACTGGTTATGGTTTAGGGCATCGAGCGCACCCTGCACTGTTGCGAGACTGTCTCGGAGTGATGTGAAGGATGACACGATGGGTGCGAGACACTGAGCTATGGCGGCTAACTCAGGAGCAACATGTCTGAGTTCCTTCCCTCTGTCCGGATTCGCTTGACCAATTGCAACAAAATGTTGTGTTGACGCATATCGAGAAACGCGCTCTCTTGCACGAACCAGTGTCGTCAAAGTGGGGGTATAAGAGGAGACGTAAATCTGAGACAAGTTGTCTCTCTTCCTCTCGTAGGGTCCTGCTGCATGTAGAGGAAGCAGAGTGAATTCAGCTGTGGGACACCACCAGATACGTGAGCCAGGGTGAACATTAGACACCCTAAGGGCTTGGACCACGGGGTCAACGGCATGATGCCAAAGCTTGCGGAGGATGCCCACGAGCTTGAGTTGATGATCGGAACAACCAAATTGCTCTGCGATAGACTGAAACTCGGAGGACAACTCGGAAACTTCGGTACGCGTGATATCAAGTGGAACGTGGACAGGATCTTGGCTGCTTAGGACAATCAAGGCGTCGCAGCTGTACTCACTAGCATTGACAATGATGACCGGACCCTCTGCAGCGGCTTTCTGGAGGTCAGAAAACAGTGGGGGCAGGAGAAACCGAGAAAAGTCAGGCTGCATGCGGATGCGGGAGACAACATCATTCCATTGCATGGTCAGTTGTCGTATTTGTGGGGACTGCTCTTCTGTAGACTGATCGAACGCGCCACGAAGGCCAAAGCTCAGCTGTTTGAACTCTTTCTCCAAGGCTGCGCCGGTGTCACCGGACAGGGAAAGTTCATCGAGTGGTGAGCGCAAGCGTGCCAGTTGGGTCCAGAATACTGCACGGCCTTGCTCCACCATTTCCACAGCAGTTGTTAGCGCGCCATGACGAACGCTGCACGAGAAAGCGTCCATGGCAAGCGAAGCTATGGCCACCTTGACAACATCAAAATGGCGCGGAGAAGACGACAATATAGTAACATGCTGATCTAGGAATTTCAATGCAGTTTGATAGGCAAGCAATGCAGATTCATGGTTCATCTCCTCGGCAGAGGTGACCCATGACTTGGCAGCAGTAAGATCGCTGCGAGAGACGGCATGAGATAGGTAGGAGAGTTGCACATACAGCCTGAATGCTTCGTCTAGGTCAAACAGGGTACCCCGCTCCTTGAATCTGTCTCGAAGACGGAGGGCAAGACTGTTGAGAGACATTGATCGATGTGAATGACCGGGGGGACAAAGTAATAGTGCAGCCCGATGGAGTTCGATGGCTTCATCAAGGTCAGACGGGACACCCCGCTGCTTGTATCTGTTAACAAGACTATTGGCAAGATCGTTGAGAGACGTTGATCGAAGTGAATGACCGGGGGGACGAAGGAGTAGTGCAGCCCGATGGAGCTCGATGGCCTCATCAAGGTCAGACGGGACACCCCGCTGCTCGAATCTGTTTTGAAGGCTGCGGGCAAGATTGTTGAGAGACCATGATCGAAGTGAATGACCGGGGGGACGAAGGAGTAGTGCAGCCCGATGGAGTTCGATGGCCTCATCAAGGTCAGATGGGACACCCCGCTGCTTGAATCTCTCATCAAGGCTATTGGCAAGATTGCTGAGAGACGTTGATCGAAGTGAATGAACGGGGGGACAAAGGAGTAGTGCAGCCCGATGGAGCTCAATGGCCTCATCAAGGTCAGACGGGACACCCCGCTGCTTGAATCTGTCATCAAGGCTGATAGCAAGATCGTTGAGAGACCGTGATTGATCAGAATGACCGGGGGGACAAAGGAATAGTGCAGCCCGATGGAGCTCGATGGCCTCATCAAGGTCAGATGGGATGCCCCGCTGCTTGAATCTGTTAGCAAGGCTGCGGGCAAGATGGTTAAGAGAACTTGATCGACGTGAATGACCGGGGGGACGAAGGAGTAGTGCAGCCCGATGGAGCTCAATGGCCTCATCAAGGTCAGATGGGATGCCCCGCTGCTCGAATCTGTTTCGAAGGCTGGCGGCAATATTGTTGAGAGACGTTGGTCGAAGTGAATGACCGGGGGGACGAAGGAGTAGTGCAGCCCGATGGAGCTCAATGGCCTCATCAAGGTCAGATGGGACACCCCGCTGCTTGAATCTGGCATAAAGGCTGGCGGCAAGATTGTTGAGAGACGTTGATCGATCAGAATGACCGGGGGGACGAAGGAGTAGTGCAGCCTGATGGAGCTCGATGGCCTCATCAAGGTCAGATGGGATGCCCCGCTGCTTGAATCTGTTAGCAAGGCTGAGGGCAAGATTGTTGAGAGACGTTGATCGAAGTGAATGACCGGGGGGACGAAGGAGTAGTGCAGCCTGATGGAGCTCAATGGCCTCATCAAGGTCAGATGGGATGCCCCGCTGCTTGAATCTGTTAGCAAGGCTGCGGGCAAGATTGTTGAGAGACGTTGATCGATCAGAATGACCGGGGGGACGAAGGAGTAGTGCAGCCTGATGGAGCTCAATGGCCTCATCAAGGTCAGATGGGATGCCCCGCTGCTTGAATCTGTTAGCAAGGCTGCGGGCAAGATTGTTGAGAGACGGTGATCGAAGTGAATGACCGGGGGGACAAAGGAGTAGTGCAGCCCGTTGGAGCTCGATGGCCTCGTCAAGGTCAGACGGGCCACCCTGCTGCTTGAATCTGTCATAAAGGCTTAGGGCAAGACTGTTGAGAGACCATGATCGATTGGCATGACCGGGGGGACAGCTTTGCAAGGCCTCTCGACACTTTTCTACCCTGTCCACCATGCTACCGTAATCAAGTTACACGATGATTGTCGAGAACACAGAGAGGATGAAGCCGACGAGCGCAATTGGGCGAAGACGACTCTGTGCCTTTCATGAGCACGAAATCCAGGTAGATATGTTTGAATCGAAATGTGCACGCACATAGAAGTTACTGAAATGGTAGAAACCTGTAGAGGAAATGATATGGTGAGCGCTGTAGTGCAGTGCCCAAGAGAAGTCTGGCACTCGAGGTGAAACTATCCTTGATTTGTTATAAGATCATTGGTATCACACTAACACCTTGGATCGAGTATATTCCATCCACCCTTGGCAGCGCTTTTTGGACCTTCCCACGGTCTTTCAGACTGGGTTTCTTGGTCTGCGGTCTCTGCGCTAACCTATCTCCGAGACGTCCCTCCTGAAAGAACCTGCCGCCCATTTACATCCAGCCACATTCCTCTCGAGGTACGTGGACCTCTTCTTCTGTGAACTGAAGAGCGCCTCTGTCCTCTGTAGCGCTTACTCCGCACCCCACGAGTCCACGGGAGGAATATGTTATGAGGTTGTGGCATGTTCTGTTGCGCGAGGTTTGAGAGGATGTTGGGGAGGTTTTGGAGGAATGTTTTTTTTTGGGGGTTGGAGGAATGTTGGGCATGGTTTCGGAGTTTTCCAGGACTGTCTCGCGAGGTTTGTGAGCGATGACCTGCGATGACCGGCTCTCGAGTCTCAACTGCATGCTCGCTGATAGTGGTGTCCATGGCAACCCCAACAGCATCTTGAACTCGTCCTTTAGGTGTCATTTATATGTAGACCCAATAATACATTGTTCTGCTCATGTCTTGATCAAACATTTCACACATATCAGTCCGAGTAACGTGCTCGATGTATTCACACCTTGGTTGCCCAACAAGCTTTAAGGCTTATAATACTGGGCAATCACGCGCCTCGCCTAAGCTTACAATAGTAAATGTCATTAAATCCCAACAGTGGGTGTGGAATGAAACTCGAACGCTATGAGAACAATGTACCATCGCAATAGTTGAGCCGACACGGGTGCTCTGAATCTATTGAGATAAAAGTTCTGCTGCCCCGCCTTGACCGAACCGGGGAATCGGTTAGCACAGCCATATTGGGTCCGCCGGCGGAACCAATATGCCGTTTATTCAATAGAGGCTTGGCACCTGGGAGATTCGAACCACAGACGTGATGGATGTGCAGCTTCGAATTCGCCATGCAGTGGCAAGGTGGGGAAACGGTCCCCCCTTGCCACAACCTTGCCATGACCAATATTCCTGCAGGACACGCGTCAATATCACTTGGCCCTGAGGCAACATGCCGACGCCCTACGCACGTATCGGCAGACCTGGGTTCAAGACTTTAAGTTGCACCATGACTCGCCGAGACAGTGCATACCATGTCGACAGCTCTCATTCTCGGCGCAACAGGCGCAACAGGAAAACACCTCCTTCGCGAGCTTCTCTCACACAACGAATGGTCTAAAGTTGGCGAATATAGCAGACGAGTAACACCAGAAGCCGACCTTCCACAGAACAGAGGCAAACTCGAACAGAAAAACAATCGACTTTGAGAACTTGGAAGTAGCAGGGCTGAAGGACGGACGATGGGATGTCGTCTTCGTCACCCTCGGAACGACTCGTGCGCGGGCAGGGAGCGCAGAGATGTTCGAGAAGATCGACAGGGAGTGAGTTGATTTGTTGTCATACTCGGTTCCGTCTCATACGTATTTTGTGACGCAGGTATGTGGTGAACGCCTGCAAAGCTGCAAAGACGGATGATCCGACACACAAACAACGTGTCGTGTATCTTTCGGTGGGTTCATTACCAAATATGTGCTGCACACCATATGGATTGATGCGAATATAGTCTGGGGCCGCTAATCCTTCCTCTTCATTCATGTATATGAGGTACGCAAGCATCACTATGGCCCGCTCTTCCTCAATCCCTCCTCTGACTTTCTTTCTTTCAGATCAAAAGGTCTCACCGAACTAGACATAGCACGCCTTGGGTATGCGGACACCATCGTCTTCCGCCCGGCTGTCTTCAAAGGGGCAGAACGTGCTGATAAAAGGCTCGCAGAGACCATACTAGGGTGCGCTATCTCCTCTCGATTTTGTCCCAAAGTTGATTTGACCCAATTCAAGCTACGTGACTGGCCTCATGTCGCATTTTACATCTCATGCGGAGATTCACGTTGCCGTTCTCGCCAAAGCTATTATGAAAGCGGGCATTTTGGGTTCATCCGGCTTATCTCCCACTGTGGGCGCCACTATAGCAGGAGAGGAAGGGGTGCGGTTCACTGTGATAGGGAACAAAGGTGCACTTGATCTCGGGCAGGGCGCGTGATTCATCATTACGGTATTTCAGACATCCTTCTGGTTTCAGTGTTATGATTGTCCTCTGGACTGGATGACACATCGGGGTTTGCAGTATTTAAGACAGGCTTGAATGTCGTGCGAAATGTCAAGATAATACTTAAAATTTAGGTTGTCGTCTAAGCAGAAGTGAAATTTCAAATATTAACGAGATCTTGCACGACATGATAAATATAAAGCATTAGCAAACATTTTGTTGCCGGCCGAACGTTAACGACAATAAGAAATATAAATATATATTTAATGCTGGCCTAAACTTCAAAATGAAACTTCACATTTAATACTCGAAAAAACTTCAAGCATTGCACGTGACTGAATGCCTGCTCAAGTATGAAGTTTAGACCGCCACTTAGACGGGCGTCAAAATTTTAGATACCCCCTGAGGATAAATGTGAACATAAAACATTAAGTTTTATCTCCAGATAAAATAGATCGCCCGACGATCGCCCACTCATCGCCCGCTCACGATGATCTATACACGATTCGCCCACTCATGAGTTGGGAACACGAGTCTGATTGCTTGTATATACAAATATATGTAGTAGAGCGAACTGAAGATCAATCACGAGATAGAGATACACGATACACGATTATGTAGTACATCAGCGCCCGCTCAACTCACGATAATCTACACAACGAATATATTTCAAACACCTGGTCCACTGGTTGATAAAGTCATAACTCGAATCGCTTTAAGCCTCTGTGAAAGCTAAGCAGGAGATCAGAATCAGAGATGCGCAAGTAACAACTATTCTTACCAGTAGCAAGAAAACTGCAACATGCTGCATCGACGTTTTTCATCATTTTGCTGGTACCCGGATTGAACTTGAGTGAGCCTTTCCACTGCTTACCGGTCATTGGACCGTTGGCATCATTAGTGAATTTATGACGCTCTCGTGAAACACCCTGTCGAATGTTGCCCAGGCGTAACTGGAACCAAGATTCACATCGACTAGACCAGAACCCCACGTTCAGCCCTGAGGCAGCCCACGCCTGGGGTCTAGGCCACCAAGAGACGATTTCCACATTCCCATCCTCTGAAAATTAAAACATAAGCGCCCCTGTCGATGCGAGTAAGAGAAATTTTGATTACTGTTATGCACATAATATGTTCCACACATGAAATCTACCTCCTCTTCGGACAGCTCATCATCAAAATAAGTCTGGCCATTAATGTCCAGCATCAGGCCAAATGGTACCGCTTCCCGTGAAATGCCGTCGAGAACGGAGGGGAGAACATCGAACCCAAGACTATGTAAAGCCAGCCGCCATATGAGTCCACCGTGAAGAACAGCTGCTCTTGCGCGAGGCTGGTTCATGAACTCGTGACGGTGCTGCTCATACACAATGTAGTCGGCGTAAACAGGCTTGAAACGGGGAAGCGTGTGATCGTTGGGGGGGGGGGGACATGTCCGAGGGAGTATGTATGGAGTTCCGTAAGTGGGCGTCACGTGTGAGGCGGAATTGACATTGGTAGCAATGTCTTTATGGCGATTCCTTTTTCAAGGAGGTTACGTGCGATCTTTGTTATATCTGAACCCCAGTCACGCCGGAGGCACATCACGGCTGTGGTAGCGTCGGAGACTGCCAGTTTCCAGGGCACCAGACTTAACGATAGATTTGGCTCGATTATGTAGAGCCGCCGCGTGGGTTGCTGTATGTAGTGAACCCGAATGTGTGCATTTGAGGTTGACAGGGAGGATTCAGGTCCTAGATCCCAGAGATCGGGCGGGATGTCGGACAATTGAGATTGGGGAAGGGTGACGAGGTAACCTATAAAACATGTGATAACATGCTTCTGTACCTCTGGAATTGAGGCAATATTCGCGGGCTCATCGCCAACCAGTTTGCATAGGTGAGCCCACTGTGTCTTGCGAGTCCAATCATCGAACATGGTCGATCTGCCTCGGGGTGAAGTGGTAGATGCTGCAAGTCGATATCCAAGATGGAAATGCAAAATTGAGACAAATCGCTCAACACTTCGAGTGTATTGCGCTGAGGGTGCGACTTCATAACGACCGAAGTAGGCTTCGATGTCCCGTACGAAACTGGACAGTGGGGGCGGAGGGGGTGGTAGGGTGGGTTCAGAAGGAGCAGCAAGGGCAGAGGCAGGCGGAAAATTATCTTCCTCCCAATCACCATCAGGAATGCTGGTAGGATCCAATCTGTCGCACAAGTCCCACTTGTTACGGAATGAGTCATATACCCTGGTAGATTGGTTATACGACATCCAAGTCATCGGTACCTCAGCCTTTGTGAGACGGATGCGTTGAAGAAAGCCGCCAAACTCGTCATCAGGTTGCCATTCCAACACCACGACCGTGCTAGATTTGCCAGGAATGCTGTGGTTCATGGCTGCACGCTCACGGCTCTGACGTGACTGCCGTCGAGCTGGCGTCTCTGCCTCCTCTTTCTTCTTATTCTCCTCATGGCGCCGTGCAAAGAATGCCTTCCAATCCTCTCCTCGCTTCTGTCTAGAGTGGGGTTGGGGGATTGGAAATAGAGAGTCCGCGTGGGCTTCGGGAATATCGGGTGCGGGCTGCTCTCCACCGACTTGACCCCATCCAATTTCACTGCCATCCCATCCAAGGGCGCCCTGACTCTTGTTGTCCCGACCCCACGCACTATCGTCCGGTTGACCCCAGGTGCTGTCGTCCGGTTGGCCCCAAGTACTGTCGTCCGGTTGACCCCAGGTACTGTCATCTGGCTGACCCCGTTGGATTGTCTCCTCAGTCGCACGGGTGATAGCTGCCTGAGACGGGATATAATGACGCTAGGTGAGGTCGACAGCAGAGGCGGAAGCATTTTGGGGAAAGCGAACCCAAATCGGGATTGTCAATTTCTCAAAAAGGGGCAATTGAACTTGCCAAGGGCAGTGATTGGAAGAAATGAAGGCTCCCGTACGTGGCACGTTTGTTGTGAGATCCCCAACGAATGAGCGCGACAACTCAAGAACCCATTCAGCGGGTATGGGATTCTTATGGTCATTCGTTAGGATAGCCATCCAAGAATGATTGGAACCTTGGTTTCGATGACTCATGATGAACCATGAGCAGGTAGCGGCGATTACTAGAAATACGTCAGGCAATCACGATGAAATGAATATACGTTCCGCGACCTCATTGCGACCTTTTTTGCAAGGTTAGCGTCTGCATGCGACCGCTGGTACCCAAAGGCAGTCGGAGGGCATGGAAGTTTAGTCCCCCATGGAATGAGCAGCCCAGCACCCAAACGTTCCTGGCACCAGAGCAGTTTCTGCTCTAAGGCGACCCATGTTGCCCGAATATCGCGGTGGAGAACGTGTCTTCCCTGTGAATCCACCTCTGTGAGGAGCGAGAACCTGGAGTGGTTGAGGCATCCAAAGATCGGCCCATCGAAGGTAGGATTCAAAGGTATAAGAGGAAACCACGGACGAGCTCCGTACGCCCAACAAGTAGAGAGCGGACTATCACTATCGTCGGGAGAAGAATTGTAGTCGTTGCGAGGGTCCCAAAGAGGCTCGTAAGGAATAACATCAGGAAGCGAGTCTGCAGTGAGAGAGGTATAGACCTGCCCATCACGCGCAAAGACACGGAGATTGTTACTCATGGAAGGGTAGACTACCGCAATGGTACAAACCGTTACGTTAGAGTTGAGAGATATCTCGGAAGAGCTACCACAACAGTACAAACGGTTGTGTTAGATGTTAGAGATGCAAGAATGACAGGTGGGAATGCATCTATATAGCAGTGGCGGAGTTTCAACGAGTGATTACCATATCGGTGGCAACAATGAGATCATGATAGGTGTGGAATGTGGACTACAAAAAAAACACGGCCGGGTTCAATACAAGAACTACTCAAACAAGGAAATATAACTTGGTGTGGACGGCATTATGGACTAAGACGCTGAGGATACCCCAAGAGTGACGGTGTATGTAGTCCTGAAGGACTGACCAATTTTAAGTAAGAAGGGAAAACATCATAACAACTTGCCTTCTCGGTGCAGTTTCTGCCCAGGTTGTTTCTGCGAAGGCGGTCCCTTGAAAGACGAGGGCAAGGATATTAAACATATGATCAATATAAGAGAAAACATCATAACGACTCACTTCATCGGCCGGTGCAGTTTCTGCATATGATCGGGCCAAGGATGTCAAGTATGGGAGACCAGGAAAAGGATGTTAAACCCATGGTCAATAACTAGGCGTCAGGTCGGCAGAGGATGAAATACGAAGGAGTGACTTGGAGTTGGGACGTTGGCGATGGCGACAAAATTAGAGAACGCCGGGCACGACCGTACATACAGTCGTACCCTGGGAGAAGGTCATGGAAGGACCACGGGCGTCGAGCCGGGGAGTGACTTGGAGTTGGGATGTTGGCGATGGCGACAAAATTAGAGAACGCCGGGCACGACCGTACATACAGTCATACTTTGGGAGAAGGTCATGGAAGGACCACGGGTGTTGAGTCGGGGAGTGACTCGGAGTTGGGACGTTGGCGATGGCGACAAAATTAGAGAACGCCGGGCACGACCGTACATACAGTCATACCCTGGGAGAAGGTCATGGAAGGACCACGGGTGTTGAGCCGGGGAGTGACTCGGAGTTGGGACGTTGGCAATGGCGACGAAATTAGAGAACGTTGGGCACGACCGTACATACAGTCATGCCCTGGTCATTCGTTGTCGATGAGGATGACAGGCTCGGCGGTAACAACAGCCAAGCCTGGTGGCGATAAAAGTACGATAGGCATGACCGTACATACAGTCATGCCCTTGGGGGAGGATGGCCATTTTTTCGACGAGGGAGAATAATAAGGATATGAGTTTGATATAAGTTAATGTTTCATAAGGAAGAAAGACTTAGAACTTTGGCAACGAAAGAGCACAACAGTCACAAATAACAATATTCCCATATTAGGACATTGTTACATAATATTGTTCTCAGCGTTGCAAGCATTTGAATTCAGAAATCACTCCAAGTTCCAACCATCAACACTCGGAGCTCGACGGTTTGTACTGTCGAGCTCATTGAGCTTATCGTTTTCCCATCTTTTTCCCCCCATGTTTGGAGCACGATGGTATGTACTGTCGTGTCTCCTGCATGGGAATACCGTCTACCTTGCCAACTTTTCGCTGATGCGACGATCCTTTGGATCCAATCTGAGGTCCATCCATCCATCCTCTACGTCAGGCAAGCAATAATCCCACTGTTAGCAAATCCAACCGCTAACAAATCCAACCATTAACAAATCCAGCGGTCAACACCCTTCATCCCCTCCACCGTCGGTCAACACCCGTCACCCCTCCACCGTATGTACAGTGGAGGGGCAATGGCGTCGACCTCCCATCAACTTCCTCCAGCAATGGCGTCGACCTCCCGTCGACTTCCTCCACTTTCGCTGCAAGCCCGTTTGTCATGTCACCCGTCACCCCTCCACCATACATACAGTGAAGGGGGCACATATGGCTTATCGTACATTCCTGCGGCGCATGTCACTCACTCCGTCTATTCAACCCTACTCTACACCACATATACTATGCTACCGCAACTTTCATCCATCGGAACGTCTCGTTTGAAACATTCAACCTCTCCACCTGCCCCCCAGTAAGACCATCAAACCATTCGCCATTGTATAGGGCCTTCGGTAATCCAGTGACCGGGCTACGTACAGTTGTCGAGTTACCGGGCGCGCGTATCCTTTTCATTGGTTTGGAACCCTGGGGCGCGAAAACATCATCGTCCAACACTCTCTGATGGTCGATGACATTCAGTTCTCGCTCTATCCTGCGACGCCATGCCATGTTCTTCACTCGGAGTACACATTGTACGTCGTTTTCCACGTCGCTTTCTTCTGAACTCATGCCACCATCTCCCAGTGTCTTGATTAGTTTTTGAAGCCACATCCAAGCTGGTAGGTCATCGTCCTCCGAATCATCCTTCAGCTTGATGATATGCTCAAGAATTTTTGCCCTGCAAATGTATTTCTGTGGACGCATTAGTATGTATCCGAAAGCCTTGTGATTGTGTCGTGGACATACATTTCGGCGACGAGTTGTTTGATGAATTGACTTCAGATTTTCGCCTCTCTTTGTGATCAACCTCTCCTCCACCTCTGCTGCAGTTTCCAAGATGCCCTTTGCTGTAACCTTTGGTTGCGCTGCTCTCCAGGCCGTCCACAGCCGCTTGTAGCGATCCTCAAGAATCGCTTTATAATACCCATCCGACCTTTGGAACGGCCACTGCTCTTCCACATTCCTCCTTTGCAATTCTTCAACGAGCATATTGAGGATTCTCGCATTCCAAGGGGTGTTAGATCCATGTGTGAGATCGAAGGCGAGGTTCTGGGTGTCAGGGCCTGGTCCATCTTTGTACTCGTATGAGTACACATCTTCATGGATGGCTGGCTGATGCACGATAAAATCTGCATCTTGAGATATGCTGAAGATATCTTTGAGGAGACGCCGGACTTCACCCTGTTCCATGCTCAGTATGAGCACATATGTTGAGTTTTAGCTCTCACAAGAAGAAAGTCTCTTTCGTGACTCAATTCTGCGGCCCTTTCCGTCCTAACTTCATCATCCTGCATCCTTTTCCTTCGAGGACTACACTTCGTGGACATTGGGAGACCCTTATCGACGAAGATGCGTCTGAGTGCCGCCTCTATTCCTCTGGAGACCGCGTTCTCCATCGCAGACATGGCATCGTCCGGCTGAGATTGCGGTGGCTCTTGCTCAACCGTCATTGATCGTTTTCGATGCGTTTCCATAGGGTCATCGTCCTGCTATGACGTAAGTTTAACACGAGTTCAGACCACATTTAGTACTTACCTCTGCAACAGATACCAGACGCATCTTGCGTGTTGATCCACGTGCCTTCCTGATCTTTTTGATGGACTCGAGGCACGGTGTTTTGAACTGTGGTTTCTGGGGCATTTTGGGTTGCTGTTGAGCGCTCCTGGGGGCAGGGTCCGTGTCCATTTCCATGGCTGTATGATGTTGCCTACCGGATCTCGCAAATCGCTGCTCCATGTTGGCAAGTTCGCTCTCTTTTTCTACCCTCAATTTTTCTATTTCTAATCGCAGCCTTTGCTCCATCTCAGCAGAAATGACTTTCTTGCGTTCTTCTAACTGCTGGACATCAACATTAGCAATTCCTCTGGTCGGTTGTTCTTCCCCACCTCTTGTTTCTTTCTTTTACTTAATTCTGCTTCGTGTCGCGCCAGTTCCTCAGCAAGACATTGCCGTTCCTCAGTGCGTTCTTCTAACTGCTTGACATCATGAGCGATTCCCATAGTCGGTCGTTCTTTCTCACCTCTTTGTCTTTTCTTGCAGTTAATTCTGCTTCGCGTCGTGCCAGTTCTTCAGCTAGCTGCTCGACGTCATCAGCAATTCCCCTGGTCAGTCGTTCATTCTCCTCACCTCTTTGTCTTTCCTTGCACTTATCTCCTCTTCGCGTCGTGCCAGTTCTTCAACTAGCTGCTCGACGTCATCAGCAAATCCCCTGGTCAGTGGTTCATTCTCCTCACCTCTTTGTCTTTCCTTGCACTTATCTCTGCTTCGTGTCGTGCCTGTTCTTCAGCCAGCTGCGCTCAACATCATCAGCAATTCTCCTGGTCGGTCATTCTTTCTCACCTCTTGGTCCTTTCTTGCACTTATTTCTGCTTCGTGCTGTGCTATTTCTTCAGTGATGTTCTTCCTCAGTCGTGCTTCCTGCGCATGAGTTTCCTATTAGCTTGTAAGCATACATCTGATTGAAGTGTCTGTGGTGCTCACTTGCTCCCGCTCTTTCAGGGACGCTTCCCATTGCCGAGTCTTCTCGTCGACATCGTGTTTGTGGCGCTCACGCTCTTCTTCTGCAAGACATCGTTGCTCCTCAATGCTGCCTTGAGCTTCTTGGCGTATCTGCTGGTATGATTAGAGCTGTGACATATATTCAATGAGTTTCTCGTGCGTACTAGTTCTGTTTCATGCACAATATGATTGATCCGTTCTTGTTGTTCATACACAGTCTGGCGAAGTGTCTGCGAATAGTCGACTTCATGAAAGCGACACTTTTCAGACGCCTGAATGGACGCTATGAGTCACGGAAATTGGTTAGTGCTATCCAAACGTACCACTTCATCTCTGGCCCTCTTTTCGAGTCGAGCTGTACTAGTAGGAAGCTGACTGAGAGCATCCAGGAAGTTACCAGCATCGCTCTCATCATCATCTTCATTGTCGTCGAATAAATCCGCATCATGGGATGTTTGTACGTCCTCTGGCTCAAGCTCAAGGTGAGGGCGCTGCATCTCAATGTCATCGATGTTATCGACACTCATAGCGGGGTAGGAATTCATTGTTAGGTTGCAAAATGGAATGGCATATTCCTGAGTCTTCTTAAGTCATGCAAGTGTTTTGTGTTTATTCTTCTAGTTGTCTTTTTGAAGTCCATCTCGCCCGATCATTTTCAATTATCTCGTTGCTCAATTCCCCCGTACAATTACTTCGTACAATTACCCTTGGTAACCAGCGCTGCAGGATTAACAGTACAGATTCTTATTGTCATCCTTCATTACCGATTTGGTTTGGCTCGTTTGGCTCCCCGCTGTTGCCGGCAACTGTGTCCCCGAAGTAGACTCTAATATGGTTATTGTCTTTGATTTGGCACGCAAAGTTTAAAAAGCCGGACCGTTACTACAGCCCGCTTTCATCGCCCACTCTTACATTCTTGTCTTGATCAAAATATAATCAGCATGGTGAACTCTCGCACGTATATCCTTCCTACATCATCTGTAAGTCATCAGCCACTTGCTCGCACCCTTTTTTGACCTTCAAACAGACCCCGGAACTTCACCTGCGGTGCAGGCTATATTCGACATTGCGGACCAGACCCCGTCAGGCCACTATGTTGACGCGGTGCTCTGGTTACTCGCGTACTGCTCAGCGCTTTCCTGTTCCTGAAAGTCTCTTCGAGGAAGCTACCGTGCAGCCTTATATCCACAACTGTTTTGTGACTGTGCGTGAAGGGAGACACATCTATCAATTCTGCATATTCTTCAAACGGCATCTTCGTCTTAGAGACAACCTGCTTCTTAGTAGTGGTGATCGTACGTTCCGAGGCGATGCAGTTGTTATGAGGATTGGTGTCAACAATCCTTCCGTTGTGAACATGCGAGGCAGAGACAACGCGCTTGCTGACTTCATAATTCACCGGTGAGTAATAGTCAACTCCACAATTGATTGAGCCTACCTTAACTATCTTTCAGCTTTGCGCAGAGGATAAATGGTCGTCCAAGAGCTAGGCTCCCGCACTATCTTACTCTTGTAAAACCCTTGAGCACTCGCATCAGCAGCCGATTGGCTGCGAGGTGTGGAGTAGCATAATTTCTGTACCGCGAATGCATTAGTATCTGGACTATGAATGTATTGTTACACTATTACCAGAATTTCTCAGCTGGACTGTGAACATAATATTATTGCAATTTCAAGCTAAGGGTGCGCGAAATAGTCCTAAATTTGTATTCGCCTTTGCTCACATCAATTCCGGGGTGTCCGGACATCTCGGATTGCTGTGGATTTTCGGAACAGACAGAGCACTTCATAGTCGTGTGCGTGTGTTAAATCGCGAAGATATCACGCATGGTTCAATACGAACAGTCAGAGCTAGGATTTAGATAAACGACATGACTGGTAAAGGACGGGGGTATCTAGTGCGGCGGGGGCATCACTTCTTGTTCCTCTTCTTGCCCACAGACATTTCTCCCTCCTTTCATCTAGCGCGACCCGACATGTATTTCAGGCGCATCATAATCAAATCATTGACTGGCCATAAGTTGCTATAATTTTCAAGGTCTGGGAAATCGTCGAGAGCCTGAGATGTCATGAGTTCATTGACAACGAGACCGATAGAGGCTGTTCACCTTGTCGCGCACAACTCTCAACAGCGCAGGACTTTGGGCAGAAGCGCATTTTGTCATGTCAAGGTGGTCCTCGATGAAGTTATGCACATTTTTCTGAGGGATTCGTGAATTACTTTACAATGGGTACAACAATACTTAGCGAACCTTGAATTTTGCATACATCTTTGGATTCCAATCCAAAGCTTCATAAAGTGTGTACCCCCCACGCCCTGGGCGCCCAGGTTCGCCGGCAGGTTTAGGAATCTTCGAGTCTTCCGATAAACTCACATCCGAAGTTGAGGAGGAGTCGCTATCTGATAAAGAATCCAAAGAGGAGCCCGCAGAATCTGAGGGCACAGGTGTTTGAGAACGGGAACACGGGAACGTGACCTTCTTTAGGTATGGTGAGGAAGAGTGATCAGATTGCTTGAGCATCCGCTTTGCGAGTTTGAACTCAGGGGCGGGTGTGGACGACGATGCCCTTGCAGCGGGAATGATACTGGCTTTAGGAACCAGGACTTCATCGGCAATAAGTGTAGTTGGGCGACGATCAACATGGCCAAAGAGCTCCAGCTGGTCCGTGAGCATTGGGGGAAAGGGCGGTGGTGCACCAGTCTCCAGGTCATAGAAAGGAGGAACAACTGTAGATGTAGACGTATTGTGCATGATAGAGTGATAGATAGAGGAAGGGACTGAATAACTATGTTGAACTTAAGGGATGATTCAAGGGAAGCGAAAGCACTCAACAGACTACCATATTGGGTGAAAACAATAAGGGCTACGTGACAAATGGTAACCGTCGAAGCACAATAACTATTATGAAGAAAAAGACTTATTGAGAGGAACATCGACAAAGGCATCAAGACTACAAGTTACCATGGAATCAAACAGAAACAAAAGTATCCGAAAACAAATGCGCAATGCTAATAAATACGCTGTGAGCGGGCGACTACAACAGATCATATTACAATGTCTTTCCTTGCTACATTTTTCAACAAATCAGCGCAGCCACAGCGTTACAAGCTGCTCGCTCGTCTAACTGCCCACAGTGGCTCTGTCTATGCACTTGCGATCTCTAATGATGGGCACCTACTTGCATGCGGTGGTAATAAAGCAGACACTCAACCATAGACAGCGCTAACAAACAAGCAGGTACCGAGGGCATCAAACTCTGGGATATAAAATCTCGGAAAGAACTCACATCTTCGTCTCATCATCATGAATCCCAGGGAACAGTCAGTTGTGCAATCTGGACCACGACCAGGAAAACCGCGGCAGAAACCCTCTGTTACGGAACAGGCCTGGGTTACATCATATTTTTGCGACGCAGTCTCACGAATGTAAGTGCCCAGGGTTCCCACTCGACCGTCCGTTGACATCAGCAGAAAACATTCCAGGAGATTTGCGCCAGGAGACTTGGATCAGGTTTTGAGATTACATGCTTGTCCTGGCATTCGACTTCCTCCGAAGGCAACCTACGGATTGCTGTGTGGACGAGAGACAAGATGGTTCAGGTTCTGACGCTCAACACAAGCTCGCAGCTCCAGTCCGTCTTCGCAGTGCGACTTGAAAATATGGTACCCAAGTCTGTGGCATTCGCAGATAACCGAGATATCTATGTCTTCGGGCTCTACGACGGCAACTTGTCAGTCCCTCCACTCCAGAATTTTCATCGCCTGATACTAAGCCCCCAACAGCATAAAACTGAAGAATGAAGATGGGGTCGTATTGCAGGAAACGAGCTGCAAATCAGTGATGTGAGGACCACCACTCTCAACCCGCGCATTGCTGACATTATCCAGTGGTCACGCTGCGGTGCACTCAAAGCGGGGCGTTTTCGTCGTGGATAATGCGACGGACAGCTTTACATTGTATCGCCTTGAAGGCGATGGTGAGCCTGTTCGAACGTTCGCAACTGCTGTGCCAAGCATGTCGGTCCCCAAGCAAGTGGCATTTGGGGAAGAAGGAAAGGTAGTTGTGGGGGGAAGTGACAATGGATTGGTATATGTGTTCGATCGGAAGACAGGGCAGATACTTGAAACCCTCCACCACGGAGACACAGACGCTGGCCTTGTGCAAACAATATCCGTAAGCGTTAAGACTGATCGGAAAGAATGTTACTGAACTGGTTTAGACACGTGATCTCCACGGCCGCTGCACAATTGCCAGCACTTCGACTGCGCTAGGGCGCGGGAAAACCACAATCAAGATATGGGCATACGACTACGCAGTGCAGAAGGCATCCAAGGCGCCTTCAGATAATTACTGGTCCCTGTCGCGCATACTGATGATGCTGATACAACTACTGGCACTGCTATCCATGAGCGTCTTCCTGCTGATAAATTATAGAGACAGCTTTTTGGTAAGTAGTCATTTGCTCAGCAGGAATATAACTAACGCACCTCCAGGACAGCGCAGTGAACCACGTGCATGGGTACATGACTTCAGCGATGATGAATAATGTGGCCGACGAGTTTTCACAGCATATCAAAGCAGCAATGAAGTTTGGCGAGTATGTAGATATCGAGGACGATAAGGAAGGGCCGACCGAAGGATACGTCAAAAATGATATTAGGATGCTCCGGGAATTAGCAGCGAAGCTCATGGAGATAGCTCAAGAAGCAGGTGGAGAGATCGACGAAGATGAGCATGAAGAAGATGAGGGCAAGCACGATACTCCGCAGGCAGTGAAAGGAGATGAATGGACGAAGAACCTATCTCTCGTCCAGTAAAAGATAGCACGCTAGCTGAACATATCTTATTTTGGCATTGTGCCCACCATCGGATTTGGCAGATGAATCTACGATTAAGTCAATAAGTCATGTCCCCTCCACTGTATGTACGGTGGAGGGGGTGGAGGGGATGACAGATGTTGACGACTGGATTTTTAACGGTTGGTCGACGGTTGGATTTGTTGACAATTGGATTGCTTACCTGACGTGACAAATGGGCTTGCAGCCAAAGGATCGCAGTCAGCGAAAGTGGAGGAAGTCGACGGGAGGTCGACACCATTGCTGGAGGAAGTTGATGGGAGGTCGACGCCATTGCCCCTCCACTGTACATACGGTGGAGGGGTGACGGGTGTTGACCGACGGTGGAGGGGATGAAGGGTGTTGACCGCTGGATTTGTTAATGGTTGGATTTGTTAGCGGTTGGATTTGCTAACAGTGTTAAGACCGTGTTCAACGGGTCGGACCGGAGGGGCTTAGCTTCAGCTCGTGCGCTGCGCTCTTTACCCGAGTACGTGCCCCTAATTTACAGGGGGTAGATATCGTCGGCCGAGGTATATGGATGGGCCGGACGAAAGAGGGGAGGCTACCCGAGACTTCGTCCAGGTAGAAACTAACAGGGTACGGGCTACCCGAAGGTAGAAGCGGAGGGATTTAGCCTTAGGGATATAATCCCGAGGCTCGGAGGGTCGGACTAGGATGACAATCCCAAGAGCCGAGGGAAACGAGGAATGAACTGAGTCTAAGATGATATTCAAACTGAGGATATACTACGGGTTACAAGGGGTTTATATACTATAAGGTATCCGACGGACGTCCGGCCGAAGCGCAGTCCTCGGAACATAAAGCTATGTAGAAAACATACTAGTGAGTAAAACATAACTGCGGACGATCGAAAGTGGGGCCGGATATGAAATAGAACAAAGGGGACGAGTTAAATGAAAGGGAAATGAATAGACTAACGGACAGATCAGAATGGACCCGGACATTAACTGTCAGAAGGATCCGGACACATAGGGGCAGAAAGAAGCATATACAAATGGGGACTCAGGGAAATGAATTCTAGAACGGACCCGAGAAATCGGGTGGACCGGACCGGACGAGAAGCCTCATGTATGGGATATGACAAACAGTGGGATTATTGCTTGCCTGACGTAGAGGATGGATGGATGGACCTCAGATTGGATCCAAAGGATCGTCGCATCAGCGAAAAGTTGGCAAGGTAGACGGTATTCCCATGCAGGAGACACGACAGTACATACCATCGTGCTCCAAACATGGGGGGAAAAAGATGGGAAAACGATGAGCTCAATGAGCTCGACAGTACAAACCGTCGAGCTCCGAGTGTTGATGGTTGGAACTTGGAGTGATTTCTGAATTCAAATGCTTGCAACGCTGAGAACAATATTATGTAACAATGTCCTAATATGGGAATATTGTTATTTGTGACTGTTGTGCTCTTTCGTTGCCAAAGTTCTAAGTCTTTCTTCCTTATGAAACATTAACTTATATCAAACTCATATCCTTATTATTCTCCCTCATCGAAAAAATGGCCATCCTCCCCCAAGGGTATGACTGTACAGTGGCTCAAAAAAGTGTCCCAATGTTTGCCCAGTTTCAAGTAATTGCATGATGGTGAGTCAAGGTGTGTGAATCTGATGTGGCAGTGCAGACATATTTGGTAGTAATACCTTCTGGCTTGAATCTGAGCTATGTGGCGTGGGAAACGGAGCTTACAGAGCGGAGATATGATAATTCTACAATTGTGACTCATTGGGACACTTTTTTGACTTTGAGTCCAACCACATACTGCAGTCACTTTACCCTTGATAGAAACAGACAGCCGAGGTTGAAATATCCCTGTTCTACACAGGCCAGCGGATGTGGGCCGATGAATGTATTGTTCTGTTAAATACAGGTGGGCCGACACCAAGTATTTATCTGATACAATCAATGGGCCCATGGTG